CCGTCGAGGAACTTTCCATGTACCGCCTCACCATCTACAAGAACGTCATCGACTGTGCAAAGTCGCTCATAGGCGCCATGCGGCAGTTTGACATCGAGCCGGAGCTCCCGGGCAATGATGAGTACTGCGACTACTTGATGGAATACGTGGTGGACCCCGATCCGGAGAAGCCGCTCGATGCAAAGGTCGGCCAGGCCATTAGCTCTGTCTGGCACGATCCTTGCGTCAAGCAGGTGCTTGACCGTTCCAGCGAGTTCTATCTGATGGATTCGGCGCCATAGTATGTCGCCTGCCTTGTCAATGCGAGATGGATGGCACACTAACAGCCCGCAGTTTCTTTGATGAGGTTGCCCGGATAGCAGCCCCCGATTACATTCCCATAGAATCCGACGTCCTGCGGGCGCGTACCAAGACCACCGGTATCTACGAGACGCGGTTTACAATGGGACAACTAAGCATACAGTAAGACGGACCACACAGCTTGTTCGTGCCGGATTTGCTGACACAACACCCAGCATGTTCGACGTCGGCGGTCAGAGAAGTGAGCGGAAGAAGTGGATACACTGTTTCGAAAATGTCACGTCTATTATCTTCTGTGTCGCATTGAGCGAGTACGACCAAGTCTTGCTCGAGGAAAGCAGTCAGGTAAGGACACGGACACGTCCGACGGTTGCACCGGCGAGCTAACGACATTAGAACCGGATGATGGAAAGTCTGGTGTTGTTCGATTCGGTGGTTAACTCCAGGTGGTTCATGCGGACGAGCATCATTCTCTTCCTGAACAAGGTGGATTTGTTCAAGGCGAAGCTTGCAAGGTCTCCGCTGGGCAATTATTTCCCCGACTATTCTGGGGGTAACGACGTCAATCGCGCGGCCAAGTACTTGCTGTGGAGATTCAACCAGGTCAACCGCGCGCATCTGAACCTCTATCCACAGTAAGTCAATGGATGTCTCGCGGACGCGGACAGGTTTGAGCTGACCATGAAACCAGCCTCACCCAAGCCACGGACACGTCAAACATCCGGCTCGTCTTCGCCGCCGTCAAAGAGACCATCTTGCAGAACGCGCTCAAAGACTCAGGCATCTTATGATGCTTCACCACACCCTCCGCATCTACTCTCGCCTTACCGCAGATCGCCGACTCAGAAACCATCTGTGCACAGCCGATCCCCCTGGCACGCAATAATACACCGATACCAAATCATACGGCCAACACACAATTACGACACCTCATCTCACTTCTCTCTTCCTCCATACGCGTTCACGGATTTTTCTCGCACGAGGGTTGCGCCTGCAAGCATTGGAGTTTCATGGTGTCCGGCGGCGTTTGACATCTTGCTTTGGGAGCCCGTTACTCTTGGGAATCTAATTCCGGGCCCTTTTTTTCACCACGACGATTGGATCCAGTTCCCAATGCGACTGAGATCGTCGCAAAAAAAGTTTCCCTCGATATACTCAATTTCCCTTGTTCCCTTTGTTGCGTCTCATTGGCGGGCGGGAGGGTCTCTTAGAGGACACTCAACCCTCACTGCGTTTTTCGATTGTGGTCGTCTCACTGACTGGCGGTTGTTTGCTACGCTCATCTCGTTGATCGCATCCATTTTCCTTATCCTCTCATTTTCCTCGGTCATAGTGGGTGTGCGTACTGCCTCGCGTGCGTGCATGCGATGTTTAATGAGCGTTTCCTTGGGTTTCCCCTTTTCCTTGAGCCGTCATCATATCCCTCGCGCCCGACCTGAACTCGCCGTGCTTTCCTCTGATGCAGCGCGGCATGTTGGGTTCCTGGATCGGGCTCCCTATTTACTAATAATCGCTATGCTCCTCCACAATTTGGCACTCGGTCGATCTTGCAGGACGGGAATCCCTTGCTTTATTCATCAACATCAACATCGTCATCATCATCATCATCATCGTTATCATCATCACAGAAACTGTTTTTTGTTGGGTTTTTCGGAGGAAAATTGGTTGGCTTTCGGGTTTGGGGCTTATATTCGATCTTGGCAGGCATCAGGACGGAAGAGAAGGGACGGGAGGGATCAAAGGAGTTTCGTTTTCACCGGTGGGAGATTAAGAGAAGGAAGGGAAGGGTTGCTGGGCACTGGATACCACAGGCTTTTCTCTTTTTCGCAACAACAGCCACCGCAGCATGTCACCTGGCACTGGAAGCCTGAGGGCCTGCCACTATCTTCGCTTCGCCTTACATGTTCTTTTTTGCCAAAGTAGCGATTTTAGTATTTTAAACATGGATGGGGAAGCCATTGGACGAGGAGATAGAATGGTACAAGCTGAAGTTCAAGATCGACTTTCGCTGCGGCCCGACGTGCACGCCTTGTCGCGCGTGGATCTTTTTCATCTCGTAGACGGCGATCATACGAAGGCGAGCGAGGGACTGAGCTCGTGCTGTGTGGCAGCCAGCTTCCCTTTTCCCCCCTTCAGATTGCCTTGTCACACTCGGTCCTCAGCAGGGGTCGCTCTTGGCATGCGCTCGCAGGGCCACTCGAATGACGAAGGGTGCAGTGGCTTGGGTGCAGGTTCCTGAAGCAATTGGTCAGGACGGAGCGGTCGGGTTCAGCAGACGGATGCGGCAGTGTTCGAGAAATTTGCTGCAGGGCGCATACGCGTTACGTTGACTCATGCAATGGGTCGGGGTCGGGGTCCGGTCGGTCGGTCGGTCTGTGATCGGTCCAAGCCAAAAAAAAAAAAAAAAAAAAGGGCCATGCGGCCGGCCGGCACCCTGTTCGTTCGCGCTCGATTCCCGTTGGCTAATTGATCAACGAGTTATCTGCAATGTGTCTCACTGAACGAACCTTATGATGTGTAAGGTTCTGAATCGTGTGTGTGTGCGGCCGTCCCCGGAGGGAGGCGCCCGCCCGCCTTTCACAGCATGAAATTCGTTTGGGTGAACTGTCGTCGACAAAGGGGGGACGGGGGCAGGATGCGGCCTCTCTTTCTTCTCTCTTTCTCTCGCTCTCTCTCTCCCCCCACCAGGCAGGCCCGAGCACTCACGTCCAAGCGTGTCGCCGACGACGAGCCGAGCAGTGGCAGCAGTAGGAAATTCGTCAAATTTGACTGGGTGAGCATGAATAAAGTGTAGCGCTTTCTTTCTTCCCTTTTTTTTTTTTTTACCCTTTCTCCAGGGTCCCCGAGTTGCGGGGACAATCGCAATTCCATAACGTTTCGAGCTACGACAGGAAGGACGCTAGCGGCAACGGGGCCCTTAATAATACTAAGAGAAGCGCCGCAGGACTCGAGACTCAGATCTCCCGCGCATCCCAAAGAGATCAACGAAGGATTGCTTCGAAGTTCTGTCACAAGTTGCTTGTATCGGCAAAAAAAAAGGCTCGCCAAGATAAGGGCAGTGGCAGGGGCGCTCGACATTCCACGGATCATCCGACGCGCCCGCTCGGTCAGATGCTGCCAGCCCTTTGCGCTCGGGTTCGAGGTTCGAAGCGCGAGCCTCCAGTGTGCCATGCGAGGCAGTTCTGAAAAGATTGGAGGAGGCTTTGACGTCAGTCATCGGCAGAAGAGTGAAGTCACTCCCCTCTGGGATTCGAGGTATTTGTACTTGGACAATGCCGGACATGCACACGCGGGCATCTGGTCCGACTATCTTTGGGTTAAGTGCTATTTCTTGCGATCATTATTGTAGGGCAAAATGTGCTGGAGTGGCCTTGGTCGTATTCGTCACCTGCGTCTGCTTTTCCGTGGGCTTGGCGTGCGAATTCTTTGTTTGGCCAAATGCCCGAATTCCGTCCCCGACGCATGTCTGTTCGAGGCTACTTCGGGGTCGCCGGTGAATATGAATACGGAAGTGGGCTGGTCTAGGCTGGGCTTATGTACGTTGTACTGGACCATGTGTGGGGTGGGCGGGGACGGGTCCGTAGACAGCACCAATACGACGATTCCCCACGGGTACGACCGAGGAGCATCCGAGGCCAGCGGCTGGGTGGTAGTTGGGAGTGGTGGATTATTGCGGTGGTTTCCGGTGGGCTGAGGTGGATGTCGTGTGGTGGGGAAGCAGCTACCGGACTAGCGCGGGCCAATAAAGCGGGACAGGCGGGCGTGTACAAGGGATACGCGAGCAAAGCCCAGGCACGCACGCAATGCGAAGGCCATTGGAGAATGGAAGATGCAGGGCGGCGAAGGGTGCAGTGGCCTCAAGCTTCAGCGCGAGGGAATGGCGACCGTTTAGCCATCCGGGTAGCGGCGCTAGCCCGCTAGCGCCGCCCGGCCGACTCGCGCGCTTAGCTGCACTGGGAAGTAGGATCGACGCGGGAGGGGAGAGCGGGTCCCGACAGCTCATCTGTCACACTGTCACCAGACTCCATCTACACTGAACAGATCCAGCCAGTGAGCGCCCCCTCCGCCCTCGACACCCCGGCTGCCATTGCCGTCACTCCCGGCTGCGCAGTGGGCGCATCCGGAGGCGAGCGGCGGCACCCGGCAGATGTTGCTGCCCCATCGCTTTCGGCAGCGGCCGCCGGCCGTCATACGCGTATTACTCGGCCATCTTGTACGACGATGAGGCGGGCGTCGGCCGTGTTGTCAAAGTCTTGGTTTTACAGTGTATCCTAGTCGGCGGTCGGCTTTCAGTGAACGTTGAGTTGAGCGGCATCACTTGCACCGAGTTCTCGTCGCCGTCATTGCTTTTCTCATGATTGAACGTTTCTTATTTTGTCTTTTGTCTCGAATAACTAAACTCTACCTGCCGATTTGAGAGGAAGAGCGAAGACCCTTTCTTTTTTTTTTTCCCCCTTTTCGTACCATCGTTTATCAATTGAGTATTCATCCCATCGTAATCCGTCCCGTCGTAATCCATCCCATCATGAGTTCATCAAATCATGAACTTTGGCAACCCACAACCCCTTACTCCAGACAACCCGATTTACAAAAGGGAGAGAAAGGAGAGGGAAGGAGGGGGACGATCCAGATTAGAAAAGCCCTCCACAACAACAAAAGGAAACCATAAGAGTAGCTGTGCGCAGCGGGATCGCAGCACATCAAGCCTCTGCCTCCTCGGTGGAGGCCGAGTGGTCCTGATCAGCGACTGCAGCCGCCTCGGCCGGCTTAGCATGATCGATGCCGGCACGGGTACCCCAGGAGATGTCCCAGCAAGTAAGCAGCGCATGGAGCTTGATCCACGAGTGGTAGTAGCCGAACAGGATGACGAACGGCGCGTACACGAGGTCGCAGGGGTAGCGCCGGTAGTGGGAGGCCGGGCGGACGAACTTGGTGGCTAGGATCCAGACGACGAGCAGCAGCAGCGGGAGCCAGTACGGCCGATGAGCGGGATGATCAGAGGCCGCGCCGCCGTCCTGCAGCTCGGAGACGGTCCGCAGGGCCCTGTGGAGGGCGTAGACCAGGAGCGGGTCGTACAGGGCGGCGTAGTTGACCAGCGACGTGGCCAGCACGGCGTACGTGGTCCACGGATACCGGCGCCACAGGCCGTCGCGGACCGCCATCTTCGGGTTGTCGCGGGCGCTCGAGCGGGCCCAGCGCAGGCACTGGCCGCGGAAGCGCGGGCCGCCGCCGCGGACGCCCAGGACCGTCTCGATGCGGGCCTCGGGGCAGTTCTGGTGGCGGGCGCGCCAGCCGTGCGTGAGCACCCAGCGCGTCACCCACTTGTCGTCGCCGGCGTTGAGCGGGCCGACGGCGCCCCAGAAGATGTACTCGGCCGTGTAGGCGCGCAGGAAGGCCTCGTCGCGCAGGATGCGGGTGCGGACCGCGCAGGTGCGGCCCGACACGCAGCTGACGCCGCCGTCGACGGCGTTGGTCGCCGCCAGGTCGAAGTTGGTGCGCTCGAGACGCATCACGCCGCAGAGGTTCCAGAAGGACGCGAGCCCGAAGCCTGCCTTGTACATGGTGCGCCGCACGCGCTTGCACGTGCCGACGATGCCGACGTGCTCATCCTCGAAGGGCGCGAGGGCGTGGGCGAGGAAGGTCGGCGGCCAGAAGACGGTGTCATCGCAGAGGACGGTGATGGCGGTTTGGATCTCGGCGACGGCGCGCTTGATCTGCTCGCGCTTGCTCGGCGCCGCGACGGAGAGGACGCGGATGTTGGTGGAGCTGGGCGGGAGTGTCTTGCAGTGGTTGGTGGCGTCGCGGATATTGGCGTCGCCGACGGTGACGATGAGGATCGAGGCCGGAGAATTGGCGAGGACGCGGCTGATGCACTCGTCGAAGGCGCCGCCGTGCGGCTCCACCGTGGGGATGACCACTGTGACGTCCTTTGCGGTGAATGTCGGATTGTCCAGGACGGGCGCTGGCTTGAAGCGGTTGTAGGCCACGACGTGGACTACGAGACGGACATAGCGAAACAGGAAAAGGAAGACGAACAAGCGGAGCCAGCTGAACTGCAGAGCGTTGCTGACGACTTGGCCCACAAGCTGCGAGCATTCGTGGATAAGACGAGAAGCGATACCGGCGGGCAGGTAGTGGACGTTGATGTCGTCGAGTGCCTGCATGTCAAGCCGCTCAGCCTCGAGCTCGATCGACAGTTCCGGCTTGCCAGTGCTCTCGGCTGGGCCGTAAAGCCCCTGAGAGCTCCCACAGGTAAACAGTTCGCCATCGAACTCCCCACCGGCGCTCAATGCGGTAGTCGTCTTGTCCGTGTCATCTCCGTCTTGAGAAAGCTTGCTGGCACTCAGGGCCGTGAACGAGAGTAGCGTGAAAAACCAAATGACCAGCATTTTGCTGGCCAAAGAGAGTGTAACGAATGTCTGCGCCGTTAGTCCTGGGCGGGTTTGGAGAGGGAGGTATGGTAGCAAATGTGGTGTGCTTGCGCCGCGCTTAAAAGACGTCTCCATGCTGGTGAATGTCCGCAGACAACTGATGCCATCTTGGTACAGGACTTACAATGAGTGTTAAGTCTGCTCGTGGGAGACGGGGTGTGCCAAAACAATGCAGTGGACCGGGATGGAGGGAAAGAATGATGGATCACTGTTTAAAGACCCAGCCAACGTCTGACGAATGACCGCCGAAGCGAAGAAAGTGAGCAAGGTTGGGCCAGCTGTGTTAGTGAAAAATAGACCGGGCGGCCGACACTGGAGCGCGGACCCTCACTGTTGCGCCTGCTGGGCCATCTTTCGAAAAGTTCTCCCAAGTGCTCCTCATACCTATGCGCATCACTTCATCACAGACAACTTTCAAGGCTGCAGAACTCAAGCCATCTTTATCCACCCAACTAGCTATCTGAGAATTGATGCAACACAACCAACGTGGTCTGTACCGATTCCGATTCAAATGATGAAGTTGTATGCAAATCGTGCGGTCCATGCATACGTTACCCTATCCAAGCGCATGCCCCAAAATCAAGCACCATCCAACCCAAATGACACCCTTACTACTCTACTTATGTGTGCTGTACCGTCTTGTATGCCACCGGTAGCCTTGACCACACACCAGAGGTCTATAAGCAAATAAGCAGGGTAATTTCCTGAACCACAATTGCTTCCATTCGCATCGCTCTCTTTTCAGGCCTCCCCAGACGCATTTTGGAACTGGTTGCTTGCTGCAGAGGATTCTCCGTTCTTCTCTCGAGCAGCCATAGATGATCCTGTAGCATTGCCACACTCGTTCCCGGAAATGCTGTCATGTCCTGGGCTCGATTCCGGGCCCTCTCCCTCCTGACGTGACGACCTGTCAGTGTGGTGAATATGGCTTACGAGGATTTTGCCCCCGAGGTCTCCGTTGGCGGCTGCGTACTTGGCTACCCCGGTGAAGTAGTCCGCATCGTCGCCCATCGGGTGCCGCCTGATCGGGTACACCAGCCTTGACATGCTCATATCCACCACCGGTTTACGGCGACCGCGCACAGGAGCGTTGCAGTAGGCGTGGACGTAAGGAGTAAGGTCAAGCTTAGGCGCGGACGGAGGAAGCGCTAGATCCTTCTCCTCCCGAATCGCAGCGCTGGCCGTGTGCTGCCAGTTGCGAAAGGTGGTAGCGGACGACTTCCATATTCCCTCGAGGCCCCGAGTCTGGTCCAGAAACTTTGGAATTTGGAGCTAAAATATGGGCATCATTAGATTCAAAATGTCTCAAGCTTTACGGTCAAGCGCAGTGCAGACATGTAAGGTTTTCCCGAAGAGGTCTCGGGTGGAGAATAGGGAGAGTAGCTCACCGGAGCCCATCCGTGGGAGGTTACCCAAATCCAAATTGCCGGGATACATAGGGCGTTGGGAAAGTAGCAGATTACCTCGGCCGGTGTCAGTTGACAAGCGGGTGGGATGAAATGATAAGGCGGAGCTCCCGTCGAGACCACGAGATTGCGGGGGTAAGCGCCGAGGTGTAGAACAGGGGCCATCAAGTTCTCTCGGCGGTAGAGGATCCGAAGACACTCTCCTCGTGTCAGACATGAATCTGGAAGCACAATTACAAGCTTAGCATAGCGGATAGCTGAATACGTATCCATTCCACTTACTGGGTGCATGCCGGACAATGGCAGCCTCCAATGTGTGTCTCGTGAGTCTACCGATCGGGTCGGCATTTATCAGCACTGCATCAAGCACGCGCTCAACAGCAACGGACTCGCCGCTATCTTGTAGCTCTGCCGCAAGTCCGCCCGAGAAAGGTCCGTTCGGTGACGACAGCCATATCGCCGCGCAATAGTGCACGAGGCGCAGGAAACTGGTTGAAACGGGGAAGTCTGGCGCACGGACGACGCGTGTGGTTCTTTCCATGGTATATAGAGAGCTCAGAAGGAAACGTCGGATGAACTCGGCTGCGAAGAAGGGCGTTGCGTGATAGCCGTTCCACAGGGCGCAAGATGCCACAACTTTGGCCAAGGTTCTATTGATGCTGTCAGTGCAGACGGTAACGTCGTGCTCGCGCAAGGTCTGGCCCAAGAACCTAGCAACATGGAACGCGCACTCGTCGAAACCGGTAGCGGGTTTGAATATGACTGAGCGGTGGGAGCCGAAGATGGAGAGGGCGAGCTGAGTTGGTTCGCGATGCGCACGCCATGCAAGATCTCGGAGCTGAATATCTACGAAGTCTTGACGAAGCCGGTCGAAGCCGGACTTGTTGTCCGCGGTCGCGGTGGCCCAACGGCCAAAGTGAGCGGCGTTGGCCACCAACAGTGTACTATGCTCGCATGCGATGGACGGGTTCGGATTGATGCCGAGTTCTCTGGTGGCCAGCTCGAAGAACAGAGCCCAGCAATCTGGATCTGGCGGCGACCTCATCTCCGCCGCCGAGACTGTACACAAGCTTAGCAAATCCACTCCAGGGAGGGGTCGCGGGGCCATACGGCGGACATCTTCCTTGTCTTCGAGAACAAGAACATAGCAGTGGATAACGAAGTTCGTGACCCGGTCCACGGGTGGAGTGGAGTCCTTGAGCGTAAAGGTGTAAGTGGTGATCAAGCAGCGGGCGAATTCGACGGTAATCTGGAAGGCGGAACAACCGCCTTTGCGATGAAGCGGACGAGCAAAGCATTCGATGTGATGCAGAACCCGCGCCAGCCTGACTTTGTCGCCAAGCTCGTGCATCTCGAAGCTGAATGGCAGATCCATGGCCCTGGAGCGCCTTGAAGAATCGAGGCGCGAGCGAATTCCAACTTTGGTGCAGGAGGTTGTTGACGGAAGACGAACGCGAGACTGCAGTTTTCGATTCTTGGTGTGTGTTTGTGTGTGTGCATTAACGGTCCGCTCACCTTTGGGGCAGGCACGCGTGCGTTGGTGGAGGGCGCCGTCACTTCCCCGATAAGGCAGCGACACTGTGCCAGTAAACAAGACGCTGTAAAGCCTGGCGCCGCAGCTGGCCCGAGTTCCAGTTCGACGCGTTGTTTGCCTTTTGCTGCCAGCTTTTTGCTGCCAGCTCTTTGCTACTCCTTCCCGTCAGCCACCACGCTCGACGCCAAGATGAAGGCCTCCATCCCGCCCCAACGTATGCGCAACTCTTTCTCCTCAGATCGTAAGTCTTCCATCCCATTGCTGAATTAGAGTAGAGGATGCTCTGAAGATACGTAGAGACGCCGACGTTCGCCGCGGCTTTCTTGGTCGAAGATGCAGCGCAGCGGTGGAGCAAGCCCGTTGCTTTCTCTGGCCACTGCGAGATGGTCGTAGACACCGCGTCCGATTCGTTCGTAATGCAGCACAAAGGCTACGGCTGGCGCATCGTTTTCCCCATGGAGTCGAAGATCAAGCGGCTTGTTCCATGCCAATCGTGCCGCCTCAACCGGACCACCACCAACGGCAGACTCTGTGATGACAGCCTTCCCTGCCGCGTCTGTCAGCAACAAGGCTCTTCCTGCACTGCGCGCGATGTGCTCCTTACCGGCACGCAGGCTATTGACGGAGATGCAGAGATGGAAGCGGCTGCGGAAGAGGCCAGCCTGATCGAACCCTACTGCGACACTTTCGCCTTCTTCGCCTGGTCCTTAGGCACCGACGAGCCCAACACGTACGAAGGCTACTTCCCAATGCCTACTATGCCTGAGACGCCCGTCCGTGGACAGGACATGTTGCCGTCGCGTATGCTTCCATCAACTCCCACTGCCGCTCCTCTAACTCCGCGCAACATGCGTCCAGTCACAGATTCCGAACTGCGCCGATCGAACCGCATTCAAGGACAGAAAGATAGAGTTGATGACACGCCGGTGCCTCGACGCCGCCGCCAGCCGCTCAGGGCGGCCCAGTGCCTGGAACGCATGCGCCAGCTGACGGCAGTCGGCCATTTCAACTTGGTTCCTGCAAGTGCCTACAGCCTCGAGCAACAGCACCCGCCGTCCACCGTCGACCTCGGCGGCCTCGAGCTCACCATGGCCGAGATATCCGTGTTCCTGCTGAACCTGGCGCACCGACCGGAAGGCGCAATGCGGCTGGTCAACAGCGGATGGCAGCCGCACCATTTCTGCTCCTACCACAACCACACCCGCGGCCTCAAGGGCGAGACGCGCGCCCGCGGCGAGCACGGCGAGGGCGCCATGCGCTCCACCATCACCAAGAGCATCCAGAAGACGATGCGCCTCATCGCCGACGACAATCACTGGACGCAGTCCCACCACGTCGACGTCGTCGACGCCCTGCATCCCGATCGCCCGAGCACCGCCGACTGGGCCCCCCTCGTCGACGACCCGCCCGACCACTCGCTGCGCAGCATGGGCTCGCGCATCGTCCGCTGGCCGCCCGAGAGCCACTCGCTCAACCTCACCCGCGCCGTGAGGTTCGCCGTCGAGCACCCGCACGTCCCGGACCACCAGCTCCGCTTCCCCACCCACGTTCGCGCCGTCGTCGAGCGCCTGCCCGGCGGCTTCCGCTCCATGGCCGCCGAAGCGTCTGCCGGCGTCACTGGCAACCTTGATCGGTCCACACTGAAGGAATGGGAGGCCTTTCAGGAGGCGCAAGGCCTGTAATCTCTCAATGTTGATGGGTGGATAACGATGATGAACGGATAACAGCATTGAATGGGTAAATGTTGTTGGATGGTTTGTGCTATCAGCTGCGTCAATGACAACATGGATGGATGTAGAATCATCAGCTCAGCTTCATCGAGTGTTCACCTTCGCGGACTTGGCAAATCTCATTCGATGTAGTTAGTCTTCATAAACAGATACATAAGTATCTAAATGCAGACACGAGTTGTAAAACCTGTACAACTGAAATGAGACATGGGATCCAGATTACCATTCGTTGCTTGAGGCCATCAGTTCCGGAAGCCCGCATTCACAACGTGTGTGCGGACTTGAGATTCCCGTTATGTTCATCGATTCTTTCCACCATGTGCATGACAGCCCAGTACATGTACCACTCTCCACTTGAATAACCCCCCAGCCCAACACACATCTCAGCCAACCAACGCCGCCTTATCCCCCGGATACTTCCCTTGCGGCCCATCCAAATGCGCATCCAACACCGCCGACGTACCCCCCTTGACACACTCCACCGCCTCGGGCAACAGCCTCTCCAGCTCCTCCACCGTCCCAGCCTGCTTCGCCCACACCGCGCCGCCCGACGCCGCGCGCGCGATGCCCGCGTAGTCGGGCGTGGGCGCGAACGAGATGTTGAGCTCCTCGTTGCTGACCTTGGACCCCTCGCCGTGCGGGTGCACGAGCAGGAGCGACTTCCGCGGGGCGTTCCACCCCTTGTTGTTGAGGACGATGGTGAGGATGGGGATGCCGTAGCGCTGGCTGATCCAGTAGACGCTGCCGGGCACGGAGAAGAGGTAGGTCCCGTCGCCGACGATTTGGCAGACGAACTTCTTGGATCCGGTGTGGTCGGATGCGAGTTTGATGCCGAGGGCCTGGTGCGGATCAAGAGGGGAGGGAGGGGCGGCTGATCAGCTGAATTCGGGCTGGGGAGGAGAGAGAGAGCAAAGAGGGGGAGAACTTACACCGCCGCCAGACCATCCGAGGCCGCCGCCGCCGCAGTTGATCCAGCTGCCGGGGATCGTGGCCTGGATCTGGTCCGCCACGAACGCCGTGTTCGTGACCGACTCGATCGCCCAGATGGTGTCCTGTGGACAGGCCTTGCGCACGCGGCTGATGAGGTACGACGCGCCGTACGAGCCGTCGTCGCCCGGCTTCGCGAGGCTCTCGATCGTGGCCAGCTTCTTCTTGTAGCTCGCTTGAAGCACTTGCCGGCGCTGCTCGGATTCGGCACTCTTCACCTGCTTGCTCAGGTCGGGAGACGAGCTGATGTAGGAGTGCAGCTGATTGAGGGCGAGCTCCGAGTCGGCCCTGTATCGTGCTAGTGCATTGATGTAGAACACGGGCATTTGCTGCTTTAGCGGGTCGGTGTCGATGTGGTAGATTTTTGCACCCTCCTTCGGATGGCATTGAGTGTTGATCCACGGGACGTCGCAGTCGATCACCACAATCACATCAGCTGTCTTGATGCTTTCTTCGACGCCGAAGCGGAGGCTGAGCCAAGCAGGGTGGCTGACAACTGTTAGCGGTGCGAGAAAGCAAAAGAAGCGATGCAGCGTACTTTGCTGGGAAACACATATCACTACCACCCGTGTCCAACACACGGAGCCCCGGGACAGTATCTGCCAGCTTGACCAGTTCGCCGACGGCCGCATGGTTTCTTCCGCTGTAACCGGTAATGATTAGCGGCTCTGCGGCGGTAACGAGAGCATCTGCTATCGTCTTTACAGCTTTCGGGGCCAATGCGGGCGGCTCCACAGGGTTCCAGAATGCTTGGTCCAGTTTGTATGGCTCCAAATCCTCCTCCATGGGCTCCCTCGCACCATAGAGATAGACCGGCCCCTTGGGATCGCTCATAGCAAAATTCAGAGCTCGGTTGACCATTTGCTGAGTCCAACATTAGCGGCTTCGTCCTTCTCAGCCTTCCCTGGCCTGTACGCTGCTGACCTTGACGTTTTTGCCCGTCTTGATCTCGCCGGTATACCGGCAATACTGGGCAACGATTTGCTTCTGGTCGGGGACATCTTGGATCCAATGGATATACTCGGTCCTGCTCCCGCGCATCTCACCCTCGATGGTGTAGGGAGAAAGACCGGCGAAGATGAGCACGGGCGCACGGCCGCAAGAGGCATTGTGAACCGCTGCACCAAGACCCTGGGTGCCGACATCCACATGGACGATCACACATTGAGGCTTGTTCGTGAGCCTGTCATGGTCAGCACACACACAGCCGGTGTAGGACGAGCCCGGAGGATGGGCGAGCTTACCGGGCGTAGCCATCGGCCATGGAAAGCGCGACCATCTGCGGTGCAAGCTATCAGCGACATTGGAGCTTGGCGGGGAGCGTAGTTGGTGATGAAGCTACCTCGTTCGGGCATGTGATGATCTTGGGGAAGTTTCCTTGCTTTTCATTTTGGCCTTTGACGATGGCCTCGATGATGCTGGGATGGTCTGAGCCCAAATTGACGAAACAATGCGTGATTCCAGCTTCCCATATGGCCTCGAAGAAGGCGAAGGATGCTGTGTAAACCCTGCTGACAGCTTAGACATGGACACGAACATAACTCGAACCGTTTCCCCGGCTTACATGTTTGCAAAATGATGGTAAATAAAATGTGTCTCGGACTACAAGACCGCCCGTAGCTTCAATGATGGAGCGTGTTGTGTTGATGAAGACAAGACGTCTGGCGAGCGCGTCATTCTTGTTGATTACCCCACACCCCCACACCCCCACCCCTCACCAGCCGGTTAATGGTGGCGGAACAGCCGCCGGGCCATGTCGCAGCGACTCTTCTAGCCGACGGATGAGATAAGAGCGATGATTCTCTATTACAACGTCCGCCGTGGGACAACTCTATGCAAACAACCGTCTGACGCCGCAGCCGTTTCTCCCAACGCCTAAAGCAATCGTCACTTATCTTCAAGCCTCCTCCTTTCTCTCTGCTGTACGTCGGCCATTTCCTCACGCATGACTTCGTTGAACTGCTCCCATCCATCCAAGTAAAGGTGATGACCAGCCTTTAGGATGACCAGAACTTTGGCGCTACCGTTGTCCTTCTTCTTCTCCTCCTCCGTTTTCCCGGCCAAAATCCTCTCCTTCTCCTCCTTCATCTTCTGCTCTGCCGCGAATCCACCGGCAATATCCATCCAATCATTCTCCCCATACATGAACACAACGGGAAGGCCGTTCTCTCTCCTCTGCTGACCGGCGCCAGACGAGCTTGGGCGATCTCCGTCGGGTAGGGGGCCAGCGTGCGGACCGAGGTACTGTCTACCGACGCTCTGAATCCTGCGAATCAAGGGGCTCCGAGCAAAGGCTCCAGGAGCAAGCACATATGCGAGCGCGTACTCGCCGCTGCCTCTCTGGCGGAAGAGCGAGTACGAGTAGTCGTGCAGTGCCTGCGACTCCTCGGTTGGCAGGTGCGAGAACCGGCGCGAGGTCCACCCTGACACCAGACGTGGTCCGATCGGGCCCGACCATCGCACGAACGAGAATGGGCTGATGTTAGCATCCCAAAGGTAGGTCAACCATTTCGGCAAGGGTTTCCTCGGGGGCTTGCCGCTCTCCCGCGGGGGCGCATTCGAGCGCGCGTTGAGAAAGTTGTTGTTGTCGGCCTGCTTGACGGCCGATGGGTTGGAGCCACCGATGGTGTTGCCTTGGTCTTGGGTGAACTCGTTGGCCATCGTGGAATCGGAAGGCTCCGGCATGTCGGACTGAACAGCGTACGGGTCTTCCGGGATACCCACCGGGCTTGCCAAGATCAATTTGTTGAGGTGGCCGGGGTACTTGAGCGCGTAGGCAACAGCCATGTAACCTCCCAAGCTATGGCCGAGCAGCGTGAAGCGATCGATGCCCTTCTTAATCCTCCATTCTTCAAGTGCGTCGATGAACCAATTCTCAGCCTCGGTAATCTTACCGTTGTGGTCCTTTGCGTGGATCCTAAAGGGCGGACGGCTGCTCCGACCCATGCCCATAAGGTCCAGCGCGTAGAGCTTCCAGCCTCGAGTGCGGCTGAGACCCTCGTAATTCTTGTAGAAGAAACCAAGACCAGCACCATAGCCGTGCAACATGACCAAGTTGTTCTCAACCTCCTCGCCCACGCGTTCTACGGTGAATTCGTTGAGAGCGCGCTCTTTCCCCGAGAGTTGTACCAGGTTGGATTGCCACCTCCGAGGACCATATGGGTCTGTGACCGAGTTGGTTGTGACTGGTTGTGCATCATCGGCCGGGTTTCCCGAGATGTCCATCGAGGAAGGAGAGGTAGAAGGCGGCGCCGAACCGGTTTGAGTGTGGGTAGGTGGTCTCTGCAGATAGGGTACGAAGGAGAGCACCTTGTGCTCTGTTTCGGCGGGCGAAAGCCCTGCCCACTACGGCTTGTTAGCAGCTTGTCCATGGCAGCTTGCGAGAGAAAGGAGTGGCGTACCCATTGGCTGAAGCCTTCCTTGTAGCCTAGCGGGAACCATCCGGTGAAACCGCGACCATTTGGGGCGCCGGAGGGGACGCTGCCCTGCTGCTTTGCGCGCTGTGAGGCTAGGGGGCTCTGTTGGGTGTGCGAGCGGAACTCCTCGTCATTGTTGGCAGGTGCGGCCATGGTGGCAGTAGCGCGGCGGTGGCTATAATGCGACGGGGAAGAGAGGGAGCGTGTAACGAGCGCGGAGCGTAAGGAGCGCACTTTTGGTCGAGTAGCAGCGACAGCAGCCGACAGGCAGGTGGGCGCGTTGCATATGGGCCGGACAAACGCAGGAGGAGAGGGTGAACAAGCGATAGTTGGGACGGAACGAGGAGGATCCGTAGCAGGGCGTGGCGGAGTTAGCGGAGAGAAGCCGTCAGTCAAGCAGACAGGCCCATGACGCCAGGACCTGACGGGGGCGCGGGCGGGCGTAGGTAGGCGCCGGCGCCCTTAGCCGACCTCCGCTTCTTGAGCCCCAGCCAGCGCGTGCGCGACACCAGCTGCTCTCCACCGCCCTCCACCGCCCTCCACCATCACCGACTCCGCCCAGCCCGGCATGCAGCAGCAACGATAGCGGCCATGTCCGAGGCAAAACTCGACCAGCTTGTCAAGGGCGCGCCGCCGCCGACTGTTACCGCCCCGCAGGTTGCTGCTGCCGTCCGCCCTACAGATCCCACGAGCCTGCTGCCCTCGTCGCCGCCGCAAATCTACCTCAACTTGCTGATCCTCGAGGCCTCGCTACGCTCCCAATATCTGACGTTGCGCGCCCGCCGCCGTCAGAACACCTTCGTGTTGACTCTGCTCGCTCTTTGGACTGCCTACTTTGGTTATGCACTGTTCCTGCGCCCGCGCGAGGATGGCACCGGTGTTGGAGGCAGCGTGTACTGGGTCGTCGACACGACCGAAAAACTGGCCTTCACATCGGGCATTGTGACTGCCGTACTTTTCTGGGCCACGGGCCAGTGGGAGCGTGGTGTGCGCTGGCCGCGTCGCTGGATAGCCGTTGCCAACCGCGGCCTACGCAGCATGAACTGCAAGATTGTACTCATCAAGGGCCCTTGGTGGCGCGAGATGGTCAGCCACCTCAGCTTTCTGATCCCATATCAGCTGTTTTTCCCCACCCCAGGCAGCAGCTACCACTACGTAGAGCCCGAGAAGCGGGACCCGCGCCTGCGCCTCGCCCAGAACGACCGCGTCTTGCTTGAGGAGGATGTGGCCCCAGGCGGAGACTATGTGAAGCTGCTGCTGCTCCCCAAGCCATTCTCGGCCGACTTTCGGCAGAACTGGGAGATATATCGCACCGAGTACTGGGAGAAGGAGAATGAACGCCGCGCAGAGCTGCGCAGCCGGATCAACCAACGCGAGCGTGAGCTGGCCAAACAGGAGGGTGGCTGGCTCTGGTGGACTGGGTGGCGGGGCTGGAATCGTGCGAGAGGCCTGTCTAGAGGCGGAGACGTCGAGAAACACCACCATCATCACCACCATGCCCATTCTCATTCCTCGGCACATCTCGAAGTCCCCAAGGACAAGAAAAGACGGCCAAGCGTCGTCACGGATCGCATGATGAGAGATCGCTCGCATTCCCGTTCGTCGTCCCGAAGCACGACACCAATACTCGACTCGGACGAGAAGTTTGGTAGGGAGAGGCGTTGGAGCAACAGCACAACCGGAAGCGCCACCAACACCGAACGCCGGAAGAAGAAGTCCGCAAGCGGACTCTCAAGGCCCTCTCGCCTGACTCCAACGAATTCAATGTCCAGGCCAAAGACCCCTAATACCCCTAACTCAGAGTTGGACGACATGCCGGCCTTCTCCAAACGCGCCAGCATGATGAGCACGGTCAGCACCGACAGTGACCGCTCTGCCACTCTCACGCCGGATGAAAGAAGCGGGTCGGGAACACCCTCTCTGTAAGCAATGTTTGATGACAAGCGTAGATCTCTTGTAGGTTATGAAGATGCATTTCTTATGAAGAACGACATTATACGTCCACAAACTCTGCATGATTTTGCCCGTTTCCCTGCCCAAGATTTGACCGTATTACCCACTCGTAATTTGCTTTCCGTGTCCAACTCATGTCAACCCATAGCTCCCAGCACAAGCGAGCAAGTTCGTAGAGGTGGAAGTTGAGTTCATTGTCCTTTGGTAGTGGCAGGACAACACCTTTTGCGTCCATTCCGGGACTCTGGCTGATTTCTGCTCTTTAGGATACCATACCATTCTCTGTGTCATCTCGGTTTGTTGACTGTCGTGCAGTTGTAGTGCAGCGGAGGCAGCCCCTGGTCCATTCCTTCATCTACCTACTGCCCCACGGAAGCTTTCCTGCACCGTAGACCTTGGGCTCTGCCTTAGAGTCGAGCGCCTCTACCGTGTTATATCTATTGTTCTCGAGCGGCCAGGCATCGTTCGTCGCCGTCGCCGTCGCCGTCGCAGGCTTGCTAGTCGAGTGTTGGAGTTCGAGTGCCGGTTCGTATCGCACGACATATACCTCGGTGCATCTGATGTGGTTGCCGGGGATACTGCCGTTCCTCGGCTCGTTACCAGGCTGCTGCTGCTGCTCCTGCTCCTGCTGCTCCTGCTGCTCCTGCTGTTGGCGGCGCATGAGTAGTCTCGCAACGGCGCCGCGCACCCATCCCCGTCCTTCTCCGGCACGACCAGCGCGTCGGCCACTGAGGCCATCATCCTCCCCCACATCGGCCACGAGGGTTCCGTTTGTCGGTCCGTTTGTCGGGCTAGGGGGTGGCGGACTGCTGCACGGCGGCTCCACCGGTCGTCGGCCGTGAAGCCGGCAGTACCATTTCCAAGTCTGCGGGGGCTGGATGTACGCGATGATGTATGTAATGACTGCGGCGGCCACGAGGAATGCGATGACGTAGCTGGCGAAGCCGATTGTCCGCAGACGCGCCGCGTTCTCTCCTCCGTCATCGGTGTCCTCCCTGCGGCACAGGGCGGCGTTACACGAAGGGGCCATTTTGTGGGAAAGTAGCGGCTTGCTCAGAGGTGTCATGGAAGAAATTTCGGTGCTCAGTCTGTTTTTTTTCCCTCTTTTTTTTCCCTTTGCCTTAGATGAAGCGTTTTCCTCTTCGATGGATGAATGAACATTTACGAGACTTGGAACGCGGTCTACCTATTTTATCTGCCAAAAAGAACGGCCGTGTCCCGGGGTTGCAACAGACATCTTGTTCTGGCGCGAGACATGGAATTCTGTTGTCGGGAACCGTGAGGCTCAAACAAGCTTGCCAAGCTCTGTAGTGCCCAAAGTATACAGAAGCATGGGGACAAAAGGCGTTTACCGCTGCACAGGCCAAGCGCAGCTACCGATCGTGGGAAACTTCACTCGACCGCCTTTTTGGAACAGGGGCTAAAGCTACTCCTGAAGGAGAGGGCCCACGTGAGCAGGGCAAGATGGTGAGCTTTGCACATGGCACAATGGCATGTGCCCTATGCCCGCGTGACAGGACTGAGTCGAAAGTCTCGCAGCCACGGGTCGCCCGCCGTAGGAACGACAATGGCAAGGTCAAAAGTCTTGTTTCCTGTCTCAGCCTCAGGCGCGTTGATCAGCTAGCCTGTCTGGACTTAAAACATCCATTGGGCAAGCGCAGACGATACCTAGTGGGTTTAGGGTCGCTAAGAATATCAAGTTCCAGAACAAAGCCGGCGGGGGAATACGAGGGAATAGCGTGAACCCACATTGTTCGTGTTGGTACGGAAATCCCCCGCACTTAACAAGTGAGTGCATTTCGCCACCACCAATTCACGTCATTGAAATCACACCCAACAAGCAATCAAGTATAATGTATGGTAGGAAAGCCTTCGTGGTATTTGATTAAGCGCCGAAGCAGTTGAATAGTACAGATGTCCGTAAACCCCGTTGCCTTAATGGCAGTATCATGGGCATGCCAAGTAAGATGCTCATCCATCCATCAAACCGTTAATTTCGAAAAACCCGCGCCGGGAGTAGCATGACGTCAGTCGAGTAGGTATTTACAAAAGACCGACGACGGCAAGAGCGCCACCGAGAAGGCCGCCAATGGCAGGGACGGCAACGGAGCCAGCGGCGCCAGTGGCGGAGGCCGAAGCCGAGGAAGCAGCCGAGGAAGCCTTGGAAGCGGCCGAGCTGGCACGGCTAGAAGCGGAAGCAGCGCGCGACGAAGCAGCACCACCGGCCGAAGACGTCACCGAGGAGGCCTTGGAATCGAGCGAGCTGGCAACCGAGGAGCCGGCAGACGCGAGGGACGAGGTGACGGAGGACAGCTCAGACGAGAGAGCCGAGCCGGCAGAACCGGTGGCCGTGGAGATGGCCGAGCCCAGGCTGCTGGTGAGCGAGGATGCGTCCGAGGCGAGAGAGCTGACGGCGCTGGTGACGTCGCTCGGGATAGCGCTGGCACCGCTGGCGACCTCGGAGGTGACGGACGAGAGGATGGAGCTCAGGTCCTGGGCGGCGGCCAGGGAGGCGAGGCCGGTGATAGCGACGGCGGTGAAACGCATGGTGGATGGTTGAGCTGAGTAGAAGCTGTCTGTGCAGGTGTCAGTTTGAGTGGTAGCGAGATTGGCTACACATGTACCGACCTTGGGTGGCTAGTGTGCGGGTGGAACGGGAGCAGCTGGGTAGACGAAAGCTTGGAGTGGATGAGTTGGGTGGCGGGTGAAAGGAGGATAAGGTCGCAGGAGAAAGGAGGTGTTATTATAGGAGCAGGTGCGATGATCTACGTAATCCAGCTGGCAGGTGCAGGCAGCCCCAGCGGCCGAGCTGGGCGAAACAAGGTTGCCGCAGCGGTAGCAGTTGCCTTGGCATGACGCTGGCAGCCAACACGAGACACGCTACTTGTTGGCCAAGCCGGGCCGGGCTGGCTGGTTCCTGAAGCTGATGGTTTGGACTGCGGGGGTCCTGGCAGAGGAGCTAGCCCATCACCTCATCGCGCCGTCGCCTCTTGCCCAAAGGAGCGCTGACGGGAGCCGGCGAGCTTGCAGCGCCCGGCTGGGCGCGTTCCAAGCCCCAATGCGTGCTGCGTGGCCGGCTCCGAGGCGTGGATGGCGACGGATGCGTCGAGACATTGACGAGGGCTCAGCCAACCGCATTGCCACCCGGACTCGGGCGTGGGCAGTGCGACAGCCACGGCCCCTTTGGCTGGCGCGTGCTTTACTGGCACCCTGGCTGTCTGTTGGCCGGTGGCCGGTGGCCGCACAGAGCGGGCAGCGTCGATGCGCGGGAGCGGAGGGACGTGAGAGGTGACGTTCCGGAGCAGGAAGCGCCCCAGCCCCAGCCCTGCCTGCCGTCTGCGGATCATCACGTGCTGCGGCTGTCCGGCACGCCGCTGCATGTCATTCCGTGTCTCCCGGCTCGCCTCCTCCCTCCTCTGCTGCCCGCGCCTCCGCGCCTCGCCTCTGCGCTGCGAGAACGAGCCTCATCCGCGAGCAATGTGTAACGCCTGTGCGTACATGTCCCCGGCCGATGGCTCCACGTCGTGTTTTGCCGCATCCCTGTCCAACCAATTACCGCCCGGTTCCGCTTGCGCATAAAGGATCCAACACCGGGAGCCCTGATGCTGCCGCCCTTATGTCAGCCGTGGCGCAGCTCCAGTCGACGCCGTCATCCATGGCAGGTCTTCGTCATCGCCGTCATCCGCCATGCCGCCGTCGCGAATAACGCCCTGCCAGTCTTCGTGCCGCGCCACGCTGCTGTCCTCGCTGTCGTCGTACTCGCCTTCCAGGCCCAGCTGGTACCGCACCCGCACTCGCATCCTCTTCCCTAGCGCCTCAGCTCGCTCCTCGTTGCCCATTTCTGCCACTTCACTGTCGTCTGTGCTGCTGAAGCACTCGTACTCCTCATCCTCCTCGGTCCACACCACATTGGTCGCTTTCCGGATGCCAAGGATCTTGGGGATGCGAAAGTCGAAGCCGAGGCAGTGGTCAACATGGTACCAGAAGTCGTTTGTCCACAGCGCTTCCACCCACGCCATGGGGATTGCGTAGCTTGTCGTGAACAGCCGCCTGCTTGGGGCGCGCTCTTCTCCCTCCTGGCTGAATGGATGCGGCCATTTGGTCACGCTGAGCCCGAACTGCATGCTTAACCCGTCGCCAATCCCGTCAATATGTCCGCCAAACACGAGGGACTCCCATGCTCGTCCCAGTTCGCAACGATTCTGATCCATGAAGAAGGGTTCGATCTTGATACCAATCTCGGGGTTCGGGTGTCCTCGACAGAGAGGGATTATCGCATTGTTGAGCGCGTGACACAGCTCGTGCACTAAAGTTTTAGCGAGGTGGAATGAAGTGCGTAAGATTGATCCTCTAGTCGGCCTGTCCCAGCGGCTTGGAATCCCTCCGCAAGCAGGCACCTCATGTTGATTGAATAAGCGGAGAAGTCGCAGATACTCATCGCTGATCCTGGAGACCGAAGCGTGAGTACGGTAAGATCCGAAGCCGGGGTGCGCTACCAGATCGGTTGTCGCATCTGCGTCGCAAAGGTTAAATTCCTCTTGAAATTTAAACCTGTGTACGTTTTTGAGGTTAAGCAGCACGTTCAAGATCCAACGCTCTTCCACTTCGTTCAGATGGCGATGCGAAAGGTCGACTCGGTCACACAAACGTCCGTACATGACTCGGAGGCCGTCAGTGCGGATATGCCGTCGACGTCGAAGCACCGCCTCCCAAAAGACGAGAAATCGTGGCGATGTTAGGAGCTTAGTGGCTAGTTGCAAGGCGGGCATCAGCAACACGTAATCTTCTGTTGGAACGCCTAGCCATTGTCGTTGGTAGAACAGAGGGTGAATTGCTCGTGGGTTGTCTGCAAGCTCGTTTCGGAACGTGCCACTCAGATCGATGTAGCCTCCGGCACGCAACTCTCCGAAGGAGATCTTCTCGAGCCACAGGGGTAGCTGTATGTCTTGCATGGTGGGTGGGTTCATGGTTTAGCGCGTTCCTTGCCGGGGAATGCATGCGAGAACAACCCGTTACCATATCTACCCAACAAGTCGTCAAAACGTCTCTGCACACGGCAGCTCAAAACCACAGGTCCTCACGGTCCTTTGTCTCACCCACAGGAACGGTTGTTGGCGTGGCTGTTGAAATCTCTTTCAAATTACCAGATGCGGAAACACCGCGCCCCATTACTCTTTTCAAGCACGGAAGCCTTTGGGTGGTTGCACCCAAACGAGGCCCCGCAAATGGTAACGATGACATTCTTATCCCTGCAGCAAGGTTACAGGGACAACACATGCGTCCATCTATTCATACAAGGCGGTCAACCAACAGTATACACATGCAATCTTGTCTTATTTACCCGCCCTAATCTCAACCATACATAGAACTCCTTATTGAGGTCCGCGGAGTGCGACCGGAGCTGCTGGTGGAACAGCTGCTGGAACCACTAGAGCTCTTTCTGCGTTGGATGGCGTCCCACGACCCGTTCTTCCTGGTGTAATGATGCATGGTGAAGTATTCGTCCGGGCTGCCGGGGCACTCGGGGCCGTTGGGGGTGCGGGCGCGGCTTTGCACGGGCGACATCTTCATGGCCTCGGGGCTCCAGGACCAGCGCTGGCTGCCGCCGGTGAGCGAGCGCTGGTGGCGGCGGTGCTTTTCGGCGGGCAGGGCGGTCGGCAGCTCGAGCCTGGAGTTCATGCCGATCCACAGGGCCTCCTCCTCGCCGTCGCCGGACATGCGCCAGCCGCCGATGCCCTCGAAGTCGCGGTTGGGTCCGGCGGTGCTGACCAGCGAGGCGAAGCTCTCGCTCTTGGTGGGCGGGCGGCGAGGCGGGGCTTGGTCGCCGGCGGCGAGCAGGCTGGCGGCGCTGCTGCGGCGGCGGCGGTGGTGGCGGGTGGGCGTCGAGTAGCCAGACGAGGCTCGTGAGCGGTACTTTTCGAGGGCTGGCGGGTGTCGGGAGGTGAACAGCCAGCTGTGGATGAGGGCGACGCCCAGCTCGAAGTAGACGATGGACACGCGGACCAACAGGGTGACGACTGCCAGCGAGGTGGTGAGGATGGCCAGTCCGACCAGCGGCAGCGAGGCCACGATCAGGACGGGCGGGGCGAGAAGATACAGCGGGTTGAACATGACGGCGGCGGCAGCAGCAGCATCAGCATGCAGAGAGGGAAGCGTCCGCAGCAGCAGCGGCGGCGCGGGTCACAGCATGGCGTGGAGCGGATTTGTATGCGCAGCAGGTCGCACCGTGAGGGGAAGGGGACGCGGCATTGGATGCGGCGCGGTCCGTCGAAACTTCGTCTGGGGCCCCGAGGCACAGGCATGTGATGGTCGCTGGGGGGGTTCCCCGGACTAGCCGGCCTGGTACCCAATCAACCAAACTTCTTATCAGGACGCGCTCCTTCGTGCGCCAGACGAGGGTTTACTACGTAGATAACGAACCACTGTTGTCGATCGCTGACCAGGGACCCCTCGGCTCGGCTCTGATCTTGCGCAACTGCGTAAATCGCTTGCTGTGGGGCGGCGCTCCAGAAACCGTTTCTGCCTGAGGCAGAGAGATGTGTCAACCCCTCGTACGTCACCGCGCCGCGTCAAAAGCCCATCTCACGATGTTTGCACAACTCCACACCTTGCTCAAGCCCACCAGCCCACCATGGAGTCCTCGTCATCCGCAAGCGCGCCGTTCCCATGGCACATCGGTGTCTTCGATGCCCATTGCCATCCAACCGACACCATGTCTGCCGTGTCTGCCGTGCCTCACATGAAAGCAAAGGCTCTGACCGTCATGGCAACGCGCGCCCAAGACCAGCAGCTGGTTGCCGATGTCGCCGACAGCCTGGGCGTTCCCTCTCCTGACGTCGACTCATGGAAGCAGGGAGAACGCCTCCTGCCGTGCTTTGGCTGGCACCCGTGGTTCTCGCACCAGATGTTCAGTGAGGATATGTTCACCGGGAAAAAAACGCTGGATGAAGATGAGAAGATTCTCCATTACAAGAAAGTCTTATCGCCGCCGCCCGACGACCATGATTTCATCCTTTCTCTGCCCAACCCTCGGCCCTTCTCCGAGTTTCTCGGGGAGACAAGGAGCTTCCTGCGTCGCTATCCGCTGGCCCTGGTGGGGGAGATAGGCCTTGACAAGTCGTTCCGCATCCCAGCGGCTTGGCTTCCTGACGCTCACGAGAGCCGCGATGACTCGCTCACGCCTGGAGGCCGCGAAGGGCGGGGCCTGACGCCGCACGTAGTAGCCTTGGATCACCAGAAGGAGATCCTCACAGCCCAGCTGAAGCTCGCTGGTGAGATGAGGCGTGCCGTGTCCGTGCATGGGGTTCAGGCGCACGGCATTCTGCTCGAGACTATCAGAGCAACGTGGAAAGGTCACGAGAGGAAACGGATGAGCAAACGCGAACGGAACAGACGCGGCGTGACGGCCGAAGAGGCCGACGAGGATTTGTATGCGGACGACGATTCGCCCAAGCCGTTTCCCCCTCGCATCTGCCTTCACTCCTACTCCGGCCATCCTTCGACCCTTCCGCAGTACTTTGACTCTTCTGTCCCAGCTGAAGTCTTTGTTTCATTCTCCACCGCCATCAACTACTCTGACCGAGCAGCCCACACGACGTCGCAGTCTATCAAAGCAGTCCCTGACGACCGCATCCTTGTTGAAAGCGATCTTCACGTTGCTGGCGATCCCATGGACGAGCATCTAGAGGACATTGTGCGCAGAGTCTGTGAGACCAAGGGATGGGGACTTGAAGAAGGCACAAGAAAACTCAGGCAGAACTGGGAACGATTTGCCTTTGGAAGACGCGAGAAAAAACCTGCACTGGCGGATGACCAGACCAGTAACTAACGCATAGACATGAGAATAGAGAGGCATGAATATTGCCGTTCATTGCAAGCATGCTTTGTCCCGTCATGACTCGCGCGTATGCAGCAGCGCAACGCTGCCGCAGAGATTTGCAAAAGAGTTGCGCTCATCAAGACAATGCAGCCCACTTGATTTTTAGTCTTGATGCATATGCACGATCTTGAACCCCACTGCTGTACATGTCCGGGGGGCTGCAGTGGAGCCCAGCAGGACTTGGCACTCGTTTCACTCTCAACATCCATCATGACAATTTTGCGCATACTACGTCCGTACCCATCCGCTGGAGTACCTATCCATCAAGCGTCTTCACCTACGCTGCTGCCAAAGGGCGCGGAAGAGGAGGGCAGTGTGGGCGGAATGTAGGGTGGAAGCCTTCTCTGGACAGCATGAAGAGTGGGCGCAAAGAGGCGTTCGCTCCACGTGGGAGGACGGTGGGGCAGCGGAGGTGTAGAAGCAATCGGGTGGGAAACGGATGCTCGTGGAATTGGTTCGGCCGGGGGATGTCGGCGAGAAGGTCCGCAAGCTCATTCTGCGCGGCGGCAAGGTCACGCGAATGCGCGATGACGCGATGGGCGACGAGCGGGAGGTGGGGAGCTGGATGTGCAGGACAGCGAAGGCGACCACGAAGCGTTTATGTGGTACTGCTGGCTAGGTGGCAGTCGGCAGCGGGTGGGGATCGAGTTGGTAGCTGCTGCAGAGGGACCCAAGGTGCAGCGGAGGACCCTGCAGTAGTTGTCGCAGAGCCCAGCGAGGCCGATCGGCAGACCGAGCGGTGAAGGACGCGCTACGTCCGCCCTGGGTGCCAGCGTCATTCAAGAACACCCCCGCCGCGTTTTTCGACACGCCCATGTCCCATGTCTCAGCACTCTCCTCCGCAATCATGACTCCCGGCCTAGGCTCCTGGAATGCCACCGATGGCGACCTGCAAGACCTCTTCGGCGCCAGGCGCCCGCGCGACATCACAATCCAGATTGTGCTGTCCGTCGCCCTCGGCACCGGCGCCTTTCTGACCTTCTGCGTGCTGCGCCCGCGCTGGGAGGGTCTGTATGCTGCCCGCAAGAAGCAGAACCACGAGGCCACCGCCCTGCCCGAGCTCCCGCGCACGCTCTTTGGATGGATCCCCGCCTTGTGGAGGATTACCGACCAGCAGGTCCTGGCTTCTGCCGGTCTCGATGCCTATGTGGTCAGTCCATCTCGTTGCGCCCATCCGACTCATCTTCTGACCCCGCCTAGTTCCTCGCCTTCTTCAGAATGGCAATCAAGTTCCTGTCCTTCACCTTGTTCTTCTCTGTCATCGTCATAAACCCCGTCCACTCGCGCTTCCCCGACACGAGCAAGGGCAGGCTCAAGAAGAACGGAACCATTGCCGACGATGTTGACTTTGAGCTGCGCCGCCGCAATGGCCCCGTCCTGGTCGACTCGAGCTGGAGCGTTTCCGATTCGTACTCGTACTGGGATTTCTCCCACACCGACTACCTTTGGATGTACCTCGTCTTCGCATACCTCTTCACCGGCCTTGCCGCCTACATGATTGTCTCTGAGACACGGCGCGTCATCGAGATCCGCCAGGAATACCTTGGCAGCCAGACCACCATCACCGACCGCACCATCCGCCTCTCAGGCATCCCGCCAGAGCTCCGTTCCGAGACCAAGATCAAGGAATTCGTCGAGGAGCTGGAGATTGGCCGCGTTGAGAGCGTCACCCTCTGCAGGAACTGGAAGGCTCTTGATGAATTGATGGACAGGCGCATGTTGACTCTGCGGAAGCTGGAAGAGGCTTGGACCGTCCATTTGGGCCAGCGCCGCGTCGAGCGCAACCTTGAATCCTTGCCCATTTCTCAGCCCTCTCCGCCGGAACCCTACGCAAGCGACAGCGAGCACGCCCAGCTTCTTGGGAATGGTCACCTGCTTGCGCGTCGCTCCACCTCGCCCTACAATCGTAGCCGGCCCTTGGTCAAGATCTGGTATGGCCGTCTCAAGGTGTGGTATAGGAACGTGGATGCCATCAATTTCTACGAAGAGAAGCTGCGCCGCCTCGATGACGAGATCAGAACGTTGCGCAGCAAGGAGTTTGAGCCGACCCCGCTCGCTTTTGTCACCATGGATAGCGTTGCCAGTTGTGTAAGTAGCGACGGGGACCCTTTTTTCCTTTGGTGCTGACTTTACTCTACAGCAAATGGCTGTCCAAGCCGTTCTGGACCCGTCTCCACTGCAACTCTTGGCAAACACCAGTCCCGCGCCTTCGGACGTCGTTTGGCAAAACACATATATGCCCCGCCGGGAGAGGATGATGCGAGCTTGGTCCATCACCTGCCTCATCGGATTCCTCACAGTGCTGTGGACCTTGATTCTCGTGCCAATTGCCGGTTTCCTGAGTATCGATTCCATAGACCGCGTGTTCCCCGGCTTCAAGGATGCCATTGAATACCACAAGAACATCAAGTCTATCATTGTCACACAGCTCCCCACATTACTCGTGTCTCTGCTGAACGTTCTCGTTCCATACCTCTATGACTGTGCGTCTCCTAATCTATCCGTTCAAGCCGATACTAACATAACCCTCAGGGCTCGCAAACTGCCAAGGAATGATTGGCCAGGGTGACGTTGAGCTTTCTGTGTAAGTAATCCGATTCCGGGAAGCCTGCCTTGTACTGACTAGAGTAGCATCTCAAAGAACTTTTTCTTCGTGTTCTTCAACTTCTTCGTGGTCTTCACCGTGTTGGGTACGGCTTCGGGTTTCTGGGGCTTGCTTGAGAACATTGGCGAGCAACTGAGAGATGCCACCAAGATCACCAACGCTCTCGCCTTATCTCTACAGGGTCTCCTCAACTTCTACACCAATTTCGTCATCCTTCAAGGCATCGGCCTTTTCCCATTCCGACTGCTGGAGTTCGGCTCTGTGATACTGTATCCCATTACGTTGATGGGCGCCAAAACACCTCGCGGTAAGTCTCCTCTCCTCGATTCTTTGTCTTCGTTGCTCACTCGTGGCTGGCACAGATTATGCCGAGTTGGTCCAGCCCCCGGTGTTCAGTTACGGCTTCTACCTTCCGCAGACGATTCTGATTTTCATCATCTGCACCGTATACAGTGTTCTCCGCTCGTCTTGGATGATCCTCTTGGCTGGTCTGATATACTTCATCATCGGTCACTTTGTGCACAAGTACCAGTTGCTCTACGCCATGGACCACCGTCAACACTCAACGGGGCGAGGTTGGACAATGATTTGTGATCGAGTCATCGTCGGCCTGATTCTGTTCCAGCTTACAATGGCAGGCCAGCTGGCCTTGAAGGGGGCATTTTGGCGCGCAGCTCTCCTCGTTCCCTTGATTCTGTCTACCTTCTGGTTCTGGAACGTTTACACGTACTCGTACAAGCCACTCATGCGCTTCATCGCGCTGAAAAGCTTGCGGAGAGCGGAACGGTCCGATCTGGTCACTCCGCAGCTGGACCAGCCCACCACCATTGATGAGGAGCGCGAGAGAGGCCAGCGCTATGTCAATCCGAACCTTGTCATGCCGTAAGTCTTCCAACCTACAATGGTCAGTCGTGATTCTAACATGTCGAGTAGACTGGAGGATGTTTGGATTACAGACAACAACGCAAGAGCTCTGATGAACGGTACCGGCCAGGAGAGTCCGGCTGAATCCGTCGAGGAAGAACAACCTAGGAAGCGATTCCGCCGGTTCTTCCGACGCAATCGAAGCGGCTAGTGTACAGTGCCCCCACCTGGCGTGGATTAGCTGTCCCGTTTGATGATCACATGCTTGCATAGAATATACCCCACCGGTCGTTTTGAGTGTATATAGCTATCTCATTGCTCCTTGAAAAAGCGCTATTGATATTTGGAGTCTGGCTTTCGTTGAACCAATGCGCTACCGTGACTGCTTGCAAGTTCAGAAAGCTTTGGGTGCTTGGGGTCTCACGTGTAAGCGTATTTCATCCTGCCATTGCCACGTAAGACTATGAGGTAGTCGCCGTACAGCGCATGAGTTGCTGCCGCACGCAAGCCGCTACGAAGTGACAAAGAATGGCATGATTCACTCCGAAGGTCTTAACAATGCTGAACAATGACTTATGCTGCCCGAGACAGTCGCACACATCATTGTGTTTTGGAAGTCTCACTTCACATGGTTCACTCTACGACTTGTGACGATCTCTGAATTTGGTCTTCTTTTGTCATGACCCCCTCGAAGACGTACACCCATTGATCATTACTTTTCTTCTAGGCAAAATATCAACACCATCGCAACAACACACACAGTTTCCACAAACCGCACTACGGCATCTCACCCAATCCGTTGAGCCACAACTCATGGCCAGCTTTGGCAACAGACCGTCCTCGGGCTGCAACAACATCATCTTCACAATCTCTGCAGACGGCGAGATCCGATCTTTGAAGTCACCACAGCCAAGCCCACTGAAGAAACGGTTTCCGCAGCAAGATCTTCGGCAAGCCCGGCTTGCGACCGGTGCGCAAAAGTATCAACATGCATCGTCATCAGCATCATGGCCGTCATCCTTTTCCAAAGTTCAAGACAACACACGTTTGACTCCACGTACTTGCACACCAAGTACGTCGGTCGAGCCCAGTGGCTCAGACAGCTCCAAAGTCAGCCAGGGAGAGCCACCGGCGCCGCTGCCGCCACTAAACAGACGCGAAATCGACGTTGCCATCCAGATAGCGCGGTCCGAGTACATCCAGGCCGGTCTCCAAAGGCGGTATTGGGACCCGCCGCTCTTTCCACAGCACCACAGAGCAGCTGTCATCGATGATGGTCCCATTGATGCAGACAGCTTTCCAAGAGCCGTGGCTCTGACGGACATCAGCATCTCGGGCGACCCGATTCGCATGCGCACACCCGACTTCCAGGTCGAACCGCGCGGCCTGAAGGTCGGCGCTTGCCTTTTCCTCAACCTACCCTACGGTGCCAACGATGCCTGCGGCTTGCAGATCAAGATGAGGGACGGCAGCCCGACCGATCAGCCCAGGTTCGTCCTCGAAGTCTGCGCTGCTGTCCTAGATGCCGGTACCGGCAGGAAAGCATGGCGTCTTTGCACCCAGCACGACGTCACGACCATCATCAATGATATCGCTCGGAAGCGAGTTGCCTCGACCTCGACCTCAGCCTCTCAATACCATGACGCCATGCCCACCACACATGGGCACAGCCCACCAAGCCCAGCAGCTCATCCCAACGAACCCTTCGACTGGACAACCTTCACCGAAGAAGAAGAAGAAGAGGGGGAGCTGACCGCGTCGAAAAGCCGACGGCGGCAGCGCCTCGACCGTCAACGACATGACCAACCCACCTCGGCCCGCTGCCGCCGCCGCAACCATCCCCACCAGGACACCCACGCCCACTCCCGCCTCTCCGGCGCCACCCTCATCAACAAGACGCCAACGCCAACGCCAACGCCATCCGCCCGCTCCACCCTCGTCGTCGTTACACCAACATTACCACCACCACCACCACCACCACCACCCCACCGACCTCCCCCCCTCCATCTACCAATCCTTCCTCCACCTCGCCCACTCCCTCCGCCGCGCCCACTCGTCCCGCTTCTTCATCCTCGTCCCGCACCGACACCGACACCGACACCGACACGGCCACCGACACCGAGACCCACTCCACCGCACCGAGGAGCATCACCCCACCACTACTCTCCGCCATCGTCACTGCCATCGTCACTGCCATCGTCCTCATCCTCGTCGACGGCTGCGTTTCCAGCAGCAGGTCGGGACGATGGAGGGGGAGGACGAGGAGGAGGAAGGCGGGGAGGAGGGAGACGGGATGCACACGACGACGGAGACGACGACGACGACGACGACGGCACCGCTTTTGCTGCTAGGCGGTGGCGGGGGGTACCGCGTTGGGTTCGTGTCGGCGGAGGTGTATGAGGATTTGGGGGGGTTGGAAGAGGTGATGGTGGAGGAGGGGGGAGACGGTGGTGGTGGTGGTGGGGCGGCGGCGGCGGCGGCGGCGATGAGGAGGAGGCGGGGCGCGTTGGTTGCGGGGTTGAGGGGTGGCGAGGCGTTTGTGTGGGAGGTCGGAGGGAACAACGGTGATGGTGGTGGTGGTGGGGAGGAGAGGCAGAAGCAGCAGCCGTGGAGAAGCGTGGAGTGCGTGCCGGTGGGCGACGGACGCGAGGGAGGGGAAAAGTGGTGGGTTTGTTTCGTGCGGTGAGGGAGGTAAAAGGAGATGGTGGTTGTTGAGGTTTTCGTACGTGTAGAAGAGCTGCGTTGGGTGGTGAAACGACGGTATGCAGCTGGTTTCGAGCGTTTCGGTTTCTGTTCGACCACTCTCCTCCCCTCTCCTCCCATCGATCGAGCATGCGCACCTGAAACAAAAGTATTTTGAATTGAGTCTCGACAACTTGATCCAGCTCGTACAATTCACATACCTCCCTGATATAACTCTTGTGTTTCGAACTTGTTGCAATTTAGTGATACATCATCTTATATATCCAGTGACATACCTGGCCCTCGTACTCCGAGACGCCGAACGAGAAGAAAAGAAAACGCCGAGTGAGGAAAGTACAAGAACCTGAAAACGCCATGTACAGTTAAGAAAACATCCAAAAGAGCGTGACAACAGACCTCCTGAGCAGTACTGCAAGTAAACCGTGACGAATGAAGAGAGAGTGGAAAGACAGTTCATCCGTCAGTACAGCGCTTTTGTGAAGTCCGCCTCGGGAGCTTGAGTAGGTATACCGATTTCTCGCTCCCCAAATCTCCGCTTGACAGAGGCTGTCCTTCCTGGTGCGCTGCTCCCGCATCCCGCGGGCGTGATCACAATGAGTGTTGGGCAAAGACATCCGCTCTTTTTACCTCTGGGCGTTTCCCGCAAAAAAAAAAAAAAGGACGAAGGTCGCCATTTTTTCATATCTCCGACCAATGCACATCCTCCATCTCCTCATACTCCACCTTCCTACTGCCGCTGCCGTTGCTCGCGCTCGCCGACAACCTCGCCACCGATGACGACGCCCTCATCCTCTTACTACCGCCATCACCGCCGCTTCCTCCAGCGGCGCCACCACTCTCCCTGCTCGAGGAAGAAAACGGCCGCGCCGCCTCCGAGGAGCCATGACCCCCGCCGAGGCCGGCACCAGCAGAAGAAGAAGAAGAAGAAGAAGAAGCCCCCAACTTCTGCCTGATCTTCTTCCCAAACTTGACCGCAAACGAAGACGACGACGACGACGACGGAGGCCGCCCCACAAGAACGCCACCGCTGCCGCTTCCCCTAGCGGTAACAGCAGCAGCCGCCGCCGCATTGCCGCTACCATACCCCCTCTGCACCGCAGGGTCGATGATGTCGTCGTCGCCGTCGACGTCGTTCTGCCGCGGCAGCACGTCCGTGCTCTTGGCACCGCCGCCGCCGCCGACGCTCCGCGTCGACATCATCCGCCGGATGGGGCTGGGTATCTCGTCCATGGAGCGCGCGCGCTGGACGCTGGCGTGCTGTTGCTGGGTTTGCAGCTTCGTCACGGCGGCGAGCTTGGCGGACAACGACGGGAGCTGCTGTTGTTGCTGCTGCTGCTGCTGCTGCTGCTGCTTCTGTTCCGGGAGACTGCACCGGCAGCGGAAGCAGCACTGCGCGAGCTCCTCGCTGGACGACTCCATGGAGCCTCCTGGGAAAGCGCCGGGGGAGAAGGGCGTCATGGGCGGCGAGGGCGGGGCGTCCACGTCCGTCCTGGATGTCGACGAGGAGGCGACGGAGAGGCGGAAGAAGTGGCCGGGCGTGCGTGGCGGGGACAGGGCTGGGCCGGCGGCGGCGGTTGGAGAAGGCGGGTAGGAGTGGTAGCCGTCCTCGTCGTCGTCATAGTAGTCGTCCGAGTAGCTGGCATCATCCTCGCCGTCCTCGTCGTCACTGGAGTAGTGTCGATCGTTGGGCTTGGTGTTGGAGAGACGAGGGGTTCCGTTGGTGCTGTGGCGGACGCTGCTGGCTGGACGGTGATGGTGATGGTGGCGGTCATGTTGCTGGCGAAGTGCGGAAGTGGCGGTAGTGGCGTTCTTGGAGAGCGGCTCGTACCGCTGCGAGCGGCTGCTGAAGCTGTTCTCCGGCGAGGTGGGGCCACGCGGGAGGCCGTGGTGAGAGAGAGGGAGGCGGAGTTGGGGGTGGTGACCGGCGTGATGGGCGGCGGCAGAGGACGGGCGGGACGAGGAGGCTTGGTTGTAGGCTGCCATGGTGATGCCCCCGTTGGTTGTTGCGGCGGTTGGGTTGGCTTGGTTTGGAGAAGCGCTGGGAAGGCTGAGGGATTCTGGGAGAGGAGGAGAGGCGAAGGCGGGAGCCAACAGAGTTTCAAGAAAGCAAAGCAGTAGGGTAGTGACAGGCGGCTGAGCCACAGCTTAGGCAGAAGCGCAGCAAGGCTGATTCGATACAGCGAGCCCGAGACGTCAGAGCTGGGGCGACACAAGCACGGCAGAAGCGAAGAACAACAGAACAGAAGCAAGTGGAAAGCCAAGGGAAAACGACGTCTCTCACGGGCGGCAAGCTGGGACGTTATACAGCAGCGGCGCGCGGTCAATGGCTGCCCCCACCATGGCGGGCGGGTTGCAGCTGCAAACGAGGCCGAAGGCGTGGGCAGCGAGGGTGTGGGTGTAGTCTCCGAAGAGAGAGAAGTGCGGTGGCTACGCGCCCGGAGGCCTGAGCTAGGGCAGCCACCCCTGCCTTTGCGCCGCCCAATGGGGGCCCGCGCCGGGCTGGCCACCGAACCACCAGCCCGTTTGCCAGAGCGGCTAGCAGCAGCCGGAGCACGCGTCGCCGGCCATCAGATCATCTGCGTGATCGTACGTTGCCATCTCGCAAGCGGGTCGTCAGCGGCGTGGAACAGCGTCGAGGCCGGCAGCCAATGGCCGCGCCCCCGCCCATGCGGCACTCCCGCTGAGCGTGTTTAGCGAGAAGCCCACAGCTTGCCCGGCCTGCCCACAGCCTGCCACAGCCTGCCACAGCCTGCCCCGACCGTCTCTCTGCTGCCCGCCATTGGCCACGCCCCAGCTCCCAGCTCGCAAGCTCGACTTCTGTGCCTGGCCCGGTCCCGCTCCGCAAGCGCCTCTCTCTGATGCGCTGCCGATCTGCGCCGATCCCCCGTCACGCCCGCGCTCCACCGGTGCCGAAGGAATCAAGACAGAAGACAGCCCGCCGTCCACCGGACGCCCGACGTTGTGGCAACCGCCGCATGCAAGAAAGAGCTGCGGGTAGCCAGGGGCAAACAATGGAGAGAAAAAGCTTCGAGCGCGAGCCAAGCATGCCGCAGGGCGGAGACGATTTAGGCGCCTTGGTGGGGCCGTTGCAGCTTCGCAAAGCCCGGCTTCTTGCTATATATGGATACCCCTGCCCGCCCGCCACCCTTTCGTTTCAACCCTGCTGCTGCAAACGCGCACGCGCGCTTTTTCCCCCCTCCCTCGCTGCTCTTTGCGCGGCCCAGAACCTCTGGCCTTTCCGCTGGCGCTCTTGCTGGCTGGTGTCCTGAGGAAATTTTTGTGGATCAATTCGCCGACCCACCAGCTTTCCGCTTGACCTTGGAATTTGCTGGACTGCGCTGCTCTGCTGCTCGCCGATTGCAGATCGTATATGGCGAAGCTTCAAAATCTCTCGGCTGAAATGACTCGGTTCAGCGGCAAGAAAAACAGAGAAAAACATTTGCCTAAGGAATAATGTCTGCGCGGAACTGTGTTTCCTGATTACGACCCAAAACATGGGCTCCGTCGTCCCGCACCCCCATTACGGACCCTCCGCTGAAACACGAGGGATGTTTGGAAATGTTGACCGCACGCGTGCCTTTGATGGGCTCCCTTGGAAACATCCGCCGTCTGATGCACCCAGTCCGCCGTGCTCTGATGACCTTCTTCACCATCTCGCGCCAGGACCGCTTTCATCCGTGTTTGAACTGGCTGGGGTCCGTTCTTTGGCATGCAAGGGTGCCTCAGACAAGTCACTCATCGATGGAGAAAGAAACACCGGTCCACAAATTTTTTTTTTTCCAATCAAGTTATTGGTGGTCCACTCGGTCGGATGTACATGTCGAACGCGGTTGACGAAGGTCGGTTCAGTCGAGGCGAGTCCGCTGGCCCGACCGGAAGCGAAGAGCTTGATTGCTGAAAAGGGTATCGCAAAATCCAACCTGGTTACGCCTTTCTTTCTTCGGCAACTGCCGGGAGAACACCCACAAAAAAGAACATGAAAAGGAAGAACAGAAAAGAGTAATAGATACATGGAATGGATGAGGAAAATAAAGAAGGGAGAGTGATCAGTATTCAAGTCTCTTGGCCATGCCAGCCGCAATACAGCAACCCATGTAGGTCAAGAAGATGAGGACGAAGCTCCACAGCTGTAGCGCGACTCGGTTCCGGGAGAGCTTAGGGTAGAGGAACCACTGGACGCTGAGGCCAACGAGGGCTCCGATGGCTGAGCCGACGAAGTTCATGGCCTTGCTCTCGAAGTACCCTCTTGCAAAGGCACTTGCACCGTTGGATCTTTTCGAGAGCAACAACGCCCATACGGCCCCCATGACACATTCCTCGAGGAAGAAAGTCATGGCCACAATGGCGAGAAATATTGTCGTGAGCCCCGTCTTCCTGGCTCGTCGCACCAGTGTGAGATTCTCCTCGCTCTTTTCGAATCCAGAGGTGCCCTTCATAAACACTATGTTGCTGTCTGAGGATGGAAGGCTTCGGCTCGAAGACTTGGTAGACATATTCTCGGGTATGTCTTTGGAATCGCCAATCAGAGGGCTCTTGTCGGTATTCTCGCTGGGTCCTCTATGTTGCTCAAGCTCTTTAGGTGTAGGCGAGGAAATGAAGTGGTTGAAGTAGCCGCGGTCTAAGCTGACCTCGTAGGTGCATCGGCCGATCACCGTGGCGTTTGTCTGCTGAGGACCTTTGGGTTGGGGAACACCATTCTGGTTCAAGAAAGAGACGACCGAGGGTGAAGTATTGTAATCGTAGGCTTGTGACGCGTCGTTGCGGAAGATCAGAGGTGGAATTGCGGCTTGGGCAGGCTCTGTAGGAAAATTGTGGGTTGACGTGTTCGTGGATCCCGGCTCATTTAGCGGTACATAGGATGCTCTGAAACTGTCGTGTGCGCCCGGGCGAAAGGATCTGATGGTGGATTGTCCAGAGCGTACACTTCCAACTCGCCCTGGCATTGCTACGATGGGTCGTGTCCGGTCATGCTTAGGGTCGTACACGGTTTGGGGAAGGAGAGGGCCGTCGTCCATGTGCTTGGCTGCCATGGTTTCTGATAGTTGGTTCTTCCAAAGGCAACGAGGGACATGTGCGAGTAAAAATATGAGCGTGTGGGAATAACATTGCGGACGGATCGAGTAAAATACACTAAGCACCAGCGGGAGACCCTAACTCCGCATGACAAGGTTTTCCAGGACGAGGCTGAGCGGCACGCTGTGACAGCGAACACGTAACTTGAGACCAGTCGGCCCTGAACGTCGAGGCGGGCGGCCCTGGCCGTGGTCGTGCGTGTGGCTTGCTGCTGCTGTTCTTTTTCCATCACTGAACAGGTCGAGAAGTCGCTGGCAGGATCAACGCAGGGCTGGCGGGCGGGATGCCCTTCGGTCGTGGCGGGACTCTGCGGAGAAGCCCATCTTGATCCAGACACCATAGCTCTATTACACGGATAGAGAGGCGCACAACATGAATAATCTAGATTTTGGCTCGTTGGATACCCTGAAGCATGTATACACGCTGATTTGTTATTTTCTTTTGAATTTCAACACTGCATCACCGTCGGCGCGAGGCTATCCGGGCAGGAGACATAGTGTGGCTGGAACAGTAGTTGCCGAGAGGACGTGTAGTCGCCGAGATGGCGCATTGACGATGGCGCCAGTCTCGAGGGTCATCCCCGGGAAGGTGCAGCTGCACCATTGGCTGGACTGTCCCTGTCGCACGGACGCAAATTTCATTCCAGAAAGGCTTCCACGGCGACGGGGCGCAGACAAAGTTCGTGGTATGTGTGGAGGATCGGTCCAAGGGTGGTCGAGGCACAGAGGGTGTCAGAGTGACAGCTGGCGGACGGTGGTTAGTGACTCCCCTGCCTATTTCGCTTAGCTCTCCCTACCCGGCTAGCGTGCTTCCGCTCAGCCGCACCAGGCTCCCTTTCGCCTCGCCAGTCGCCTGCACCTTTCCCAACCCAGCTTCGGCTCATCGTTGGAGTGCTGACATGGACGTTTCTGGGTTTCTGGGTTTCTGGGCTGCTTGGCTGACCGTTTAGGATGCCCATGGCCACGCTTACCAAGTGGGACGAAGGATGCTACGGCGAGCATGCAGTGCCTGACCAGACGTGCAATTCACGTTTCACTTCTCACCCTACAAACGTGGCCATCCTTTTTGAAGTCACCGGCGGGACCAGGCGGCGCCAGCAGGGCCTGATCAGCTCAAAGGTATTTGCCAACATGACCGCATCTCCCGCCGACCGACCTCTGCTGTGAAACGAGGGCGGTTGAGATTGCGCTATGACAACAAGCCTGGGCCGTTTTCACCTGCTGGACGATACCTTCTACTTCCGAGCGGCCCCATTCTCGGAGATTCCTCGTCAGCAATCCTCCACGAGCCTAATCGCACCTCGCACATCTTGCATCAACCCTCTCCTCTGAGAGCCCAGTCAGTACCACAAAGTGTACATGATACGCGAAGCACGCAAAGATTCATCATGAAGGGCGCAAGTGGAATTATGGACAGCCGTTCAAAAGAATAAGGAGTACCTACCAGTTAACGCGTGCGTTTGTTCTTCGGTGGAGAAGGATGCGGTACAGGGCAGGGCAGACTCCATCACCATGACCGCCGCACTCTTGTGCTTCTCGGTCAAAAGAGGCCCGCCGGCTGTCCCAACTTCATGTCCGTTTGCTTTCGCGAATGTCGTCGAGCTGAGGTAACTGATCGACATTCATTGCTAGCGAACCAAGCCATTGTTTCGTTCTACTGTGAGTCTACTTTACGGCCCGCGCTCGGTGGCTTGTCAAACACAGTCAGCTCCCCGCGCAGCGTACCACATGTTCATAGTCGATCTTTGATGGCTTGTTTCCAATTGGAGTGCAGCAGTGGGCTCTGTTTGTGTAAAGGAAAGCTGCAGAGGACTGCAACAGCCCGCGAGCTGCATATGATTTCCAAGCAAAGGATGGATATGAGCCACCCTCTTCTGTGCTCCACGCTTTCGCGGAGGTTTTCACCCACTATTCGCGGCCCTCGGGCTATTCTGCTTCGGCGCTTTGCGGATGGCGTCAATGTTGGTGGAGAAGACGAAGGCAGCAATAATAGTATTAATAATATTTTAGCATGGTGGGCAGAAGTGCTTATGATAGTGGGTGAGGGGTGATTGGCCGGTTCCAAAGCAGCAACGGGAAGGCCCATGTGATTGGCAGGACGGGAGGTTCAATAGGAGTCGGCTAGCGGCCGGTGCTTGATAAGCATCATACGCGCCCTACGCGAGACAGAAAGCACGCATCAATGACGAAGCGTTTGAGCTAGATGGAACCGGTCAACGAAGATGCTCACGAGACTCGCTCCTGACCCCCTTTGGCACAGCGCACATGGTGTTCGCGGTGTTCGCGGTGTTCGCGGCGTTCGGGGTCGCTGGCTTGATGGACAGGGACGCGCAATGGGGAGCAATGGGCGACTCCCTGAGCGGCGGCGGGCTAACGGAAAGTGGCAGCGGGGGAGTTGCGAACGGCGCTGGCTTGGCGCTCCGCGGTCGGCGCTAAGCAATGGCACAGGCTGCCCAGGCTGCCGCGTTGCGCGACCCGGCTTGGATGACTCCAGCGTGCTGCTTTCGACTACCGCACCGCACAAACGGCCCACCCGGTCTAGTATCGTCTAGTAGAGCCGAGCCCGCCTGCTGCGCGTTGCACAGCCAATGGCGCCCGCGCCAGCAGTGAGGTAAGGAGGGTTTCTGGTGATGCAATGCTGGCGACAGCTGCCACGGCCCTGCCACGGCCCTGCCACGGCCCTGCCACGGCCCTGCCAACCGTGGATTTGCACAGTAGGGCTGAGCTTTGTCAGGGCCGGCTCTGTCAGCAAGACGGTGGATGCCGCGCCAGCGGTCAAAGGTGGCTTGCAGACAAGGCGTGTGTTTGACAAGTGGCCGAGTCATCAGACGAGCACTCACCTGCCCCCAACCCGCGAGCGCACTTGTGGCGCTTGTTGCTGCACGGTAGCCCCTCCGCAGCGGGCTTGTCACTCTCCCACGCCCTGCGCACGGCCCACTAGTCGAGCTCGCGCCTGCTTTGGGACACCATTCTTGCCCTCGGTGACTCAGATCGACGCCGCACATGTCGAAATGCCCATCCCGAACACCCTTGCGCCGCTCCTGCTGCCCGCCTCAACTCTGCACTCGTCTCCGTATAAGACGGCCGGGGCCCCTCACTTCTCCCCGGCCAGATCCGCCCACCATTCGAGCCTCCTTATCCGGACCCTGCACCTGCTATCGCCTCAGATCCCTGTGCATCACGCACCGCATCCGCGGCTGCCTCATCATCAAGCCCTCTCTGAGCCCCCTCTGAGCCCTCGCTCCGCCATCCACCATGTCTCGCCGCTCGTCTTCCGCCATGTCGGCCCGCTCGCCCTCAATCGCACACAGCGCCATCTCCATCAAGATGCGGAACTTCGCCATGCAGGGCAAGCCCGTCATCGACATCTCGCTGAACGGCGAGACCGGCTCGCACGGCAGCTACGTCACGTCCGTGTCCACCATGGACAAGCTGGAGGGCGAGGTGTCCGTCACTGCCCCGCGCGACACCAGATTCGATGACATCGAGATCGCCTTTGTCGGTACGTACCTCTTGGGCCTTGCCCAGCCCTGGCCGAGAACCGAGAACCCCGGCTGACCTTGTGCCCTTATCACAGGCCAATCCACCACATACGTCGACAAGTTTGCAAGTGCTCCCACCATGTCCTCGCGCTCCGACGCTACCCATCAGTTCCTCAAGCTTCGCCAGCCTATCGACGAGTCCACGCTCCCCATGCCCAGAATCGCCGAGGCTGGCCGCACTTACAGGTTCCCCTTCACTTTCGTCATTCCCGCACATCTTCTCCCACGCTCCTGCCAACGTTACGGAAACGACCAGGTCCGCGCCGCCCACCTGCAGCTGCCTCCTAGCCTGGGCGACACATCCATTGCCGGCCACTGCGGCAAGCTTCTGGATGACCTCGCCCCGGAAATGGCAAGGATTTCTTATGCCATCAAGGTGACCGTCACCCGTGAACGCGAGACCGACGCCAAGGTCGTGACGCTTGTGGACAAAATCAAGAAAGTACGCGTGAAGCCGGCCTTTGAAGAGCAGCCCCCTCTTGTCGTGGGATCCAACGATTCCGAGTACCGTCTCAGGCAAGAAAAAAACGTCCGCAAGGGCATCTTCAAGGGAAAGCTGGGCAGATTGGTCATGGAGACGCAGCAGCCACGCAGCCTTTGCATCCCTGGCGCACGCATCCCGGTCAATGGTCCCATCACCACCTCGGCCAAAGTTGCCTTGCGTTTCGATCCCGCCGATGAAAACAGTCTCCCGCCAAGGCTGGGTAGCCTTAGCAGCAAGCTCAGGGTCACAACCTACTTTGCCACCACGCCACGCCGTCAATTCCCATCCCACGAGCACGTCATGCTCGACATGTCCCAAGGCACCTTCACCGACACTCTTCCGCTCTCTTCGCGTTGTATGGCCGGCGCCCAATGGACCAAGCACACGCCCACGGCCGCTGAGATCGCTGCCGCATCCGACCCGGCCATCTCTCGCCGCGACTCGGGCATCAGCGACTGCTCCGCCGTATCCACCGGCAAAAACATCCCCGAGCCATCAGCCTCCTACGTCGCCGGTAGACCCTACTACACTGCCAACCTCCTCATCCCGATCGAATTGCCCGCCAACAAGACCTTCCTCCCCACCTTCCACTCCTGCCTCATCTCTCGCGTATACCGCCTCGACCTTTCCCTCTCCGTCTCCACAACATCCTCCATCTCCCTGAAGGTGCCCGTCCAGATCAGCGCCGAGTCGAGCACCGAGGGCGCTTCCGAGAGTGCTTCGCGCGCCGCCAGCCAGTCGCTGCAGAGCGAGATGGACGCCGCGATGAACGAAGTCTTCGCGCCCAGGAGCGTCGCCCCGCCCAGCGCCGAGTTCTTGGAGGGCAGCCAGAGGATGCAAGCGATTGGCAATGCCGCGCCGCCGGGATACGAGGCCGCGGATTTCGCCGGCATGCAGACGAGGGGCGTCGAGACTGTTATCAGCGTGATGAGCTGAAAAAACTGTCCTGACTTTCTCTTTATTTCGGTTCCATCGACGATCAACCGTTAACTACGTTTAATTATTTTTTCCGGAAGAGTTTGGATTCGGTTCGGTTCATTGTTAAAAAGAAGATGCGCATATACCCCGGCATGAAACGTCCTGGAAATGTTTAAAAAGATTGTTGGTCTGGGACTTGTGGATACGGGATGGAAGAGCGAATTTGAATACAAGACTGGGTCTGGGAAACCGGTTGACTGTTGAGATTTCGACTTACGCTTGCATGTTTCTCTTATTAATTTTCCTATTACAGTGCGATACAGCAGTTGAGGATACCCCTTGAGTACCTGCCTTCAAAAGTTTCCCCTCAAGAAGATTTTAATCTGAAAATTACATTCCATCACTTGATCGCTTCTTGCAAGGTGTGATACGGGCTCAGGTGCGTCGTGATGATGGCCGGAAGGGTTGGATATGAAAGGAAGAGGTGATCTTCAGCAATGCTTTCGAGAAGTCGTGATAGACGGGAGCTATGCAGCTCAAAAAAAGAAACAAAGGCCACTACTGGTGAAAACCATGATACAACACCAGGAATTCGCCCGCAGGTCCTTCTGGGTTGTGCCATCTCTAAGTATACACCAATATGCTAGGGGTCTGCCTGTGTACATACGAAGACGGGCATCAACAGTGCTTGGCCCTCACCTCCAGCAATCGACACAAGACACTGACACATAGACAAGCCCTCGTGCACATTCGCATTCGGGAAGCCCCTGTCCTCACTTCAAGTAGGACTCCGGCATGGCTCACAACGCTTCCGCGGGCGCGACGAGTTCCAGAAAAACGGTTCCCAACCGGTGCCAGGGTAGAGGGTCCCCCCCGCTAAACGTTCCCGCATTGGCAACAGTGTGGTGCGCTATGGAGAACGATATGAAGCTGTAAGGACGCAGCTTGTAAGGGGCACGGCGGATCTGCAAGCGAGGCGATCGAGCTGGGCGGGAGACGTGTTGTTGGTGTTGTGCAGGGGACCTTGCTGCAGCCTGTAGGGCTAGCTCGTGTCAGTCTGTCTGCATGACGTATCGAGCGTGAGGGTGCTGTTGTCGAGTCCGGGTCACTGTGATCCCCCCGTGAGGTGTGTGTGTGTGTGTGTGTGTGTGTGTGTGTGTGTGTGTGGAAGGGGCCTAATAAGAAGGGGGGAGAAGACGCTGTTGAATTGGCCCATGATAACAAGGTCTGATTTGTATGCAGCTGAGGACTTTGCTGAGCGCATTGTCAACCCGCTTGGAACTTCCACGACTCCTGTGCGATGCTGTTGCGAGACTCCGCCGGGATGCGGTTGCGTCCTATGTAAGTCCCGGTACCATGTTGCTCTGCCATGAGCTGCATTACGAAAAACATCCGATGAAGAAGGGGAACGAGTAATTGATGAAGCAAGTCAGCGTCCTTGGGCCCGCCAGCATTTTGTAATAGCGCTGCGCCACAGCACGATGTCTAGTTGGAGAAATACAATATAACACTTCTGTATACAAAAGATTGTTGACAGTAATACATGTAGAACGACCGATCAAACGAATATGAAAACCCAAAAACGCCGGACCGAGTCGAGCGAGAACTCCGCTGGCATAGAACCCAAAACCCAGGAAACCAGCAAGTAAACGAACCATGGCCACCATGCAATGATCGATATTCATATGCCTCCGCCCAAAACCCATCTCTTTCGCAATGCAAAAAAAATATCAAGCAAGGAAGGGAACGCAGTCCCGTGTCGAAGCGAGGAGCGCACGAGGACTGCAGCCGGAGCATACATAACCTTGGCGGAAAAAGCAAAAGCAAAAGCGAAAGCAAATAGCTCCGCGGCCAACATCGCTTCAACACCACGAAGTTCACCACGAGGTGGAAGAAGAAAAAAAAACGCGCTCACACAAAACTGCAAACCCCATCCCGACGTTAGCAAACCATTTCCCGAGGAAAAAGCAACGAAGACCGCAAAAGAGGGGAAAAGAGGGAAAAAAAAAAAAACTCACCTCATGACCCCGCCGCCGACGACGACGCCCCTCCACAGATCGTCGGCCTCCTCCCAGCCCTCGACGTCCAGCAGGTCCTCGTCGCCGCTGTACTTGCAGCGCAGCACCTTGGCGGCGGCGGCGTCGACGGTGCCGTTGGCCGGGAAGAAGGAGAAGAGCTCCACCAGCGAGGTCCAGTAGCGCGACAGCGTTGACGACGTGCTGCTGCTGCTCGTCACCGACGACGCCGACGAGGACGACTGCTTCGGGGCGGAGGTGCTGTAAGACATGTTGCTTGCTTGCTTGCTTGCTTGCTTGCTGTCGAAGTTAAGAAAAAACAAAAAGCCCTATCTTCCTTCTACTGTTCTTCCTACTGTTCTTCTTCTTCTTCCTCTGCTTCTTCTTCTCACGTGAATTGAAACGTTCCTTCTCCTTCTCCGATGACCAATAAATGCGGAGGTCTTGCTAAACCCGGATTCGGGATTCGGAGCGAAAAGCGGAGGAGGAAAAAAAAAAACCAAACACGTGGAGTGGAGTTCGCTAGCAGGGTCTGCGGTTTCTCGCGGCTGTCGGCCGTTCCCGAGTAATGGTCGTGGTGGTGTACAACGAAGAATGGTGGTTCCTTTTTCCCGAGTGGGGTTGATTGCCTCAATGCGGGACCCGGGGGTGCGGTCGTCACGGCGGAGCCCTAGTCGGTAGCACGAGTTTTTTTGCTTGCAATTTTTTTTTTGCTCTCTTCTCCCTCGTGCGTGCTCCTCTTTTTTTCCTCTCTCCGGTCGGTTGTCGTGGAAACAGTTGCCGAAACAGCAGAAACGTTTGGTGTGGAGTGTTCGGTGGCGCGGCACGCGGCGGATGACCGGTCAGGGCGGCTAAAGGAGCTTGTTGTGGGAAGGAAGACCGGAGCGGCGGCGGAGGGATCGACTGACTCCGAAACGCTGTGAGAGCCGAAGGGCGTGAGGATGGAGAAGCGAGGCAGGACGATCGATGAAGGAGAACGATGAATGTTCGACAGGAGTATCGAGCACGTCTCTCTCTCTGGCGACGTACGGACCATCTATTTATCGTCACACAGACGCGAAACCTCCAAGAGACGAGGCGGGCGAAGACTGACGCTCCGGCGCAGCGCAACGACCGCCATCCGCACAGCTCCTCGCGTCGTCCGACTTGCAGCAGACACGCCTTCACCGCAGAGCACCAAACCTTGTCGTCAGCCTCGTCTGCCTTGTTTTGGCCGCTTCGTTTCTGCAAATGAGATGGCGATAATGAGCTGTTAGCATACGCTGGCAATCTGCACGCACGCACGGGGCGCCGGGGAACGAGGAAGGACAAAAAGATCAAAGGGTGGTTTGTGTGTTGACCATGATCATTGCCCAATCATCGCTCGCCTTTCCAACCGTACGATCTACCACCATTTTCCAGAAGCATTCCCGATCCAACCGTGCCGACTGGTGGCCAATCGAATCCTTGCCGCTACCGACCGTTGGCTACGTCGTCTGCCTCGGGGTCCCCCGAAGCCAAGTGCGTGCGTGTACGACGACAGCTCAGCTCAGCGACAAAGGACCCAAGCGCAGAGGGCAAGCGAAGCATGAACGATAGACGAACACTTCAACTGCGACCGTGCAACCCATGGCGCGCAGCCCGCCCCACAAAATTCAAAGACAAATCTCTAACGAAAACGACTTGGGAACAGAGTAAGAAAACGCGCAGATGACAAGGCGAACCGCCCGTGGGGTATCGTAAAACGACTTTCTATAACTTGAGCGTCCCGCCGTCTTTGTTGGAAGAATAGGGTATATCTCCTCCACTTGCGCTTTCCAGACGAGTTAAAACAACTATGACACATGCAACCGTCCAAACACCGTATGACCGTGATCTTGAGTATAAACGCCAATCAAAAGTAGTACTTCAAGCGCGACTTTCCAACAGAGGTACAAAAACCGACAGGGGTTGACAAAGGGGAAGTGAAAGAGCGTCAGCTAAAGCAAAGCGTCAAAAACAATAATCGTACACACTTCTCGCGAGGCCCCACACTCATCACGCACCGGCTGCCGTAGTTTCCGACGGCGGCTCGATCCTGATCTGCGGCTCCGTCGTGCGAACAGGGCTGTCGCCGGCCTCAGCGAGGCTTTCCCTCAGCGCGTCGACGTCGACCTCGTCTTGCTTGACCACCACCTTGAACGGCGCCTTCATCGACGGGCCGAGTCCTTGGATGGGGCCGGCCTGGTTGATGCCGGGCGTGCGGTGCCGGTGCGACTTGGACCGCCGGGGCGCCATTCCAGAAGCCGACGGCACTTGGGTGGCCGCCGTCGACGAAGAATCCGCCGACGACGTCGTGCTGGAGCTGCTCGCACGGCCGTCCTGCGTCGCCGGAGCCTGCGCGTTGGGCGACAGCGAAGTCGTGGTTGATGTGCTGGCAGCAGCGTCTGCACCCGTGGCTTCAGCGCCGCGAGTCGGTGTGGGCGCGAAGCCCCACTTGCCAAAAACCCATCCGCCCACCTTGCGGCCAATGCCTCCGCCCGAATTGCTCTGCTTGTTGGGCCGAGAACTCTGCCCACCGCTGCGCTGATCCGCAGTGAAGCCCGCGAGCAGGCTGCGGTGCGCCGCGCTAGCGTCTTGGTCGTGGCGATAGGAAATGCTCGGCCGCGCGACCATGTTGCTAAGGCTAGCCATCGCCTGAGATGAGGGGCTGTTGGGCGCAATGAACGACGGCCGTGCATGCACCGACATGTCCATGCCCCGCACCGAGAGGAGAGACTCGTGCGATGTGGCACGGCGCAGACCGTGACCGATCTGGCCATTCGTGTACACCTCGTCGCTCGTTTGGGAACTCTGCGCTTCGGGCGTTGACATGTCGATTCCCGAAACGTCGGCGTCCGACGCCGTCTCGTGTTCCTCGGTGATGACATCTTGACAGATTGGTGCCAGACTGTCGAGCTCCTCCTCTGAGATGCGCGACGATGCCGTCGCGCTGACCTCGATGGATGGCGCAGCTTTGGCGTGGAGCTTGAATGCTGCCGGTGTGGTGAGGGTCCTGGCCGGGCCCTTTCCGCGGGTAGAGATGGGTGCGAAGTTGGGCGATCCGGGGTCATTGTTGCTCTCGGGGCTCGTGGGTCGTGAAGAATCATCAGGACCGGCGTCGCTGAACATGCGATCAAAAATGGATGATGTGCGTCGTGAGTAAGGGGAGCTGGGCACCGACGACGGGGCCATGGAGACGCCCGTCTGGTGGCTTGCAACGGACCAGCGATGGGCGTGCCCTTTGACGGTGCTAGGAATGGTAACAGCAGTCTGCGAAAGAATAGTAGCGGCAGAACAGGGAGTCGTGGGTCGAGGCATGGAGATTGAAGAGCGAGGGGTGTGCATTCCCGGAGGGGGTGCGAAGTGGCTCGGGGCAGCAACGTTTCGCCTCTTCTTTGAAGACCTGCGCTGCAGGTGGCCCTTTCTGGGATCCTTGGAAGCAGTAGGGGCGGCGTGATAATGATGGTGGACGTGGAGCTGGCGTGGCTCCTTGGGGGTTTCCTGCGATTCTTGTGGCTCCGGCGGCTCCGGCGGCTCCTGGGGCTCTTCCGACTCTAGACCCAACTCTTTCTGGAGACTTGGTCCGCTGGGGTCTTCCGAAGCCTCGCTCATGGGCTGGTGGAGCAGAAGTTGCTCTCTCAGCCTCTCGACCTCGTCGTTCGAGTTCATGAGCATCTCGCGAAGCTCGACGATGCCGAGCTGTAGGTTTGCGTTGTCCTGGAGGATGTCCTTGACGAAGTGCGACACGACGTTGGTGCCCGTCTTGTCATGGCCACTGGCTTTCGCGGCGGCAGCGCCCTTGAGCCTGCCCGCGGCTGTCTCCAGCTCGCGCTCCACAGCGCGACGTCTCTCCATGCGGCTGACGACCTCGACATGGCGCTCGCGCTCCTCCTTGGCCTCCTTCTCAATGCGCTCCATCTGCTCCGTCAGGGCAGCAATGGTCTGCTCGGCCTTCCTCCAGCGGCGGACTGCGGATTTCTCATCGTACGAAGTGTTGCTCAGCTTGTTCTGCAGTTCCTGCTGCTCGCGCTCAAGCTCGGCGAGCTGTCTCTCCAGGCTCTCGGTGCGGGATGCGAGGTTGGTCATGCGCTGCAGTTCCTCCTGCGTCTCCATCAGCGCGGCCGTCAGCTCGTGACAGTGCGCGTCGGTCTCGGTGGCGGCATTGTTGATGGCTTCGAGCTGGTCCAGCAGGGCGCGATTCTCTTGGACCGTCTTCGCGTTGCGGGCCTCGAGGTCGGCCTTTTCGTGCTCGAGAGACTCTATTTTGGCGGCCATGCGACGGCGCTCGGCTTCGCTGTCGGCGATGTATGCTTCATGACGCTGGAGCAGGGCCTGCAGGCTAAAGGTCAGCGAGGCAAGCATAATAAAACAACGGCGCGGCTGGAAGGCAAATGACGGCGCACGGGCGGCGCTGCACGGATGCACGCCTTAACTAGGGCAGGTGTTGACGTGCTTGGATCTTGGCTAATCTCAGAGGGGAGATGGTGGAGGATGCCAGGGATGAGGGCGGCAGGAGAGATGAACGGGGGGGGGGAGCAGCATGTTTGCTGCAGCGTGGGACAGGCAGTCGCACAGCAGGCACTCACCTGGCCAAGCTGGGCGGCGGTTTGGACGTCGCGCTCCAGGCTCTCGAGCAGCTCGCCGTTGTGGCTCAGGAATGCGCAGTCGGTGCGGCCGCAACAACACTGCGGAATGCCGGGCTCGGCGCTAGTGCGCGGACTGACGGGCTCGTCCATGGTGGTGCGGGAGGTGAGGGAGTGCGTTCAGGGCGGCCTTTTAGCCTCCATCAGCACCTGGGGAGGGGAAGGGTGCCGCTGGGGGCTGCTGGAGTCTGTTGTTTAGGAGCGTGTAGGAGATGAGTGGTGAGTGGGGACTGCGCACCGGCGCTTTCTGCGTTCCTGACCGGCCCTCGGCCAGCAGCGACAATCGCTGCTAGTGGCGGCGCAGCCTGGTGCCGAGCAGATCGCTTTACCGCCGCACGCCTCAGCCACGAGTCTGCCCTGATGTGTCACGAGGCCCCGCTTCCCCATGACGTTTGACCGCCGCCTGCACCCGCCCACCTCCAGCAACCTCAAGGCTCACTCGCCGCGTCGGGCGCAGTCCGCCGTGCAGGGGCCCGCTCCTCGTATGCTCATTATTCGCTGTCTGCGCCTGGCACCTCCCTCATGGCCGACGCAGCCCGATATGCAGGGCTCAGTGCGAATATGCGGGCGTGCTGCAGCCCGTCAGCCTGTTGCATGCCCCCATCGCGTTAGCCGCTGCTAGCCTACCAATACACAGTGCCCATCCCGAACCACTCACTGCCAACGCCTGTCACGCTTGTCACGCTTGACGTCTGCCCTACACGTCGCTTCCCCCAGCGCCCCAACTCCCGGCGGGCTGCTGTGCCCCTGTGGCAAACAACGGCCGCGTCCCGTGCCGACGCCGACCCGGCTGAAAACTCAAACCCTAAGCCGAACTGCGCCCCTGCAAGTGCCACGCTGCCGCACCGCCTATTATTCCATGCCAAACCTTAAACGCTTCTGCTTCTTCGATTGCCCCGGCGCCTCGTCTGCCATGATGACGTCGCTGCCGTCGCTCTCCGCCGCCTCCTCGTCGCTGGGCGCCAGTGCGACGTCTCCGGCGAGCTCGTCCACGAACTGGTCCGCTGCAGCCTCGTCGTCCTCGTCCATTTCCGTGTCCATGGCCACCCCTGCGTTCCTCTCCATCATGCTGTGAGGCCTCTTGCGGCTTTCTTGCGCCGCTTCCATTCCTCCATCGCCTTCTTCCGGCACGTTGATGGCCCGCCATGCGCCGGCCATCGCCCTCCCGCTGCTGCTCGTCCGCAACGGACGCTCCGCCAGCGCTGCCGTCTTCAAAGATAGCTTATCCTCGAGCCCGGCGCTGCTCTCCATGACCTTGATCAGTTTGCGCCATGTTCTGGGGTCGCGAGACTTGTCATTCTTGCCGACGTCCTGGCCATTCACCGTCGCAAGGTCCAATGCTTCGACACGGCTGTCGCCCCAAAACCATGTCTTGCCCTTCTCCATCTTCGAGTACTTCTGCAACGAGTAGTGTCGCGCCTGAAACATGCCTTCAACGCCCCTTGACAGCATCGGACCTTGCTCATCCATATAGCTGGAAGACTTCGAAGGAAACCACAGCTGCATGGCCTCGGCTTCAAAGCAGCGGCCGAGGATGCGATGGAAGGGAACTCGTAGGCTCTTCTCCGGATCATGCAGCCAGTACCATTCTTCTTCGTAACCTTCGATCGGCGTGCCGCTCCTCTCTGTTTCTGTGAGGGGGATCCGGCTTGCAGCACGTGTTGGCTCCGATGTGAACGCTTTTCCAGTAATGTGGACGGCAGAGTTGTACGGATGGCCCTGGTCATAGTCATCGTCACTGGATGTGTCCAGGTTCATCAGATGCAACCTGACAGACGTGATTTTCAAGATGTCCGTTACGTCAGCACCTTGCTCTCTTGGCATCAAGCGCACAATATCCCCACAAAGGACTAATTCGGAGCCAACATAGATTCCCCGGCAGTCAATTGTCGCTGTCGGCCACGTACCCGTGAACTGCTGCTTCTCTACTAGCGAGAATGAGGACATGACTGTGAGTGTATGGTTGATAGTTGGGTGCCACTCTCTCTCAGGCACCCCTTGAAGGAATTCGGACCAAAAACAAAACGGGCGAATTGCAGTCAACGGAAGGTATCTGTGTTGCTTCGACCAGTGCTTGGCTGTGCTATTTGGGTCAGATATCGGTTCAACCCTGAACCCTGAGTAGTTACGTTGGTACTGTTTGTCAGTCTCATTGCTCAGGTCTTCTACGTGTGGCGTCTCAGCCGCGGTCTGCGTGACAATACCGGCCTCCCACCGTGGGTGAGAGCCAAATCGTTGTTGACTGACGCTCCAGACCTTGTGCGTTCCAGTAGCGTCGTCAAGGCGGATCTCGGTGGCATCTGGTGTCAGATTGCGCACGAACAACACGAGCTCTCCGGGTCGAGGAACCCATTGGCCTTGCTTTGACAGCCCGTCGAGCATTCTCGGGAGGCAGTTGCGTTCGGCTCTCCAATCCAAGCTCAGGGGTTCTTTGAGGGGCTCATCGATTTGGCCATTACGCTTCAGCTTGTCAATGAGGTTGCGATAGACGTCGGGGGTTCCCTCATCATCGGTACGTAGCTCGGATGTATCGACTTGTCGAGGCTTGCCTTTGAATTTTTGAAGAGCTTTCTGCATGGCCTGAACTGAGGTCTGCTTCGTGCTTGAGGCAGGGGGTGTTGAAGCTTTGGCTTTGGACCCGGTGCTGCAGACCGCACACGGGCATCCGATGGTGTTCCCCTTGTTGTTCATGAGATGGAGAAAGTGGGGGAAGAATCTGTTGGGAGAGTCAAAGGTCTTCCCCTGGGGATGGCCATAAGCCCACTTGTCCACATGCTGTGGCTGATTCTTCCTGGACTTGCCCCAAACAGTATAGCCGTGCGGTAACCTATCCAAGGTGTATGTGACTCCTATATATGATCAGCCATCACGCTCGATTCCACACCAGGCTGACTGAGCGGGGAAAGTCTCCAGACATCACGCATGGCCGCCACGCCGCGCGGTCTGTGCGACACAGGAAGGACATGGTGGTGTCGGCTCACCTTTGTGGAACTCGCCCCGCTCCTTCATCCAGGATTCTGCGAGCTTTTCCAAATAGATGGATGGCGGATCCTGCAGCCTGAACTCTGCTCGATTCGGACAATGCGTGGGGTCGCCATCAGAATAGGGCTCGATGGGCACGACGATGGCACCGGCGAGCGGATTTGGAGCCATCTAGATGAATTTGGATCGTCGGCTGCGCGCAGTAGCTTGGGCGCCGTTGGCGGGCGTTTGACGGAGATGGGCCGCGAGACGGGCTGCCAGGGACGCGTGAAGGTCCGAAGTTGAGCCTGCGGCCGACGATGGGGCGCAGCTGGGCCGGTAATGATGGGCTTGCCTGACGAGCGTGATTGGTAGAGAGAGACGGAAGACGTGATGCGGTCCGCAGTGTTCGGAGCTCGAAGCGAGAGCTGCTTGCCCACGTGGGTGCGTGGGTGCGAGGGTGTTTGCGCGCGACGTAATTGCTCGGTGCGCTAGGTTCGTGCCTGCCTCTCGGTGGGTCGGCGCCGGCCCCGCCAAACACCAGGCACCTACCTACTTTGCTTTTAGGTGCAGCTCAACCCTGCTGCACTGCGACGTACCTCTGCGAACCTCTCCCAGCCCTTCACCCAGCGTGTTTCAGGTCGCGCCGCAACCGACTCCCGCCCGTATCTCCTGCAGCTCGCATGGCTCCTCTTGCGCTTTCGGCTGATCGACTCGTTCACATTCCGTTCTCTGAAGCGAGTGGGCGCCGCACTAATACAAACTCGTGCCTGCGATCTCCCGCGCCCGCCGTCTGATTGGCACGCACCAGCCCGTGCTGGCTATGGTCTGCTCATTTCAATATCGTGGCGCCTCCGGCTCGCCATCGCTGACTCCTGTCTCGTGGTTCAACTCAAAATCGCATGAGATGAGCGTCGTGAATCAGTCTGACACGCATACATATACCGATTGCCCGTTCGCTGCCCCCATCCCCGGTCTTGTCCCGTATTCCCTTTCGCCATGCGCCGTCACGCCTGAATGCAATTGGAGTCCTTATCTCCGGACTATGCCAACCGCGTCCATTTCCCTCCTGCCCGGTCCATTGCATATACCAGAGTCCCTCGCTGCGTGGAACGCTGCCAGGAGAAGCAGCCATGAAGATGTTCACGAGTAGCCAGAAGGGCGACATCCATGAGGTCGTCACGCCCGCTGAGAAGAAGATCTCCATACCGTCGGGTCGGCGTCTTTCGGCCATCATGGCAGCCCAAGCTCCGTCGCTTCCTCCTCGCTCGGCCCTCCGCAACAAAACCATCCACGACATCGAAGAGTCGTCCACAAGTAGCGTGCTCAGGGGCAAAGGAAGAACCAGCAGCACCGTTTGGGCCGATGGAGGTGTCTTCGCGCGAGACGGGAACAATCGGCGCGCCGCGAAACGCAGAGGATTGTGGAAATTACTTCTCATCGCAGCCATCATGGTTGCCGCCATCATCGCCCTGTCCCTCGGCCTGGCCTTCGGCCTGCGGAAAACCAAAAGCAATGACAGGTATGCCATGTTCTTTGCCGGAAAAGACGGCTGTCGACGGGTAGATGCTAAGTTTAGTCAAGTAGCGCGTCGAGCAGCAGCGCTTCGGCTGAGTCTGATTCTTCAAGCAACAAGCAAAGCTCAAGCAGCACTCAAAGCTCAAGCGCTAGTCAATCCTCTGGATCGACCTCGTCTTCAACCGTCAGCGCCGACTTCCCGATTGGAACCTATTCTTTTACTACTTTCCTCGACACCGTGACGCCGGATTGTGCGTCGAACAGTGCCACATGGACTTGCTATCCATATGTCATCTACAATAGCAACAAGCAAAAGGCCATGACCACGCTCGACTGGATCATCACCGGCTCCGAGGGAAACTACAAGATCTCGTCAACAGACAACAAGTTGGCGATTGACTTTGAGGATGTAGACCTTGTGCTCTACAGCGAGGGACAAGACAGCGAACGTTATCATTTCCAATTCACCATGGACAAGGAGGTGGTTCCTTCGACGTCCATCACAGACGACGACTCCAGCACCGTCTGCTACTTCAACTCGACCATATTCACCGGTTACCTGTACACGAAAATGGAAAAGGACTACCCGACCGATGACACATCCGACAACCCATGGCCTTTCGCGGTTCGCGCAGAGCAGTCTGTCGGAGGTGGAGAAAATGTGCCTAATTGCTACAAGACGGAGAATGGGCGGATCACGAAGCAGATCACCGACGGATTGGATGCAATGGGCGCCAGTACGCTCTGCAGCTGTCTGTACAGGAACTATCTAACAAAGTAGCGGCAGCTGCCGCGCGTGTGTTTTCGATTCTTTGTATTAATTGTCTTTCTGTTGTAATTCTCACGGCACATGGAATGCCGGTTGGTTTAGTCTTGGGAAGCGCGGCGTTGAGGGATTTGGGATCGCACTGCTGTCGCAGGCGAATGTGCCCGGGGCGGGCGGGCGATACTTGTTTTACCTTGGGGGAAAAGCTATATACCAGACAGTGCATAACAAAAGCAAATGGCGTCCATACGCGGCGTTCCACAGCAGCGGGGCACCCTTGCGCCGGTCGATGCAATCCTCCAGCCGTATCGCGGCAATTTCTTTGCGAATTAGCCAATGACCTCCAGAGGATGCCGTGTAACGCGGGGATGATGCGATGGCCTTAGTTAGCAGGCTCCACCGGCCATCATGGTGCAATGTCACGACCCATTTAAGATCTGCTGCTCCCCCCTTTGGACTTCACCTCACAAATGCCATGGCCTCCAGCGCTCGGTTTGATTGTCAGTGGGTATTAACTACTCAAAGCTATACACGCAAGTTCGTTCATCATTAGAGGGTTCGGCCTCGGCTTCACTTCAGAACCTCGTCAACTCAGGGCTTCCAGCGCACGGTGGTGCTGAGAACCTGGTCTGCGCAAACACCTTTTGCATACCATCCTCTTTCGCCTCGAATTTCTTGTACACCTTGTCCAGGTCCGCAATGTCGACCCGGTGCGACACCATGGCCAACGGGTGGATCTTGTCCTCTTGGATCATCTGCAGCAGCTTCTCCCAGTAGAGGTGGACAGGCGCTTGCCCGTTGCCTATCAGCCGGATTCCGCGCTCCATGAGCGCTCCAATGTTGAAGTGGTTCGTCTATTGGCTGTCGTCAGTATCAACCGCTGAAGATTTGAATTTGCAGGAACTTACGAAACCAACGTAAACGCCAGTGATACCGCAGCGGCCGAAGTTCCTGACGCTGGTGATCATTTCGTTCACGATCTCACTCGTGTCGGTCTCCATACCCAGCATCATTTCGAAGTAGTGCGCCCATCCCTTTGCGTACTCGCCCGCGACGCACTCCAGTGCGACGTCGGGGCCACGACCATCGACCATTTCCTTCAATTTACTGGTCACGCTCTCACCCTTGGCCAGCTTCGAGTAGTCCAGGATCTCCACCTTGGGATATTTCTCCTTGAGGAAGTCGAGCCGCCAGTTGGCGTCGACGACAATGACGCGTCTTGCTCCCTGGAGGAATGAAAACTCGACGCACATCTGCCCGATGGGACCGGCGCCCCAAATGGCGACAACATCACCTTCGTAGACAGCCGTGTCAACGACGCAGTTCCAGGAGGTGGCCAGAACATCTGACAGATAGAGGCCTTTCTCGTCCGGGACGTCGTCGGGAAGCTTGAGAAGGTTGACATCACCGTACGGCACGCGGACGTACTCGGATTGGCCGCCAGCGAAGCCGCCGGTGAAGTGGCTGTAGCCAAACATGCCAGCGGTGCGGCCGCCGTACATGGCATTCTCGATGGTGTTGGAGTTCGTCTTCTCGCATTGCGAAGACAGCTTGTTCTTGCAGAAATAGCACTTGGAGAGGGACGGTCAGTCTCAGAATCTAACAAAGGTGATGAGGCTTGGGAGAGAGACTCACGTCACCACAGGCGATCTGGAACGATGCAACCACCCTTTGACCCTTGGCCAACCCCGTGACTCCGGCACCCATTTCGTCGACGACACCGCAAAACTCGTGGCCCAAGATGTCGCCCTTCTTGAGCTCGACAACCGTACCATGGAGCAGATGCAGGTCGCTACCGCAGACGGTGCTACCGGTAACCTTGAGGATGACGTCGCGGGGCTCCAGAATCTTGGGCTTTGGTACTTCGATGACCTCGACCTTGTTCTTCCCCATCCAGGCCAGCGCCTTCATCGTGTCGCTCGGATCGGCCCAGTCCTTGTTGTCAGCGGGATTGGTGACATCCTGAGCGGTCGTCGCATTGTTGTCGTGGCCGATTGCCTGCTCGGCCTTCCATGCTGCCTGGGACATGGCCATTGTGTCGGGTGTTTGCAGAAAAAGCTGTGGGTGATGCTGCTACTGGACAAAACAAAGTGGCGGATTCAAGCCGAAAGACTTTAAAGGCAGCGGCGTTGGCTGTCAAGAAGCACGTTGTGCGTATGCAGCCAACATCAGAATGACATAAAGAGAACAGCGACGTCATGAACCGCGCGAATGGGACACCGATGGGATGCAACGAAGAAATCGCATTCAGCCAATTCGATGGCAGATGGTTCTTCCCCAGCTGCCGAGTGTGATTGGCTCCACTGCGCAAACAATGACAGCAAGAGCTGACAGCAAGCCGTCGCTGCCGTCGCCTGCCGTCGCCGTTGCGGCTGCTACGAGGGGCTCACTGACGTCATGTCCATCGCACTCTCGGTTAGCGCGTCGTCCTTCTTTTCCTTCTCCAGCCGCATTCATCCCCACCCCGTACTTTGAGTCTAGACCTCTGCCCCTGGGCCTGCGTGGTTTCTAAACATGCTCCGCGAATAAGCTTGTGCCATACGTCCAACCGGCCATTGGCAATTGACCCCTCGTTCCAGAAAACGGTCTCGGACCAGCCCCGCTATTTGCAGATCACTAAATGGTCACTATTTCAACCGTTGAGATCTACCCTTATTACAAACTGCCGCCAATAATGTCCCCTTCGCATTTGCCCTTTTGGGGTTTGCTGTCCGCCTCGTCCACCATTTCCATCTCCGCCTAAGGCTGAGTCAGACCTTAGACTTACGTCATTGACGACTGCTTCCCCACGAGCAAAGAGGTGAATAACTCGACCGGGTTAGCCGCCAATGGTTCCAGTCTGAAATAACCAAATCAGTGTGTTTATCTTGCCATTCATTCTCGCACTCTTATTAGCTTCAGGTCGTCCGTCTGCTTACTTCCCCTGCTTCCATCTGGCCGATGACACCGATTCAGTCCGACCAAAAGTCACGATGCCGGTTTTGCATCCCAGTAGCCCCGGGATCTGCTACGGGAAGACGGCTAAGCTTAAATGAAACTTGCCGGCACGTAGCTAGAGGAAGCAGGTTCAAAGGGGCCCCCACATCTCCTGGGGCTATAGACGGCGTGGCTTGCCTTATTGTGCACGGATTCCGCCTAGGATCGCTGCGGATTCCGAGTAGGATCGCTATGGATTCCTTCACAACGCCTCTCTTCAAAACTTTATTTTGACGGCGACAACAATACTCCATCCTGACTCGGGAGCACTTTGAATTATGCACCTATGGGAATGTATTTATTGCCGTTGCCGTGTTCAAGTTACAAAATGCCATTGGCCGTCAGATGCCGCGCCCATGGTAGAGTTACTATAATGGCACTATTCCCCTTACTTTACTTGCCTTCTTCCAATTCGCTCTTGAGCATGTGCTCCATTCAGAATATACGACACAGCCGGTCGTTTCCACATGATACGTCAGACTACAGTCCTGCTCCTCCTACGTGTGTCACACGGCATGCTTGTCCTCGTATATAAACAACACATCCTACGAAACCAAGTTGGTATCACACATATCTACAGGTGGTTCAGCTTAAACATAAGTTGAACTCAAGTCTTCGACTCGGTTCCAACAGACGATAAGGCGATATTCACTTTCTCTGTCGGGCCCATCTCAACCAAGAGCTGCCATCGCCTTATCCTCCATCTTCCTTCAACCTGAACAGTCTCCATCATTCCACCATGATGCCTCGCATCATTCATGAAAACAGTTGCAACTCACCACTTTAAAGACTTGTAGACCTACTCAGCTTCGAACCAGCACGACGCCTTCCCAACCCAAGAGGAAGTCCGGAGCATGCGGCGTCGCCGACAAAGCACATCCCACAAACAATACATCTTGAGAGTCGACCAGTCGGTAGAACAGTCGGTTTGTGTCCAACTAGACTGACGACTGCTCCCGACAGCGCCGGAAGCGTTCTGTGAATCGGTGAGAAAGTCCACCTCAACGCTTCCTTTTACGCTCGCCGTCAAGGACCCCTCCCAGCGATGCTACCCCGTGCGCCGAGGGTCTCGGGGAACGGGAAGGTGGGTGGAGCAGGTGCGCTTGCCGCGTGGCGACCATGACGGGCGTGGATGGGTGGTTGTGACGCATGTGATGTTGGTCAACATTTGGGCGTGGGGTGGACGCGTGCGCGCACCGTGCCGTGGGGGTGGATCTAGCGGTTTGAAAGGAGGAGGGAGAGGTGAGGTTTTGGAGGCTGTCGGAGCTTCTTCTGTCGGCGTTTCGCACCGGATGTACGAAGCTCTGGATCGTTTGACTGGTTTCTCCTGTGTGTCTGGAATGCGGTTCTCGTGGAGGAGCGGGTCGGTGTTTGGAGAGAACAAGTCATGAGGTGAGTTGAAAGCTGGTGGAGGTGGACTGCACGGAGTGGCGGTGGCAACGATCAACATTTGGAAATAGTGCTGTTCAACGGCAACTGAGACGCTAACTGTCCTCATTCTTCAAGTGGGACCTCTCCATGAGTGGCTGTGGAAAAACACGTGTATGTTCATGAAGTTTGGGAAAGGGACAGAGGACAGCTGACGCTGACAGCGACCAGGATCTGGAGGTGAAGAAGATTCCGGTCTGCGTTTGCCTCGGGAGGAACACTTAAGCATTTGCGCGGTTTGTTGACTCAAGGTCAAGTCAATCTTAACCCTGTTCGGCTGAGCACCTTCACTTCAGACCAGACGGCGGTTTCACAGTAGGCTTATGGGTGCTGCGCAATGCCGTGCGTCTGGAGCGGCCTCGCTGTGGAGGCATAGCCATATAGCAGCCATCACAGGATGCAAAGAGAGAAAAGGCCAAGACCCAGGGGTGTAGTGATAGAATGAGTCGTTTCTGACGCTCCCCCGCAAGCGCATCTTCACGGGTAAGGCCTAAATTTAGCGGGATTGCCTCTTGCCGTATGTTCCGAGCAGAATTCCAGTTTCCAAGGAAGTTGGCTCTTGGATGTTTTAGGCTTCTGGCTCTCCTGACTTCACCCAAAGCGGGAGGGCGGGCAGTGTTCGTTTGCCACTTTGGGCCAGACGCCGCTCCATCCCAAGGGCGCGGGAAGAGCTAAGCCCTTCTGTAGCACAACCTCGCCGCTACTGCAGCAGCCATTGTTAGCGCTACACATGGTGCTGTGTAGAGCAGGCGGGCATGGGAGCGGAAGTGGGCGAAGCGGCAAATGTGGGGTATTCGAGGAGCGAAGCAAGGTAAGATCATGATCAGAGCTGATAGCATGACTTATGGACAGAGCTGCGGCATCGCTTCCCCGATTGCGGTGCCCCTGTGCGCGACGGCAGCGTCCAGCCATGACTCGAAGACGCGAAGATGTGAAAAGCTTCTCGCAACCACAGCAATAATGCGCGCTGACGATCGGGGCTGGGTGCCAAGGTAGACGGGCTGCGGACCCACGAGCAACACGACAGGCACAATGAAAAGTGCCGATCTTGAGCCTGGCGGCGGTGGTCAATAATACCTAGATGCGCGGAAGCGGAGAAGGATGATGGTGAAGCAGCAAGGCAATCAGGCCCCACCGAAAAAGATGCACGCAAGCTGCCACGAGTAGTGGTGTCGGGCGACGACGGCGTAGCAGACGGGAGCGGAAGCTTGAGGGACGAGGGACCATGCTGGCACGCTGGGGACGGCGGGAGCAGCCTCGTTGTCGGTCAGAGCTCCGCCGCCTCGCCCTCAAATTAGAAGGCGTGCGCGCGCGCCACGTGAGCGCAGGGGCGGCGGCGGCAGCAGCAGCAGCAGCAGGTACCAGCAGGCCCGCCAGCTGCAAGCGAGCGGCGCACGGCCCCGCCCAAAACATGCATGCTCGTCCGTAGTCCCCCCACTGTGCTACGTACCTGCATCTCCAAATCGCAAGCCGTTTCACCCGGCCGCCGTGCCACCGACGTGTCTAGCCTCCGCCGACGAATCCGCTCCCGCGCCCCTGCCCCGCCGCCCGGCTGTCATTTCACCACACACGCGAACGTTTCTCGACCCTCGAAGCTAGCGAGATCCTCTGGTGCCGCTTGCCAGGCAGTGATCGTCGTCTGTCTGCGCCTCGACGCCGCCCACGCCAGAGGCCCCGGCTCGCTCGCGCCCACCCGGCAGTTGGATGCGTGAGCGCGGCTGCTCGCTCGCCCCATTGGCAACGACTCGCGATTGCGCGCTGCAGCACCGACGAGCGGGTTAAGCTTATTGCGCAACAGGTCATGTTCCTGGCCGTCTTGTCAGGCCGCCGGCTGTGCGCGACAGGGTCCACGCACTACGTTCCATGTGCTGCGCGTTGCCACGGATCCAGCAGGTGAGAGCAGGTGAGAGCTCGCGGTGCTAGCCGTCGCATTGGGCTCGCCGACGGTCGGAAATAATACAGAGGGTCGGCAGTGCCTGAGCCATCGGCCGAGTGGTGCAGCCTCAAAGGGCACTGGCACAGTCTCACTCTCTCGCCGTGGTTAGCACGCGACTAATCACCACGCCGGCCGAGCTTCCCTGCACCGCGGCTGATCGGCCATCCTCCCTTGGGCCTCCCAACTGTTGTCAACCTGGCGATCTTCCCTTGCCGGCCAACTTGTCTCTCCACAACGCCCCCCTTCTGCCCTTCGCGAGTACGCGGCCCCTGGGCTGGCAAGGTCCAAGCAGCCCGGCTTCCAAGCTAACTCCCGCACACGCCCGCCCCGTCGCCACCAATTCGGAAGGAGATCAATGTAGGGTTGCTCGCCCGGGGCCCTGGATGCGTCGGTCATGGCTCCGGTCCTGGCTAGCCCAGAAAATTCGTCGGGCCTCTGCGTCCTGCTGTTACCGCGTTCGGCACTTGCTCGACGTGGAGCAGCGCTCTTCAGCCAGCCGGAGCCATGAGGCAGAACACGCTCAGACTTCACAATCTGCGCTGCTCCCCGCCCCGCCCACGCGTCTCCCGTCCGGCAGCGCACTCCTGCGGATCTGTCAAGCCACTCGGAGCCTCGAATCTGTACTTTATCGCCCAGAGTCCCTGGCAAACTGCTTCCTGATCCTTTTGCCTTGCACTCACGACCGCCTCTTGATCTGAGTGACCCGCCCGACTCCCATGAACCACACTGCTGGGTAGTGACACGACCGCCTCCGCCTCCGTCTGCGTCTCCGTCTCCGTCTCCGTCTCCGTTTCGTCTGTCCTTCTCTCCCTTCGGTCGCTACCTCGAAACGACACCGCAGCTATGGCGGGCGAAAACCGCGGCCCGGAGCTTTTTTGCGTGACCGTCATCATGGTCTGCATGGCCGTCGTCTCCACAGCACTCCGATGCTTCGTGCGACTGGGCATGGTCAAGGCGTGGGGCATCGACGACTGGTTCATGCTGGCTGGAACTGTATGTCTGAACACCTGGGAACCGCCACCACACTGTCACTGACGATATTGCTCACCAGCTCACCCACATAATGTTTGCGACATGTGTCATTGGCGGCATCCACTACGGAACGGGTCGCCACATGGCCGAGCTGGATCCTCATGACTCGGAGAAAGCTATGCGGGTAACGGCTCCATCGTCCGCTAGTCCTTACGAGCGTTACTGACTCGGTGATGCAGTACTGGTGGCTCTGCTACATCGCATACTGCCTTACCATGATTACCACCAAGATAAGCATCGGCTACTTCCTGCTCCGCCTGACTGTCCACCGCGTCCACGTCTGGATCATCTGGTGTGTCATGTCTCTCACCGTCCTGACCGGCGCCGTCTTCTTCTTCGTCACAATCTTCCAATGCAACCCGGTATCCTACTTCTGGTCCCAAACCGTCGGCGCCGAGGGCACCTGCGTCCCTGTCGAAGTCATCATGGCCTTGACCTACCTCTATGGCAGTATTTCGGCTATTTGCGACTTCACCTTCGGTATTCTGCCCATCTTCTTGATTTGGAATCTCAACATGAGGAAGAGCGTCAAGATTGCCTTGATTCCTATCTTGAGCATGGCCTGCATGTAAGTCAACACTCACTTTCGAATTCTCCTCTCTCAAGCAATACTATTGCGCAGCATGACAAAGATGGCTAATGTTTCCTCCCAGTGCTTCTTCCGCCGTTATCGTCCGCATGGCCTACGTCAAGGACTTCAAGGACCCAGACTTCCTCTGTAAGCACATGCGCCTTGGTTTTTTTTTTTCCACTTCGAACCTTCCAGCTGACCGCAGTTCCCCCTTTCTATAGACGCAACCGTCGACATCGCCATCTGGTCCGACACTGAACAAGGCCTCGCCATCACCGCCGGCTCGCTTGCCACCCTCCGCCCGCTCTTTCGCCTGGTCACGTCCAAGTTCGGCTCCTACGGCGCCACCGGTCCCAACGGCACGCCGAACCCCTCAGGCCACCTCAAGACGCCGGGCGCCAGCAGGAACCCTCAGGATCAGACTGTCTGGCCCAGCGACAACAAGTCGCGTGGCCGCAGCAACTCGCGCGGTGGGCCCTGGAGCCTGCTACGCACCGAGAACGGTGACGAGTTTGAGCTCGTCACAAAGATCACAAAGACAAGCGGCGACGATCATAGCCCGAGTCCGCCGGGCTCGGCCGACGGATACAAGGGCGGTATCGTGCGGGAGACTGAGGTGACGAGGGTGGTGGAGGAGAGGTCGCTTGGCGTTGCGGGAGGTGCGGATGGATCGGGGGGCAAGAGGAGGAGTTGGTGGCGAGGAGGCGGCAGCAGCCAGAGGAGAAGCAGCGACAAGGATGACAGCGACAGCCTGGAGGAGTTGAACGCAGTCGTGCGGGAGAGGAGAGATCCCGGCGATCATGTATAGCGGCACCACCGCCTGGTGTGTGCGGGTGGAGTTTTTTCTTTTTGTTTCCTTTTATGGAAACCGGTGGTGGACGGCTGGGGGAGAGCATATGGCTTGCCTCCTGTGTGCTTGTTTACCTTTTTTCACGAGCAATGGCGTTGTTTGGAGAAAGACGGACGACGGGTCCTCGGTTACCCATTCATTTGAAGTGCTGGAAAGGTTTGAGCACTGTCGATTATACCTCACACTGTCTTTTTTTTTTCTTCTAATTTTTTTCTGTACTCCAAAGTCTTTACTTTCAGACTTCTTTGTACGCTATTCCCAAGCGCTGGACATGATGATGTCACCAGTAGCATTATATGTAATATATGCATGAGACAAAGCACCACATGTTACCGTGTTCACCGTGGATGAAACCAGAGCCCCGATTGCACGAAACCTTTCTTTTCCCGTGAATGTCCAAATGTGTCGAGTGCATGCAAGCCGTTGATCCGTCCTGAAGGCCTGTGTGGCCTCGAGGTCAGATATGTCACTAGAAGTTCAGCATCCATTGGGTCCCCGAGGCCATGGATCCTTGAGGCGGATTTTACTACTGCGTCCTAATTGTAGGATCAGGTGCGGCCGTGGATGGAATGGAAAGATGTGCGTTCTGACGACGGAGTGTTCGTTTGGGTCGAAAAAGTACGTACGTGCCACGCGCGGTATAGGTGGACTCTGGTCACTACCAGCGCCCGGAGTAGTTTAAGAGGTAGGCTGTGTCGTGACGGAGACTTTGTATTGCCGAACTGCGCCGCTCGTTCTCGAATGATGGATGTTTTTGCGGTCAGGTTTGACGTTGAGCCGGCCAGTGATACAGTGAGATCTTCTAGTTGTAAGAATTGCAGCGGGAAAAATCCTTTTCAGAGCGCAACGCAAATGATAGACTCTTCAAAGCTTCAGCTTCAGCCTTTTAGATGCGCGCTGACCAGTGCATGCGTGATCATCCGTCATCAAGTCCCTTTGCTCGTCGCGGGACGGCGCTGCTCACATTGGCCGCCCGGATATTGATGCCAGAGCCCCGCCCTCCACATGCAGTCATCACTGAACGGTCGCCATCATTCTGTTGCACCCTCCTGCATTACAGTGATGCTCCATTCGCGAGGCCACTTGGCCCTCTCGAACGATGACATCATCGCAGAGCCTGAGCATGCCCTCCACGTGCACACACACATACCCCGATTGAGGAAGCCACACCCACACACACTCACACCCCGATTAAGGAAGCCACACACCCACACACACTCACCTCAACCGATCGCCCTAGCAACCCAAGCGACGTGCACGAGGCCAGTTTGGCGCACGTACCACCCAGGTCCGAAATATATAAACCCCCCGGGCCCCCCCAACCTGAACCTCTTTTCTTCCTTCAAGCTTCCTCTTGTGCCAGGGATGCACTTGGAGCACCTTTCTTCTTTCAATCCCGGGTGGGTGGGAGCCTTCAGCCACACCGTTCGAGGAGCTCTTTTTTGGCTCCTCCGGTCCCTGCTGAACGAGGCTAATCAAGCAGACAGACTCTGCAGATGTCAGACGCGGCATCTCTAAACAACGCGTGGTCAGTGGTCCCAAAGCGCCTGTGGCGAGAGCCTGGCATGCCTTGGGGAGCCCAGTTGTGATGGTCTTCACTATACTGGGTAGGGGAAAGACCGCTCCGGTGGTCTTTCCAGTAGATAGCTCTTTTAATTAAATCCTGCTCATTGCCTCACTTGGTCTTCTTTCGCTTTCGTGACTCTGCGCTTGTTCGTTCGGACATCGGTCGCTCCATCCTCAGATGGTAGAAATACAATCGCATCGAATCAGTGTGCTGGCCGGTGCGCTCTGTGAAGTGAATTAGTTGTGACTCCCTTCAGCCCCGGTCGCGAGCCAGTGAGCTGCGGCCCGGGGAGGGATCCGTCGAGGCTAATAGAAGCAAGCAAGCACTACGCTGCCTCTTTCGCACTGCCTTTCTCCGTCAGCATGGCAGATGTGATGTTCACATTTGAGCGGATGCCGACGCGACAACTCAATGTAGCCACGGCTTGCATGTGCATCGCCGGGAAACACTGACAGCCTCGCCGGCGCGCGCCTCTCACCAGTGCCACGAACGCCGACGAGGAAGGAAGCCGGCGCCGCGAGAAACTGGAACAACACGACATATAGACGGTGCCGTCCAACGGACACGCCGCGCCGCTCGGCCAGTGCCTCAGCGCCGCCATGAACCCGCGGTTCCACTAATTACTTCGGAACTTCCTACACGTCCAGGAGCGCGCACACACGAGCGACGCCCGATTCCATCCGTCCATCCCTCACCGAAAGAGTGACCGTCGTCCCGCTCGCCGAGTCCCCCCTCTCTTCCCGCGGGACGCACCACCGCGGCGGCTTCTGGGTCGGGCTACTACTGCTCATCGCCCCCCATTCAAACGACCATCCCACACACGTGTAATATTACCGCCTCGTACCTGGCGCAAGCTTGCATTGGCGCGAGTGAGACAGTCGACGTGGAAGCAAGCAAGCAAGCAAACACGTGCGTGGTCCGGCTGGAACATGGCGCTGCTGCTGGCGAGAAGCGAAGAGTCACTTCTTCTTTCTTCTTCTTCCCTTGCCGCCGGGTACGTACGCACATCCGTACGTACCGTTGCCGGTCGCGCGACTGTGCAGAGCCGAGGCGGTGCGGCCGCATGTGTACGGCAGCTGCGCCGGGCAGCTAGGTAGCTGCCTCACCAGGTACCGCACGTAGGGGGCAGCAACAATGGCATGGGAGCGCGTCGAAGTCCGGCTCGCGGTGAAAGAGAGAGCGCGACCCGGCTGTTGTCTTTGTCACTTGAGTCGCGCGCGCGTCTTCTTGAGCTTCCTCTGCCCTCGTCGTCGCGCGGTCATGGCGGCGTCTGAGGCTATCGCGCGGTGGGGCGCTCTGCAGGTGAGGCGCGGCGGACATCCGACATGGCCTTGACCTGACCAAGGCTTCGGAAAAGGTCCGGCGGGAACGAGAGTGAAGACGGCGCGTGAGGCGGGAGTGAGGCAAGACCGGGTTGTCACCAGTATATACATGGACCGCTCGTCTGCGGGAATTGTCCACGGACATCAGGCAGCTCAATGGCGCAGTGTCAAGCAAAATGCGGAAGAAGCAAATCACACAAAACACCAAGAAGATCGCATGCACGAAGCAGTGAGCCAAGAAAGCAAAACGAAAGAACCATGAATTGAATTGAACTGATGTCTCGCTACTGACTGTCCGCAGAAGGGGAGGTCTTCAACCGCGCGGTCTTTTGAGCAGGAGCTGCCGGTTATCCCTGCTCCAAGCAGGGAAAACGCTGATACAATGGTTCTGGGAGCGGCGACTTAGACGCGCGAGGCAAGCAAAGACATGCCAAGCGCAGAGTTGAAGCCAGCTCCTGGTTGTTACTCAGATTAAGTGGTGAGGAAGAGAAAGAAAAGAGTCTGGAGGGGAGGAAGGGCAGATATTTATGGACGCCGCTGGTCGTTGCGCTAAGCCTAATTCAGAAGGGGCAGCTGCGAAGGTCGCCTTGATGCGCACGTGGTAGCTACGTGAGTGCATGCCATTTTCACCATCAAGTGCGCTGGCCGGGCCGAATCATCTCAACCAAGAAACGAATGTATTACTGAGTTCAATCTAAGTCATAAACGTCATCACCTCGGTCTTTTCCTCACTTCACCAACTCAAGGTCCAGTCCCCATCCCACGCACCACCCTCAATCACCTCCTCCAGCCCCGTCAGCTTCAACACCCCGCTCGCCTCATCCCAGTTCCTCTTCCCCTCCGCGACGCTCTTTCCATTGACCATCACATCCCCCGGCTCGCTCCCCACGCCCAAAACCGTCACATTCGCCAGCGGATTCCCATCGCGATACGTACCGCGCCCGCTGACGACCAACCGCTTGCCGCCTTCGGGAACGACAAAGTCCACGTCTAGAGTGGCGTTCGGCGCCACGCTCTCGCCGTCGTCGACGTACAGCTGGCCGCTGGCCGCGCCGCCCGCCCCGAGCGCGACGAGCAGCGCCCACGGCGTCTGCCGCGCCTCGCGCGTCGTCAGCCGCGCCTCCTGCATCGGCAACACGCTGCCGCCGCGGACGAAGACGTTGATGTGTCCCAGCGGCGCGTCCAGCGTCACGTTCTCGCCCGCCTTCGCCTCGACCGCCTTTTGGGAATACCAATCGTACCACTTCTCGCCGCTCGCGATGCCAGGGAATACGCCGTCGACGGTCGAAACATTTGGCTCGAGGACGGGGGTGACGAGGATCGAGGGCCCCAGGAGGAACTGCGTGTCGAGGTTTGCGAGGGAAGGGTCGTTAGGGAACTCCCAGGCGAGAGCACGCATGACGGTCGAGCCCGTGGTGTGGGCGGCGTGGAATATCGTGTACATGTAAGGGAGGAGGGCGTAGCGGATGGACATGGCTTTCTTGGAAGCGTCGATGACGGAAGACCACACTGTTTGAGGCAATGGTTAGCAAAGACACGTGTAAAAAGGAGAGGGAATTGCAGATCTTACCGTAGGGCTCCTGCGACTTGGCGCTCAACGTATTGTGATTCCTGTAGAAGGGGAAGAAGGCAGACAGCTGCATCCAGCGGTTGCACAGTTCCTCGTCGCTGTTGCCGTTGAAGCCGCACGTGTCGACGCCGAACATGGGGATGCCGAAGAGGCCGAACGAGAGGGCTTGCGGAATGCTGAAATACATGTACGCCCATTTCGAGTAGCTGAGACACGAGGTTAGCAGACTCTCGTTCGAGGGGGCGATTCACTATGCTTACTTGTCACCACCCCAATGTCCAGCCCACTTTCCGGATCCAGCAAAGGTTGAGCGGCCGATTATGAAGGGTCTCCTGCCAGGAAAAACGTCAAGGAGGCCGTGGTATGTCGCGTTCAAGATTCCGTGCCCGAAAAGGTTATGCACGTCGTACTCTTGGGTGCCGTTGAAGTGTGTAGCATTGGGTGAGACGGCATGGACAGCTAAATCTCCCTGCACATTGTCGATCACGTATGGAGGATAGTTGACGTTCCTCACGCCAGGCGTAGGCGTGGTCCTCAGGTAGCTGGTCGTAGCAGAGCTGGAAGCAGTTGCAGACGTGGCGGCGGCCTGACTGGAGGAGGCAGCGGCAGCAGATGCAGCCTCTGTTGCGTTTGTGATGTTAAAGCCTTCGGGGTAATCAAAGATGACGTTTCCAGGCTCGCCAGGGAGAGCGAATGGTGGATGAGCAGGGTTGAGCGAGAGATTGCCAGAACCGCAAGAGCCGACGCAGAAGGAAGAGACTTCCGACATGTCGATCCAAATCCCATCAAAGGCGACCTCCTTGTGCCACCTGACCAGCTCATCAGACCACCAGGGAACACTGGCGCCAGACAGCCAGTCGGGGAAGACAGTGTAGCCGGGCCATACGGCACCAATGTACTCGCTACCGTCGGGGTTCTTGAGGAAAACGTCAGACTCGTGTCCGCGAGAGTACGTGTCATATGCGTCGGTCTTGTTGTCCGGGTTCGGAATATACAGCGCGCTGTCCACAATGGGGATGAAGTGTCTTCCGCCATCATGCAAGCGTTTCAAGACTTGGACGCCTTCCTCAAGGGGGAAGGTGTTTGGATCAGTTGTGAAGTCTCTGTACTCTTTCATGTAATCGATGTCTAGCCATATGTTCTCAAGCGGGATGTCGAACTTGACAAAGTTGTCGACAACCTCCTCAAACTGGGACCAATTCGCATAGCCCCAGCGACACTGGTGGTATCCGAAAGTGTAGTACTGCTGCATTGCTGGAAGGCCAATGGCGCCATACTGGTACTGCTTCGTGACTTCCGGCTGTGTTGGGCCATCGAAGAAGAACAGATCGATGGTGCCACCAAGAGTACGCCAAGTCACGTTCTCGGGCCTCATCAGAATTTCTTGGCCGTGGGCATTCCGCAGGAACACACCGTGGGAGTAGGAGACGTAGGATGAGTTGGGGGCTGCCGCACTGCTATCGGCCACGTAGGTCAAATTCCCAGTGTCCGGATCAACCTCGAAGTAGCGTGTGTCCAAATAGAACGGATGGCTGCCATAGATGTTGTCATCAATGGGGTCACCCACGTCAGCAGCGTAGATGGTGGCCGTATAATTGGTTCCGAGCCGGAGGCCGTGAATGTGTTCACCGAGACCGTAAATGTTGTAATCCTCGGGCATGGAGGTGACAAATTCAATGAACTGATCCTCGTAAACGAGAACACTGCCCTCGGTGCTGAAGACGACATCACCAGTAGAGCGGCGGATGACAGAGAATGAGAATGAGGGGTCATTGCTCCACGCAACCTGGAAGTCATTGTCCTGTGCAGTCGAATCTGCATCGGGGTCCACAGCTGGACGCGGGATCAACTCCTCGGGAAGTATGTACCACGAAGAGTTCAGGGCATCGATGTTGGCGGGGCTGATGCTGATGGAAAGACGGTCCGCGTTTTGGTACTGAACAGTGAGGTTCAGCGTGTCGACATCGGTCCCATAGACATTGCAGGCTTTTCCAGCCAGATTGAGGGTTGCTGAAAAGCCATTGGCATCCCGCTTGATGCCAGACGCCTTGTACCCAGGGCATACGCTCTGAACATCGACGGCCTGAGGATCCACAATATTGGGGATGAGGTTTTGGCCCGTATCAGCGCTTGCCGGGACGGTGAATTTCGGACTGTATGTGACGGGGGTGCCAGCAATGGTGGCCGTGGCCACTGTATCGGTCGAAGTGGGAGTGGTGGAGCCCGTCAGTCCGTCTGCTCCGACAGAAGAAGAGCTGAGACTCGATTGTGCCTGAGCAAAGCTCGCAGCGGTCAGCACCGAGTACAGCCATGCCCGACAGCGGGGCAGCGGCAGGGGGAGCATTGTGAAGTTTAAGACTAAGCCAGAGACGAGACTAAGGGAACAAGGCTCTCAGCTGGTGGGGTGGGTGGTGGAGGGGAATGGGAGCGTGCAGGATCAGAACGGAAACGGGAGGAGGCCAATATATATGCGCGGTTGCGGCGAGATTGATCCCAATGCCAAGTACTGAGGTGATGTAGCACGGGGGCCAAGGCCAGGCCAGGCCAGGCCAGGGTGTCGTAGTGTGTGCCCCCCGCACAGCACAAATTAACCCCGCGGCGATGACGATGACGGACCAAGGGCCGGGGAGCGAGAGCAGATGGACGGTTAAGCACTATCCAAATATGGAGTGAGGCTCCACAGGGCGGCGATGACAAGGACAGGAACCGACGGACAGTGGCACGACACTCACCAGCCGCAGTGGGGAACAGAGTGATTCCCAATACCACAGGGCCCACCACGCCAAATCGCAGATCTCCATGGCGGCTCGGACGGAGCACAAGGGTGGCAAGCAGCAAGTAGTAAGGTCGAGATGCTGCGGTCAAGTCCAGCTTGGGTTGCGCGTCGGTGGCAGCGTCGGCGGCCGACTTTGATCGAATTGAAAGAGGCAGTTGCCATCAGAAAATCCTACCGCGGCAGCAGCGATGCGGCGGCTGAGATGCGGGGCTGCGTGGTTCGCAAGAGGCTGCAGGCTGCAGCCCGCCGCCCGCCCCAACTCGGCGCCGCCTCAGTGACCACGCCACCGTGCTGGCTGAGCTAGCCTCGTTCCCGCAGAAAATTCCCTCTTCCTTCTAGCGTGTCTGTCGTTGCGGTGCTGGTTGCTGGACGTCACCACTCGGCACGTGCCGACCAGGGCAGCAACAGGGATGCATGTGTGTCCGCTCCCTTGAGCGGTGCTTCATGAACGAACGGGCCCCCTCTGACTGCTTCAGCGCCGTGTGCCCGGAAACGGCGTCTGCGTGGTGAGCAACAGCGCCGCAGCATCGCCTCCGCACTCGTGCCACCCGGTTGAGGCGGGCGGCAGGCGGCGGAGAGCTGGGGAAATGCAACCCCGTCCCGCCCATCCCGCGGGACCCGCGCTGCGGCTGCTGATTGGTCTATTGTCGGGCCGTGGGGTTGACCGACTGTCCCTCACATGAGCTAACACCAGACACCACGACACAGATCCCACAAAAGAGAGCCCACTCGTAATTACCTAGCTATTCCAATTCTCCGCCCTTCCGTCCCGCTAGCTACCCCTTGCCCCGCCTCTTCCTGTCTGCACGTTTTAAAAGTGGAGCAAAGAAAATTGACGACAGTGAAGAGAAAAATACAGGTGCAGATGGAAGGGGCGGACCGGGAGTCAACCCGACCCAAGAGAACCACCGCGTGGTGGCCGTCTCTCGTTTTTTTACTTTTTCTTTTCCTCTTGCCCACTCCCCCATGAACTCCCTCGGCTCCGTCCCCCACCGCCACCTATTAAAAAGAAAGATTCAGAAGATCCTGTGGTCTGGTCCGGCCCGCACGTCCGAACAAGAAAAGAAATGGTTTTGAACTTACGGCAGGGGCTGCGAGACTCGCCGAACGGGATATTGTTGAACACGAAACTTAGAGCGTCGGTGTGTGTCGGTGTCGAAAAGCTCCAACTGAAAGGGGGTACTAAGAACATTGACAGCCAGAGCACGCAGATGCCAGGCCCGCAAACCTTTGAACGCCTCCGGATGCAAGCAAGCAACCAGGGAATACAACTCTGAGAAAGCCATGACAGTGCTGAAAATACGGAAAATGAAAGTGAAAAAGTCGTGTTGTGACATGAAATCAAAAGAGAAGCAACGGAAAACTGTTTAACCCCGCCGTGTGCACGATTCCAACCTCTCCGAACACGCAAACCTGCCTGTGGAAAACACGAAGCCAGCCACCGGTACCAATATCGCCCTCTCCCCTCGGCGGACGCAGCTTTGACTCGACTTGGCTCTGATCCTTCCAAAGTACCATGCCCTCAAGCATGCAACGAGGACGCTCAAAGCGGGAAAGCCTCGGTGTCTATGGTTCCTCAACGCTTCTTTTCCCCTTTCGCTGCTCAGCCACCCCTGGCCTTTCCGCGGCGACGGAAGAGATCCATGACCCTGCGCGCCGCGCCCGAGCTACCAGAGTGCTTCTGGTTGTCTTCATACGCATCTGCAAACCGACGGTTCTTCTGGAGCACACGAGCCCGCCCTTCCCGCGGTTCTGACACTGCCTCCGCACTGTCGTACTCCGCGTTGCGCGATCGATACGGCAGCGACTGCGGGCCTTGGGACGAAAGGTCCGATTCATTGCCGTGGTAGTAGTTGCCCTGCTCCGAATTCGACGGGTACTGCTGCATGCCATTGTCTTCGTACTGATACGCCGGCTGGGCCGCGAATTGAGTCTGGTCTGCCGGCGCTGACGTCGGTCCGCGTCCCGACATTTGACTCCTGCGCTTCTGGCGTACGTCAGTCGTCTCACCCGTGCGACGACGGTCAAGGTCGTCGTAAGTGATAGGTATCGTGTTGCCCGTGCTCTGGCTGGGAGCAGGGCTTTCACCGCGTCCGAATGCCATTTGCGGCCGGGATGGTGCCCGTTGCCGCCCTCCCATCGAACGGCGGTCGCCTGTGCCAGCCGACTCCTTGTTCCCACCAGTGAAGCTCTTCATGGAGAACGAGGCGGGTAGCAGGGAGAACCTGCGCGACGATCTGTCCCCTGGGCGAGCACCGTCGCTGGTCTTGCGGCTGAAGCTCAAAGAAGGACGGCGAGAGGACTCAGTAGACTTCCTGTTACTGTCTCCGCTGTTCATCGAGTTGTTCATGCTGACAGGAGGATAGGACTTCTGAGACTTTGAGCTTCCGCCGAACAGGGACGTCCTGAAAATCTTCTCTCCAATGCCTCCAACGGTATTGGATCGCTTGTGACTACTACGCTGCGTGTGCTGCGCTTCTGGTTGTGGCTGGTAGCCAGCAGATGGCATTCTTTGGGTTGATGGCTGTCCCATGGCAGGATCCTGATCCTGCGGCATCGGTGCAGAAATGACGTACTGCTTGCCCTTGGGCTGCGAGAAACGGCCTTGGGCATTAGTAGCCGCGACCGTAGCCGCGACAGGCTGACCGTACGAGTTTCCGCGCGAAGGAAGTCTTGATGATCCACCCAGAGTGCCACCGGTGGACGGCCTTGCCGAAGAAGTGACAGGGGCATTTCCAAATGGCGAGTCGGAAACAGTGCGGGGCCCTTCGCGGGTCTGGCGCGCGGCGGCTGGCACCTGTTGTGCAGATCCTGCCGAAGGACGACGTTGCCTGGTAGTTGAAGAGGCGTATCCATCAGAAGATGGCACCTCCACTGGGCCTTGGTCTCTGGAGCGAGAGCGCTGGGCGCCGCCTTGAGACAGGGGCGCCGTGGAGCCCGCTGTAACCGTTGAAGACTCTCCGCCTCTTTGCGTCTGTGTGTGGGGTGCAACATATTCGACCTGCACCGTTCTGCGCTTTGCGTCCCGTCTGCCTTGCTTGTCCGGTGACTCGGTTTGGTCGATGTGGCCGTGCTTTTGGGTCAGACCACCAACGGCAGCGACAGACGTGTGCTGCTTGCTGGCTTCGCGCACGGATGCACTGCGAGCCAGTTGCGGGACTTCGTACGGATCCTCTGTGACAAACGTTAGCATGTCTTGAACGATGCCTCGTGTAGAGGCATCGAGAACATGGGGGGATTCTCGAGCATGCGCGCAGAGGTCTTACCTGGCGGGACGGTCGTGTTGGCGATGTCACTCGACGTCGTAGTGCTGCTGGTGATGAATCCAACGACGTGCGCATATTCGCTCAACCAGCTGTGCCGGGCGACCTCGAAAAGGTCGGCTCGTTTACGTGGATCGGGAACGAGTATGCGTTTTAGAAGGTCGCGGGCGTGCGGAGTGACGTATTCGGGGAAGGTGAGGGGTGTGGAGACAATGTACTTGTAGAGCAGGTTGATGTTGTCACCTTCGGGGTTGGCTGGATCGTCGTCAAACGGAAGGTACCCAGCCAGCATGGCGTACTGTGATTCGGTATGTGTTAGCGCTTGACAACTAATGGCTGCCTAGGATTTCCTTTTCACTTACCAGAATGACGCCACAACTCCAGACGTCAACTTTTCTGCCGGTATATAATGAGTCGCTCACGACCAACTCTGGTGCAGCATAACACGGACTTCCGCAGCTCGTCTGCATCAGATCTCCCCGGCGATGTCCACCGTCGCCGACGATCTCCAGCCCCGCTTTCTTCACGAACTCCTTATTTCCAAGGTTGTACTCGATCTCGTCCCCGAGCTCATCGATGGGATCGAAAGTGTTGGCAAAACCGAAATCAGTGATGATGATGTTCTTGTTCCGGTCGAGAAGAAGGTTCTCGAGCTTCAGGTCGCGGTGCACGATACCTTTCTTGTGCAGGTAGCCTACGCCAGAAACCAGCTGGGCAAACAGGCGGCGCGCCGAATTATCTTTGAGATAGCGGTGGTTCAGAATGTAATCGAAGAGCTCGCCGCCGGAAGCGTACTCCAGGATGATGCCGATGTGTCGTTCTGTCTCGACCATCTCATGCAGGCGAACGATGTTAGGGTGCTGCAATCCACGCAGGATGGAGATCTCGCGATAGATTTTGGGGAGGCGGCTGGGGTTGGAGCCGAGGACTTCTCTCCGGATGAGCTTGATAGCAACCTGGACTCCGCCGTCCTTCTTCCAGCCCATCTTTACCTTGCCGAACTCTCCCTCGCCCAAGGTCTGGCCGAGGATATACTCGCCGAACTTGGTTTCCCTCCGCTTTTCTCTGGAGTGGTCCTGCCGGCTCTTTCCAGCACCCCGGCCGCCATCGTCAACACCATCGTTCCCCACAAGGCCCAGCCCGGTGATTGGCGTGATGTCGGCGCCAGTTGGGCCGGAGCGCGTGTCCGCCATACGGGCCTGCTCACGGGCAATGTCCTCTTGGGGATCCGCGATGACCAGGCGGTTGATGACCGTGCTCTCTTCGCGGGGCAGGTTGGATCCCATCGGCGGGGTGCCGACGGCGGTGGCAGAGCGGCTGTGGGTCGGCGTCTGCTTTGTCCGAGACGACGACGAGGGGCTGTTCTGGTAGGGTTGCTGCTCGCGGGACGGCTGGCGTCGGCGCTGGGCGGCGTTTGCAGCGGCGCTGGCAGGATCTTCCCTCATATTCTGCGAGGCGGTGCGGGACGACGGCGGGCGTTCATCTGTAGATCGTTGACTGTAGTACGGGTCTTGTACGGGCTGGGCGGAGGTGCGATGGGTCGACGAAGTGCGAGGCGGCGGCACAGGACCCTGGTGAGCATTGTACGGGGACGAAGCGATGACGGGCGACGGCTGGGTTGACGACGACGCGGGCTGCGCGCGCGGAGTTGTCATGTCGGAGGTGTTGGAGGCGGACGGCGAGTAATGTTGCGATTGTTGCGGTGTGGAGGGCTCCCCATTCCCACCCGGGCGCGCGGACTTGTTCCTCGGCGAGCTCTGCGCCGGGGCAGGCTGCTGGTAGTACTGGTCGCGGCCGTGAGGCGGCTGCTGGTACTGCCCGCGGCTGGAAATGGTGGGACCGGTCTGCTGCACCGCGGCCGAAGACATCGTGCTGCTGCACCGGCTCGGCGATCAGGGTTCAGCGATGCGCTGGCTCTGGGGCTGGCACACGCTGCACGGGGTGCGGAGGCTCGGCGGGCGCGGTCGGGCTGCGGGCGCTGTTTGCAGGCTCGGCTGGGGTGGCTCAGAAGAGCGGTCGGTGGTGGTGCAAGGTCAAGGAGGGACTGCAGCTACCGGGCGGGCCTTCACATGGGGCGGTCGACGCGATGCAGCTTTGGGACGAGCTGTCTGTCTGCTGCCCTTGGGGTGCCTTAGCGAGTGGAGCTTGGCTGCGCGCGGTGATTGGCGAGCGATGCTGCGGGCAGAGGGCAGGCTGGCGGGCGAGAGCGCGCACGCTGGCAGCTGCAACTGGCAGCGTGTGAGCGAGAGTGGTGGTGGAGAGTCGCTGGCGGAGCGGCGCCTGGCAGGTAGGCTCGGTGGCTCGGTGGCTCGTCTCTTGCGTGTGGACTGGCTGCGCGAAAGCACGCTTAATCTCCCTGTTTCCAGCGTCGCGCGCGAGGCCCTTTCCTCGGGCTACTAGCATATCGCTTCAGGGGGGCGCTGCCGGCGCACAGGACGCTGCCAGCCAGACGCCCGCTCGACTCGGCTTGACATCAGCAATCTGCGACGCCTGTGGCTGCGCCGGGGATGTCCTGGCCGCGACGAGATTGCCTTGCCGGCGATCGCGATACCCGCGCCTGCCCTCGACGCAGCCAGAGCACGCGTCCGCCAGCGCTGCTCGCGAGCCAGCGCGCGTCTGAAAGCCAGCACCCGACGGCCTGGGATAACCGTTGTTTCACAGCCGCGCGCGCCTGCTGCCGTGCTAGGCGAGAGCCCGTACTACGTAGGTAGCAGGCCCCAGGCCCCAGGCCCGCCCTCGCCTTCCTCTGCGCAAATCGTACCTTCCACATCCGCGCGTCGTGTTTTGCACGTCGCCGCCGCCGTGCCCGGTGCCTGCAGCGAGCGGGCGGCAACGCGATACCGACGACCTGGCTATCAAGCTCGTACCGTAGGTAGCGTCAATCTCCTCCCGCCGGGCTGCCCGAGTCTCCACGTGCGATCTCCCGCTGCCACTCCCCAGCTGCGAGCTGCTGCTGCCGCCGGGCTGCGCGCGTCCGGCCGGCTCCAGTCTGCGCGCGCGCTTCGGGCGTGATCCAACCGGCGGCGCATTATTACTCGCAGATCGCGCACCTTTGGAGCCGCCTCGCGGATCCCTGTCCCTGCAGCTGCCTGCCGTTTCAGACGCACAAGTCCCGGCCAGCCGTGGCTGGGTACCTTTTCACGCTCCAACGTTGCTCCAGCTCCCCATCATCCTCCGTTCAAACGTCAACTACCCGGCCGCTGGCGCCGCGGCGCACGTCACCGCCGCCAGCCTGCGCACTAACGGCCCAATGCCAGTGTGCAGGTGCCTGAGCGCCTTCTTCGAGAACGCCTGCTGTCTTCAACCCCGCCGAGCGCTGCTCAGTGCACGTGGACAGTTCGGGAAGCAGCTCCGAAGGGCTCACAGCACAGCGGTGCACCATAACTCTAACGCGCCATTGTGGGTTACAGAGCCTTACCCTTCCGAGATCTGTCTCAACAAATATTGCACCCCACTTGCGTGGGTAGCCGCAGAGTACGCTTGAATGTACCTAGGTAGCTGGCTCATTTTGAAACTGATCTCGGCGTCCAGAGATCCGGCCCAACTGTCGACGCAGGAAGAGTGCGATGTCTCGCGGAATGCGACTGAGCAGGGTAAGGTCGTCTGTAGCCCACCGTGGCGCACCGCGCGAGGCGCATCGCTCTCAATGCGCCCACGTTAATCTCCCACCGCCGGCGCCAGGCCTGGTCCGCCCAACCTACCCCAGCCGCCCATCGCAGCCGCCCCATGACGTCGAAGTCGGCGCATAACGAGCACGACCGGACGCCGCTCATGCGTGAAACGCTCAGCGGAAGTGTGCCGTCTGGCCCTGCCAAGCGACGACGTTGAGTCGCGGCCCAATCCACGTGACTGACACGAACTGGACGCGTCGCTGGCGCCCTCAGCGGGTCGTCCCGAGCATAGCTCGAAAAGCAATTTCCATGCCGATCCGTCCGAGGGCTGCCTCGGGTCCCGCAGTCGGCATCCAATCCCGCGCGCGTACAGTCAGCTGTCTGGTCAGTTCCAGCTTGATGCTTGCTGCTCCAATCAACCTCTGCCGCCGGCGTCTTTCTAGAGTCATTCTAGAGCTCCCGTCCCGGCTTCGGCAAAAGTGCCAGCTATCATGCGTTCCGTCCGCCATACGACGTAGCATCGTGCTGTCCACACGGGTGATCTCCATTGACTCGCTACCTGTGCCACTTTCCGCCGTTAGCATGTGCGGAGATACCCACCTCCGTACGGCCGGGATAAGGCAATTCGCTCACAACTCACATCTTGAGATGCGGCACCAGGCCGACCGCCATGTGTTGGCAGCGACTTCTTTCTATAGCTCGTTATAGCTGCCCTTCGCCTATTCCACTTGCCTGTATATATGCGTCCTAGGCCCTACAGCTTCGCCTAATTCGGTAACAGTCCCCATCCCATTGAAACACAGCCACCCCTTTGCCCCTCATGCTTTTCCGACTCTCTATTTTTATTCTTATCACAAATACTATACTTTTCATCACCTATCGCGAGCATCGTTTGGACGCCCAACCCACACTCGCGTCCATTGAGATATCCCCCTGAATGCTCCTTTTGGGAGGCATGGGCCATCTTCTTTTCCCTTCTTCGCCCTTCTGACAAGAGCGCATGTATGACCACCACGCGCTCTCCAGTCCTCGGCGCTCATGGCATAGGTATCCCAGCTCTTCACCCGCACCGACTGAGGCATTTCGCAGCCGCGCCGACCCCTACTACTATCGATGGCGTTGCCCCGACTTCGCGCCTATTCGGCCCTCTCCTCCGTTGCGGGATGAACTGGGCGCGCGTCATCTCGCTTTTGGGAGTGAGGCATAATCACACTGCGGCTCTGTGCTCACGGCGCGCGCGCGCGCACATGCACATGCACTTGCGCATGCACATACACCACACTCCCGAACCGTTCCCCTTCCCATTTGAAGCAGCAAAAGAGAGAAAAAGACCGTCCGTCGGACCTCGCCAGGACAGAGCAGCCAAGGCCGCCGGCGGCTCATTCTCCGACTAGCGGGTACGTGCGGAACGTCTCGGCAACGGCTTCGCGCAGCTTGCCCATTAGGGACAAGGAGGGAGGAGCCCCCTCCGGCCGGGCGCACGGAAGTAAAGGATAGCAAACAACAACATATTGAGATCAAGAAGCGTGGAACACACGAGGACCGATGCCCTTCCATGGTTCGTTCGTGAAGAAGAAAGGAATCCCACGGAACGGTCTGGGCCATAGGTAGGGCTCCTGAAAGGAGAGTGGTCAAGTGGTCAGTTGTAAGGATCATCAGGTACCGTGCGTGCAGAGGCCAACACGGATCTTCCGAGTCAAGGGTGTGAACGGACATCAGGCACAGGGCAAAAAAAAAAAAAAACAATCGCCCGTGTTCGTGCCCGCAACAGGCGTGTGGGCCGCCCCTCTCTTTGTTTTCCGTCCTGCACGTCATCTCGCGGTACATCACCGGTCCGACGCAGTGCGGTTCAGCCTTGTGGAGCTTTCTGTTTGTGGCCTGATCCGGCCTCCCGCAAGTGCCATCATCTCATTAGGCTTTCCTTCCCCCTGTAACCTTTTCAACCCAAGCAACGACCGACATCTGTCACCGATCTTCCAGGCCGCGTGCCCAGAGATCGGATTGCACCAGCGGGATCGCTCTGCAGAAATGAACGTGGGTGGTCAATTTAGAAATCCCATTTCATTCATCATTATTAAGTACAGGCCCATTAAACTCGGGGTTCCTTTGAGGTGGTTCGTTCATGTCATTCATCAGATCTTGATATCCGCCGGAACGTTGATATCCAGGATGTCGACACCCTTCTGCAGCTCGCTCTTGGTAGGCATCTTTCCCCTGCGCATGAGCTCGGCGGTCTGGGTCATGTAGGGGTCCTTCATCATGCTGGCCATTGCGACGACCGTCTCACCCTTGGTGTAGTATGCAATAAAGCTCGGCTTCTCCGGCTCGCCCTGGATGACGACGTCGTCGTACCCGTTGACCGTGTTACCACAGTACCGCAGTTGACTTCCCAAGGCCGACCAGAACACAGGGATGAAGGGCTTGGGCTTGGCGCTCGGAGTGTTGATCGAGTTGGCTACGGAGCGGCCGGCGTTCTGTGCGACGTTCCAATGCTCGATGCGGACAGGGGACCCGTTGCCGCCGGGGCCATGATACGGGTATGTGGCGATATCGCCAATTGCAAAGACGTCCTTGAGGCCCTTGACCGCGAAAGACTCGTCCGTGCTGATGGAACCGTCCTTCAGGAGTTCCACGGCCTTATTGTCCTTCAGGTACTCGGTTGCAGGACCGACACCGACACCCTCGATCACAAGGTCCGCCTCGAGAACAGTTCCGTCTTTCAGGTGAACCGCGCCAACCTTGGACGAATCGCTCTTCGACGGGGTGGCTTTGTCCACGGACGCTTCCATGTGGAAGTTGACGCCGTTCTTCTCCAGCAGGCCACGGAAGATCTTGCCAACCTTTTCACCCATGACGCGTTCCATGGGCGCCTTTTCCATGCCGACCACGGTAACGTCATTCTTCTTTCCAGCAAGGCAATTGGCGACTTCCATACCGATAAAAGAGCTACCGATAACGACGATCTTCTTTCCGTTGTCGCCAACGGCATTGACAATGCTTTGAGCGTCAGGGATGGACCTTAGGATGAAGACGTTGCCGAGATCGCCCTTCAGGCCATCAAGCGGAAGGTACCTCGGGGTGCCGCCAGTCGCCAGAACAAGCTTGGTGTAGTCGTACGTCTTTCCGGATTTAGTGGAGACCTTCTTGCCGTCGAAGTCCACAGCAGAAACTTCGTCGGAGACCATGTCAATCGAGGCATCCTTGTACCAGTCTTCAGATCGCCAGGCAACCTTTGAGACATCCGCCAGCAGAGCCTTGGACAGCTTCGTTCGGTCAATGGGCCTGTAACCTTCCTTGGAAATAACGGTGATGTGTCCGGTGTATCCGCCTCCACGAAGACCCTCAACAGCACCAAGAGTGCCGCTACCACTATAGTCAAGCAACATCTGTCAGCGTGGTGGATCAGGACATGGCATTGACAGCTGTCTACTTACCCGCCAACGACCAGCACCTTGTCAGAGCCCTGTGCAGAGCACTTGAAGCCAAGAGCCCTCCTGCCGGCCTTGATTGTCGCCTCATCGCCCTTGATGTAGACGCCGTCGTCTTTCTGGACAACTTCGAAAGTGGCGAGGGGATCGAGAGCGGGTGCGTCCTCGACATCACCGGTGGCGACTTTGAAGCAGGCTAGAAGTGTTGTCAGCTGAGAGTTGCATGGCGGGGCGAGTCGTGGAATCTTACCTCCGTGCCAAGGGCAAGTGAGCCTTCCTTCAGGTGTGAGGACACCCTTCACCAGTGGAGCGCCATAGTGAGTGCAATTGGCGCTGGTGACGTGAAGCTTGTCCTGGACCTTCGAAAGTAAGACCTTTCCATTCTCAACGCCTTCGACCTCAGCCTCTTGCTTCTGGCCGTTCTTGAGGTCAAGGGACGTAATGCCCTTCAGCTTGTACTGCTGCGCCATCCTGGATGCAGAGGTGGAAACGGGGAATCGCGATTGGAATGCGAGGAGAAAGCGAGAGCGGGGTCGCTGTCTTAGAAGTAGTTGGCTGGGAACAGCAGAGACTGCGAGGCGGTTGGCGGGCATGAACACGTAGGCGGGCGAGGCTTATGGAGGGGTAAGATACGAGACCAACGACCAGCTCCGGACGGCAGGTGGGGGGGCGCGGCCTAATGAGCTACGAGTCGCAGCTGCTTGTTGATGATGCATCGATGCCATGCCTGGGCCGGGCCGGCGAATCAGAGGCGAGTGATTACTTGATTTCACGACGCGGTAGGTTCCACTGTGCATATGAAATGAGCCCACTCGCCGATCAATGCCCCAACTGTTGACGAGCTGCAACTCCCACCGGACACCACAGCCTCCGCAACCACCACCATGCACCGCCCCAGCACTCCAGAGACGCGCGCAAACAACAGGAAGCGCGCAGACACTGTCCGAAAGAACCGCCGCTTCAATGCGACAGCCGAGGCAATGCAGCACTGCGAAAGGAAGCCGCAGAGCACGACATGTCCTCGAAGACGTCATTTGGCGGTAATGTCACTCTTATCGATAAAGCTTAGCTGAGTCTCGGCCACTCAGCCGTCGCGCGACGATTGGGCCCCGCCGGCAGCGGTCAACACCATGTCTTACCGCTTTCTTTGACCTCCAACACCGGATCGTGAGCGTCTCGCCGCGTTCGGTGCCCAAAGAGAGGGTGTGTTATGCCGTGCGAGCCGGCGCCGCCCTTAAGATGCCAGCTGTGCTCAATGGCTGGCTTGCCAGACCTCGTCCTCCCAAGCACTTCGGAGCAGACACAACACCATGGACCCGGAGACACCACAGACACAGCCGGGGGAAGACCGTAGGCTCCTGGTTTTCCGATATGGCTAGTAGAAACCGATGACTGACGCCAAGTGCAGGTTCCAGCGAAGACTACCTTCCTCCCAACCTTCCCCGGCCAGTGGATGACCACTGCTGCGACCACCTATGCACTTTCCAGTTGCCGTCGCTGCTGCTTACTTCTACCAAGAATGAGACAATCGATCTGTCCAAGCTGAATGGCTTGACCGTCCTTTTCTGCTATCCGCGCACCGGAAAACCCAAGGACCCTGTGCCCGACGACTGGAACGTCATCCCAGGCGCTCGTGGCTGCACGCCGCAAGCCTGCTCATTCAATGTCGCCACCTCGGAACTCAAGGGATTGGGTATTTCGAATATTTTCGGTCTCAGTACGCAGGAGACTGAGCATCAGAAGCTCACTCGCGAACATCTGCGTCTCAGCTATCACCTTCTCAGCGACGAGCACTTCAAGCTCTGCGAGGCTTTAGGTTTGCCCATGTTTGAGTATGGAAAGTGGCGCCTAGTCAAGCGGGTGACTATGGTCATAGAGGATGGCAAGATCATCTGGGTGGACTATCCGGTCTTCCCTCCCGACAAAAGCGCCGAGAAGGTTGTGGAGTACTTGAAGACGCTTTCCATCAACAAGCCAGCCCCTGGTGATGTTCAGCCTGCCGCGGATCCGCCTGCTGGCGCAGGACCTTCAAACCCGGTGCCAGCCGTAAAGAGCCCGGCGCCAGCCGATGAAGGTTCCAAGAGGCAGGGTCCTGCGTCAAACTTCCACCTCTGCCAAGAGTGGGTTGAGAAGAAGGCTCGGGAGGCTTCAAAGGGCACTACGGCTGAGAAGGACAAGTCCTCCAACAGTATCACTGGAGAAATTGCTGGGCCCGGCAAGAAGTACGCTTTTCACTTCAGCGGAAGCTGCACCACCAATTAGACGATGGTGTCTGGAAGGAGCGGTCAGAACACAGCAACCATGAATCTGTGCTTGATTCTTCCGGTTGCACCCTGTTTCAACCCGCAATCCTGACCACGTATCCGGATATGTATTATGCGCGCAAATGTATACATAGGTAGCAACAAAGCGCATGTCGTTTGGTCTTGACTCTAACCACCATAAGTGTAAGGCAATATTGCGCCTTGATGCCGCTAGCCTCTTTCCCAGGGCCCACTGCTGCGGCAGGGGCTGTGTTTTTCGGCATTGCGACTTGTTAACAATATGCTCGCTCTCGTCCGGAACAGCGCTTCGGCCGCCCGTCGGCGACTGTCCATTCTGTTGCAATACCGATAAGCCTGTCTCGTACATTCCCCCTCTAAAGTCAGTGCTGGATTTGTGGCACTCCAGGTCTGTCTTACGAGAGCAGCGGATGTGGCCGTCCGCGCTCACATACCGTGGCAGCGGTGACAGGAACAGGAAGCGTGCATGTCAGGGTCGTGCAGATCGGATCCGGGCTCTCGCTGGGGGGGCGGAGGATCCAGCGATTGGCCCTTCGTCCCACAAACAAAACTAATCTCCGAGAGGGCTCTCGCCAGAAGAGGGAAAATGCAGTATCCTGTTTCCCGATGCGTGAGATGTCGGAGGAGGCGCAGGTATTGCACTGGGCACGCCGCCATCCACACACTAAGGGGGGGGGGAAAAGAACCGCCTTGATGCTCCTCTCGCTCGATCTTGCCCTGCCTCGTGTTGGACCCGAGCGGTCGGGAGAGGGGAGGGGGGTGTGGGAGCAGGAGTGTCTGGTTTCCAGGTCACCGGCGCCCAGATGAGGCCACTTATGCCGGAGGGCTAGGAATTCTCCGATTGATGCGATTGAGATCCCTTGCTTGGAGAGGAGCTGCAGTGGCACAGATGATCATCCCCTTCCAGAACGTGTCTGTTCCTCAAAGGCCGCCCCTCCCCTCTCTGCGAGGAGAGGGCCGCTGCAGGCTGGCTGCAGCGGGCTAGCGTGAGCATCTTCCGATCAGGAGCAGAAATCTTTTCTGCGGGCGGTTGAGTCATCCTTGTGCAGAGAAGCGCGTTCTACAAGCTCGAGAGCTGGGTGTGCATTCCTGCTCGCCTGCGGCGGAGCCTGCCCCTGGTGGGATTCGGGTCTGATGGGGGGGCATCATCCCACACTCCGCTCGGCACCGGTGCCGGTCTTTTCGTCCTGTGTCTTGCCGTCACGGTTTGCCTTTTGGACCATCTTCGCGTTTTTTGAGTGGAGCATCGGCAGCCATTGGTCAAGCACCGATTTGACTTCCGTAGCGGCAGATCAATCGGGGCGGTCAGCTTCCAGCCCTCGCCTTCTATAAGATACGAGAGGGCTGTCCATGGGCAGCTCACGACTGCAATTGGAGGTTGCGGGACTCGCTTTCCAGATGTCTTGATCAGCGATCCTTTTGACAAAGCACCGCCCTCCAGCCAGCCACTTCGCCCGCTCCTACCTACGCGACGTCTTGTCCGCCGTTACTCGGCTTCCGAGCGGAGGCGCTAGCTTGGAGACGCGGTTCGCGTTGACGACGTCTCGCTTTTTGTCGACCCCGCCGGCGTGCAACCGGCCGTCTGCCGCAAGCAGAGATTTTACTCGGCCACGGCTTACGGCATCGAGTCTGATGGCAATGATTAGTGAGGAATCGCAGCGCTGACGTCATGTTGCCGTGGGTGCAGGCTAGCAACGTCGAGATAGGTATATTGGAGCATCTCTCGCGAATTCTGTGGACGAAGGGCTGCGCTGTGTGCGGGCGGGCGTCCACGGCATTGCGTGGGCCCGCGCATAAGCGTTGTGGAAGGCGGGATATCCGCTGCATCGACGCATCATGAGAGATGACGATGCGATGGGTTCGCAAGAACGTGGCCAGCGCGACACAGGGGGTTCACCGCGAGTCGGATCAGGCGTCCCTCTTGGCGTCAATGGCAGCCGGCCGGGCTCCGCTGTGGATGATGGCGATCTGCGCGATTCGAGCTGCTATTCAAAGGGCCCCCGAGTCCGGTTCGCCGGGTAGGTGCGTAAGTGTCCTTTTCCTTGTGCTAGGTGTGTGCATTATGTGCATCGCATGCCAGCAAGCGAGGCGGGCGAGAAAATAAAAAAAAGACTCACTTGTCGCTTGCATGGCGACGGAAGGTTTAGGAGACCGGTCTTCACAATTGCCAAAAATAACGCTGGTCCCGGGGACTGGGTTCAAGTCAAGGCGAGGGAGAGAGACCCTGCCGAGGTCCAGGGCTGTGTGGTGTTGTCGTCAGAAGGCGGCCCGGCGTTGGGGCACGAGAGGAGATCTCTCTTCAGGGTGGCGAGACACTGCACATTATCTCACTCTCGGTAAATGCACCCGACTGAATTGTTCTTCGGAGCGGTGTGGCACGGCGGCGGCGGTCGAGGCGGGAAGCCAAACACGAGCACGCGTAGGCAGTGACACGGCAGGCCGGCCGCGTCTCCGGCCGCAGCACGCTCCCCTTTCCAGATTGCACAAGGGCTGGAAGGGGAGGGAAAAAAAGGAACCGGGTGTGCGGTACTATTCTTGGTTTACATTCAGCAGCGGGCTGGATTACACCAAGTATTGCCTCTTGCACCACCTACACTCCCCCACCCTCTCACCGTCAGCCAGCACCCAAGCTTTTGTCCATGCTCAACACCTGCCGTTCGCCTCGGTTTTCTTTGGCAGGCTAGTCGTTGCTGCTAGCACATTCCAGAGCTACGAGGCAAACGAGTGGCCAGCTGAAAAAGCCATCCCGATGTGGAGAGTGTAAGGCTCGGCGAAGTGCGAGGCTCCGTGGGAAAGCGATGGATATAAAAACTTTGCTGGCTCCGGCTTGAAGAGGTCGCCACAGCACTCAACCGTTCAACTACAGTCACTCGCTTCTTCAAAAGCCTTCTCGTCGACTCCATCTCAACTCTCAACCTCGTCACAACAACCAAACCTCTCGCTTCACCATCACAAACATGACGCCCGACAGCTCTGGCAACGGTATGCACGCCTTTTCAGTACTCCAAAGGCATCCTTTACTAATACATGACCTCAACATCAGGCGGTGACGGCAACTGGCCTCGCGATGGAGGTCGTCGCTAGACAGCAATTGGCTCCAATCCTGGCTTGGCGAGTATGTAACTGGCACCGTGTATCTCGACCTTTGTATTGACAGTGAAGCGCAGGAAAATTGTTTCGTCTTCTTTTGGCAGTGGGCCAGGTGCCATGCTGCCAAACGGCGTTCGCGTTTGGATTCTGAACTGAAGCATTGGAGGAGGGAACCATAGAATGGCGTCATCTAATCGGGGGAACGGCTGCTTGGCTTGGAGACTGGCTCTGGATAATACTTAATGTGTACGCGGCGCGGTTACCAGAACGAGGGGGAATGCACTCGCTCAACAGATAGAAGTCGCTCTTCTCAGCTGCGTCAAAGCTCGAACGTTGTCTTATGCATTGACGAGGCCCTCGACTCATCTCTCAAAACTGACCATCCCGATCACCTCGCACGCGCTAGCCGCAACAGGCAATCCGCCCAGTGACTCCCCTCTCTCCCCCCTCCATGGCAGCCAATCAGCCGTCGCACAGAGCAAAGAAATCCCGCGATCGATCAGTCAAAACATTCAGCCGTGGCCGGGTCCAGCCCATGCACTGCATGCGTCTGCGTTTCGTGCGTTTCGTGCGTGCGCGACGGTGGGGAGGGAAAAAAAAGAGAAGAATAAAAATAAAAAAGCACTCAGGCCGAGTAGCGGCCCGCCGCCCACCCGTAGCGCCATGTCGATCGCTGACCCTCAGGCTCCCGGCCGCCTTGCCGCGCAAGCCATCGTCACGGCACCGCCTAGGCGTCCTGCCATCATCTGTATGCAATCCGGCGCTACTTTAATGCTGCCATCGCCCGTTGCTGACAGCCCTGCCACATGGCAAGGTGACGGTGGCGCAGCGTGTGTGGCCCATTGCTTTTTTTTTTTTTTCGCGTTTCTTTTCTTTCCTTCCTTTCTTTCTTTCTTTCTTCCATTCTTTCATGCGACGTGTACAACAAAGGGCCCGTGTGGTAAACGAGCCAGTGAGCAATAGGGCAGAAAGGGCTTGCTCGCGCGTCAGACGCATGCGCGCGTGTTGTACAGGGACGTCGAATTGGGAAAAACTCAGGTCCCGAGCCATCCATCAGGTGAGCCAAAGTCAGTCAGAAAGGTACGTGACGTGCTGCCCGACCCAAGCGCCCCGCCGCCTGCCTGCTGCCGCTGATGCCTGGGCCGCTTGTTTTTTTTTTTTTCCCCTTGTTGTTGCGCGAAAGGAGGCGGAGCACACGCAGCTGCGCCGACTTTTCATGAGTCGGGAACACGGAAGGGAGGGAAAACAAAAGAGAGGAAAGCAGGCAGATGAGAAGGCAACCGAAAACGCAGGGCGAAAACACGAAAGAAAAAAGACGGGGCTTCCTCCGGTGAGGCGTAGGGCGCAGGCCTTGCCCTCGGTACTCCGGTTAATCTTCTTGTTCCCCGATCTATGCCTCCTTGCAGCCTGGGCCCTGCGCAGCAGCTTGCGGCTCTGGCGAGAAGATGGAGCAAATCGTTTTACAACGAGGCGGGTTGCGTCATCGTTGTTCCCGCCTTCATGGGTATATATCTCGAGGATATATGGATGGCATATCGCTATTTCTACAGGACTGGTTGGGACTTTACCTTTGGGACCCTGTGGCTTCCAGCCAACACTTGCTGGAAGAACCACTTCGCTTCTCTGGTTGACACGTAGAAAACTTCGAAGAGCGGTGTGATACCAACGTCCTTCGCGGCGCCGTATACTGCAGTGTAGATAAGCCGTTGAGAGCGCGTGAAACGTTCCACATGGCTTGCATTGAGAACGGCATGGCACGATCTATGAGCGATGGCGGTGATTTGCTACCCTGTGGAGTCGGGCTGTGGGCGTGCCTGTGAAGGATGCATGCCCGACGCCTCCTCTCACTTGATTGGTAAATCATTATGCCGAGACCCAAAGACTCGGGTTGCTGCTCTGTCCATCATCTGGCCGTGCACATGATCCTGATGCAAGGCGAGATCGTCTCACAGACAAATCAACAGCATGTCCGCACACCCGTCTCAGGACACGTATATTGCCACCCATCCACAGCCCAGTCGACCTGGCAGCCTGTAAAGTACGCAAGCTCAGCCCAGCCCCACAACGGCACACCACGCATGGTTAAGGTCGCGCCGGGCCGGGGCGTTTCAGGGCGTGCCCAAGCCATGGTTGCTTCGCGCCGGTGCAGTCTACTGGGGCAACGGCTTGTCTGAGCAGACGCCCGTCAGACAACGCCCTTTCCACGTTGTACCTTTGATAAACCGGGCAACCATATGCTCGATGCGTAAGGCGCCATGTAGGAGGCGTCGGCCTCAGTCCGAGGCTCATGTTCCTGTGAATGCTTCAGTATTTAGATGCGCCCATGTCCTCTGTCGAGATCCATCTCACCTTCTACCGAGGCCTTGTCCAAGAAAGCCCTTCATCTCTCGAACAGCACTGTGCAACAATCAAGCGGCAAATCATCTCTCTGCAACGATGCCGAGTGCAGACCTTGGGTCGTACGATGACGACAACATCAAATCTGACCAAGATACTGGCCAAGATACCAGTGGTAATCCCAACTTCACTGATACTCACTCTCAAACCACTGATCCACTGACCTTTCTCTGTCACAGGAGAGTGGCCTCGAACCGACTACAATTAACCGGGACATCACGACCAGGAGCACCCTGTATTATGATGGTGAGTGGCCTACATTAGTAGTGCGCGGCGTGGAAAACTCATCAAACACTAGATCCCTCTATCATGGCGTCTCGCTGAAAGAGGATTCTGCCTGGTCCACAGAGCCTACCTACTCAGCACCGACGACCACACGCCCTTTCATTCCTGTATCTATTGTACACAGCCAGTACATCCAAGGCGCTCATGGTTTTAGAAGGACCCCTCACGGGTGGAGGTTATATTTGCTTTCCGTCGCCCTGATTTTCCGGTCGCTGCATCGGGTGGTGGCGACTTTGTTCGACGCGTCAGGATAGATGGCACGGTGCCGCCCTAGTCAAATCGAAGCCTAATATCATCCTTCTTGTCAGTCGAGTCTCGGGGTCCGACGACTTCGTTTCCTTGAGGTGCTTCCGCACTTGACCACTGGTGTCGGACCAGCTCGCTTGCCGCAGTACCAACGACCGAAAACACTTCAACGTAGATCAACGCAGCTCCGCCATCCCGCCTTTCCAAAGAGCCAAGGCCAAAGGAGAAGAGATGTAATATGCCTGAGGCATCGAGGAATGTGGCTGTGAGGCGCGGCTGCCACGCAATGCTGCGCAGGATGGAGCGGTGTCGAAGCACGGCGGCTTCGCCGTGTGTTGCGACCTCAGGCCTGGAAAAGGAGGCGAAGCGGGCATTATAGCCTCGTCAGTCCAGGACAAATTTCTCACGTGCGCATCCGCTGGCGGCGCGTTGCATTCGAGGGCGGAAAACGAGTGGTTCATTGTGCGGCTGCATGTCAGCGCAACAGGGGTCCTGTTTTTCAGCTTTGCCTCGGGTGAGCGACAAAGCCCGCCGCCCGCCGCACGCTGCACGCTGCACGCTGCGAACGCTTTTCCTTCCGCGCGGCCACTGCCTCTTGGGCACGCCCATCAAGTCTAGACCGGCATACGAATCGTTTTTCTTCCTCCCCCCTGAACGTCATTCCGTCCCAGCCTCTCGTCTCCGTGACGTAGCCAGCCCGCCCGCCGGTGCGGCCTCCGCGCTCCCGCGCTCGGTACCGACTACCTATGCAGGAGCTGCCGTCAACCGCGCCCAGCCTTGTACTACCCCCTTCGAGCACACCCAAGGGCTCTCGGAAGCCGCCTTGCCCGGCCTGTCTGCCTGTGCCCGCGCCTCCCCCTGCTCCGCCACTCCCGCTCACTGACGTCGGGCTGGCGCCCCGGCTGAGCTGATGAGTTTCCCTCTTGCCAATGCGTGGGAGCAGGATCTGGACGTTGCCTCCGGCCCGGCCGTTTGATGAGCCACGCACAGCCAAAAGTCCCGGGCAGGGAAAACAATAGGGAGACAGCAGCCCATGACGTCTGGTAAGCGCTGCGGGAGAAGCTCATCGCCTATCGATGCTTGGGTGATCCGGGCCTGGGCGTCCGCAGGCGGGCGCTTCCTCACAATGAGACAAGCTCCGTGTGCGGGTGCAAGGCACACACCAGGAGCGCGGCCATTTGCCCCCGGGGCTTCTCGACACACGGCCGCGGACAACACCGCCTCCGCGCCCCCTCCTCCTCCCGCTGATGCCCGTGTGCTGATGTGCTCCCGCTGCGACGAGGAAGGCGGCTGTCGTCGCTTGGCATATGTGTGGCTGCGCCCCTGCGCCACTTTTCCCCTGACACAAACATTATAGCCTTGTATAAAAAGGTGGTGTTTTGCTTCGACTTCCCCCATCCAGAAGCCCTCGCAGTGATCCTTCTATATCTTCCAAACCATCAATTGAAACCACGAAAGCAACGCAGAAATAGAAAAAAAGAAAACACATCTACCCACTTCGAAAAAAGACCGTCAGACGAATCACCACTTTTCGACAAGCATCGACTCCACAGCCATGTCCTCCACCAAGACCATCGTCTCCAACGTCTTGGCCCGCTCAACCACCTTCGCCAGCACAGACCCAAAAGATCCCTGGGGAAAAGATGCTTATGGGAGCTGAGCAAGAGGACCAATGCCACCAGATCCATTGGTCTCTTCCTCGTCAAAGAGCAAGCACAAAAAATTGACATCGGCCCCTCAACAACGCCGCTGGCTCCTCCTCTCTTGCACGCTTCGCATGGAGACCTTCTCTCTCCGGGGACAACAACACGTTTGGGTGCCATGAGCAGCGCTCCATCCACCACCCCTGTATTTCAGGCAATCGACGTTCATCTCGCCGCGAAACAAGGGCTGGAAATCCCTCGATTGGCCTCGATGGCTCAACTTGTCCTCCACAAAACGACTTGGAGCACGTTAGGTCCCACTTCGTCTTGGTCGGCCGGAGACTCTGATCATTGAAAGCCTAATTCATCGATCTGAAAGGAACGAGTGTGAAAGAGAAGAGACGAAGAGGAGGATGAAAGAGCACTCTCTCTCATACATGCGTGGAACAAGGCGCAATTGATGAAGATTGTGGACGCAGATAAGTCTTGTTATTTAAAAGACAAATTGTCATATTTTGAATTCCAAGTTTTTTCCCCCGGTCCTTTGTCCGGAACACCGAAGATATGTAGAAGTGTTGAAGTTAGAAAACAGTTGATAAGACCAAGAAGATGCACCACATGGTTCCTGTATCTTTTTTCTCCAATACTGTGCCGCAGGGATTCTGATTCAGCAGTCTTGCGTCGTTCGCCTTCAAATATTTCGCGTCCTGTTTTCATCCATATCGAGTCTGAGTAGATAGCCTTGGTATGGAATGAGGCAAAAAGGCCTTCACACGGCAGTCGAGAAAAGTAATTCTTGAATGAGTTTCTAATTCCCATTTCATTGCTTTCTGCGCCGGTTCATCAGGCACTGCTGATCTTGGCCGTCCTGCCTTGCCGTCATGGACAGGCGCTGGAGTGGTAGCTTTCGCCGTAGCTTGTGCTGGTTTCGAGCTGAGGTGGTATTGGATTGTCAGGTATGAGAGATCCATTGTGGTTCAGCAATGATGATCCCGCAGTCCAAGGTGACCATTAGAATGCTTCGATGATAGCGGCGCGTAGAGCATAGTGGATATCTGAGCGACGGAACCCCGGACCTCGGCCGATGCAAACACCACGTTTGATCAAACCTGCGACGAGTTAGCCACCTTCGCATCCCAGCCTTACAGCTAGCCAACCAAACTTACCGTTGATGAACCTCTGAACATCGATTGTCACCGACCTGTTCTGCCTCCGCTCTTCCACGGAGCCTACGGTCGCAACCCCACCCATGCCGTACTCGCTCAGGTCCAGATGGTTGTCGTCGGCCCAAGCGTAATTCAGGTCGTAGAAGCGATCCCATTCATCCCAATTCTTGGGATCAGCTGACGGAAATTCTCCCCAATCCATTGAGTATGGCTGTTCCAGCCTTTGTGCCCTCTGCTGAAGGAGGTTCGCACTGTCAGGCGTACTCGGGCCGTTCGACGTGGAATTCTCACCGTGTGAGGCGCTGGGGACACTGGAACTGCTGGGCAAGCTTGCCTGTCCTGGGCTGCCTGTCGCCAACATGGGCTGAGGAGCTGGAGACATGCCGAAATTGCCACCGACGTGGTTGGGTGCAAATTGATCGAGCGCCTCGCCGAGGACGCCCATTTCCGAATCTGGATGCGCGACGTCGCCGTGTGGTGATTGAACGCGCGCAAGAGCATCAAGCGTCTTGACAGCTGTCTCTGCGAAAGATGCTTGTGCGTCTATATGCACGCCCAATTCCTCGAGGTATCCTTCGACGTCCTGGCTGTCTAACCACTCGCCGCCATATGCTTCCAGATCGTATTCTAGTTCTGGGGTAAAGATGATGTTGGGTCGCGTGCTTGTTCGAAGTTCCTCGAGTTGTACTTTGGTGGCGTACGGTCCAACACGGCGGACATTAAAGCTTATTTGGCCTGGGATGACCCTGCCGTTTTCATCTCGCACAGGGTAGTGGGTCCCTGCTCCGCCTAGATGGAGGAATGGCGAGTTAAGAAAGTCAAGTGGTTGGAGCACAGAGTTCTGGAGAAGATCTCTGAAATCTTTGAGTAGTCTGTCTCGGGATGAATAGTGACGACAGAGGCGGAAAACCCGATTGAAGTCGCTGGGGCGGAGGTGTGCGGTTGAGAGAAGATGGAAAGCTCGTTCGAGACAGGCTCGTTGCAAGCGACGTGAAAAGGTGGTTTCTTGGAAAGAGTAGGTGAAAGCGGGTCGGGGGGTGCTGTTCATCGGAGACGGAATCCAGGGTGAAACACGTGTGAATGGTTCGTAGGTTCGTGCTCGGATCGGAGCAACTGCGCTTTTTTCGTTTTGGTGGTGCTCGTTCATGTGCTGGCCAAGGGCTTCCGGTTGGGGTTGGAAGGCATTTACTGCGTCCGTGTGGACGGGGTTCCGAAAGTGGGAGGAAAGGGCGAAGGAAGTGTCCTGAGGCTGACGCAGTTCAGTAACTATTGGCTCCCCTGCAGCTCCAAAGGTTGAAGCTGATAGATTAGGGAGATCCGACCCTGAATAGAAATCAACGTTTTGTCCAAAGGCCGGGGCCTCAGGCTCTTCGGCAATCTTATAGTATCCCAAGCCGATATGGGTTGAGTGAGAGTTTATCTGGGCGTCTGCATTTGGCACCTGTGACACGTCATGCGGGGCTTGGCCCATGTCTTGGTAGCTACGTGTTGAGATGTTTGGCGCAGCCGCCGCATTCTGTGGTGTGGTCGAGGGGTCGGAGGCGGCCTCTTGGCTATCCTCACGCTCGTCCTCAGTGTCAACATGCTTTGCAGTCTTGGCGAGGTTGACGAAAGCCTCGCTGGTCGATCTCAACTCGGAGGCCAAGTGCGGACGCAAGGCGAAGATGTCCGAAGCCATTGCCTGGTCGTTGAAGTGCAGGAACGAATCGTTCATGCCATCGATGACCGACTGCAGCTGTTCGACCTGCTTTTGCAGGGAGGATATGGTCATCTCCTTCCGCTGGCGGTATGCTCTCTGAGCAAGGCGGATCTGGGTGCGACGCCGCTGTGCCGGGGTTAGTCGGCGGACCATATAGGGCGTCGGCATGATGGAGGCTGGAAACGGGAAGGGAGGCGAGAAAGGATGAAAGCAGCAGAGCGAAGACGGGAAGTTCAAGGCAAAAGCAGTGCAGTGGGGCACTCTGGGGATGGGGGCAGCGCTCGTATAGCGGAGCGTCACCGCTAGTGCAAGGAGAGGATTTTGTGATGAGTGATCGGAAGAGAGAGTGCATTTTTTGATTACTCACATCTGCAGCGGTCTCATCCTGTGTATCTACTTTTGGTCTGCCTCTCTGCTTCTTGCCCTTGCTGATGGGCTCCGCGGACGGCGTGGGTTGCCTGGCCCGCTTTTTGGTAGGGCGCTCTTCACTCTCCGAGCCCATGGTTACGCTGCGGATCGCCGCCGAGGCGAAACGTGGGGGCGCGCCGTCCTTCGCTGGGAACAACTGGTCCTCTTTGGAGAAGAGACGGGTGCGGCTCTCCTTAATTCTCTTTGGGGAAGCAGGCGGCGCACGTCGGTGTCGGGGGCTGGCTATGTTATAAGAAGAATGAAGGGCCGGTGTAATACAGCAGTGCGACTCCGCCACGGTCTTGGTAATCCGCCTAGTGGCACCGGCGTTAAACCCAAGACGAGGCGAGGCCAGGAAAGCGGCCGGTTGACTTCGGCCGCGACCGCGTGAGTGGGTGGCGCGAGCAGCGGGGAGAAGGGCGGTTAGCCGGGAGGGATGGCGTCAGAGGGGTTAGGAGATGGCGCGTGCAGAGTGGAATGCAAGGCTATTAGCCATAAAGCGCGAGAAAGAGCTGTGTTGCGGTAGGCAAGATGCGTTCACGCCCCGTGAGGAGTTGCGGAGCGATGCGAGAGATGTGCTCAGGGCGACTGTTCACTAATCACCGGCCTTAGCGGCTAGGGCGTCGCGGCCCCACCGCTTACGCCGACCGCTACCTAGCCCGCAGTCGGCAATCCATCCCCCCGGTTTTGGGCCCCTGCTAAGCTTCACAGCCTGGCTTCACACGTGCAAGTCGAACTACAAAAGCTCAAACACTTCTTTCTTGGCCTAATCCGAGCCGGGAGCATCGCCTTCGCTGTCTCCATCACCGCTGTCTCCATCACCGCCGTCTCCGTCTTCAGCCTCCTCGCGGATCAGCGGCACGAACCGGAAATCGACGAAGCTCACTTGGCCGCCGTCCACCTCAATCATGAACTGCAGGCTCAGCACTCCCTGACTATCCCCCCGGATGCTGACCTTCGTCGCTGCTGCCATTGCACGTGCTGCCGCTTTGATCAACCCAAACCGGTACGAGTATACTACGCCGTGTGCCACCTGGAATGTCTCAAGCAACGTATCCTGCTGATTGTGCCCGCCCCGCGCCCCCGAGTCATTGCTGTTGTCCGGCCTATCGAACTCCACTACGGTGCTTCCCAGCGTCCCGCTGGCGCTTAAAGAAAAGAAGGGGGCGGTGGGGTTGGCTCGCAACACCAAGTTTTCCGGGTTCGTGCTGCTCAGCTCTGTGATTGCATCGTGCAGGAACGAGCTTCGCATAATGATCTTCATGGCCAACTCGTCCCTCGCAAACGGAATGTCTTCGTCCTCGGCCTCGTCCAGTTCGTAAGTTGTCAGTTCGCAAGTCGTAGTCACGCCACCCTCCTCCAAAACAACCTTCAACGGCGAACCCGGCGCTTCGTAAGAGAGACGGCACACCGACGCCATCCCAAGGACCCTGTTATCGAATGCGTTTGTGGCTTCTCTCGAGCTGAACGTCGAAAACGGGTTCCGCTGGTTCGCGTCTGTGAGGCCAAAAATCTGCAGCGTCTCGAGGAGGGATGGGAGTGAAATTGCAAACGCTGGAACAGTGTCGGCGTCATCATCATCTGCGTCGGATTGTGAACTGAACCGCGGTGGATTGAACAGAAACGTGGTGAAGAGAGTCTTTTCGAGAAATGCGAGGCCTGCGTGAAGTCAGACACTGAAGTCACAGGGCAGGCTCTACGCATACCTTGCATGACACGGTTGTCCTCAGCACTAAACCGAAGCCCATCCTCAGTTATCTGTACGCGCACTTTTTCCGCAAACCCAATGCTCCGCAGTATCATGAATAGCTGCCGTGCCGAGCCGGACACGGCGCTGAGGATCGGCTGACTGTCCACGACGTCGTTCATGATGGCCATTTTTGTCTGCTCGTATTTGTGCAGCTGTTTGGAAAGAACTGGCGAATATTATATTCCCGAAGTTATGGCATCACCCTTCTTAACGTACACGACACTTCCGACGGCGCCTTGCTGAATGAGAAAAGAAAGGTGTTTTTATACGTAGACACCGACCGCGCAGATCATGTATACGGCACCGAAGCTGCAGCCGTCAGTATACGCGCGCGAGAATGGATTTGGGGGGTAATAATACCCAAAGGCAAACGACGCAGGGACGCCGAGGGCAGGTAGCGTGACGATGGACCGAGCTGTCACCTTGTCAGCGTGCGCATGTCCGTCAATTGCGCGCGGGTTCCTACTGAGGCCAAAGACGCCGGTGAGGATGAATGCTGCGCAGCAGGGTCAGCGATAAGTCTGGCAGGAAAGTCACAACGCGCGTACCAGCCAGGAGCAACGCGAAGCCGACGGTGAACTGGGCGTCCTTGGAGACGGTGGGATAGAAGGGCTGGGCGGAGGACGCCTCCCAGATATCGAGCAGAGGCAGCTGAGCAGACATGGATGTGGCGAAAAGAGCGTGTGTCGGGGGGGTTGAGGCTCAGAGCAGACGCACCGGGAGAGCTCGCAAGGCAGACAGCTGCATTCGGTTACGTATACGTGGTGTTGCTGGGCCGGCCAGCCCTAACTAGGCCGCGCGGAGAAGCGGCGCCGCCAAGCCAGGCCCGGGCGCAGATTCCTCCTGCGTGGCGGCCCGGCGGCGATTGACCTTGGACGGAGCGCTTTGAGATCACTGCCAGCCTCACCTCCGAGCGCATCAGTTCATTGTACGCCCTGCTCCGTCTCACTCGCTGCTTTTTCCATGCCCGTCTCATAAACCGACACCGCCGCGGTCAATGGCCCACGCCGTCAATTCGGCCCTGCACGCTCTTACCAGCCCTCCTCATTCCTCCTCGTCCGCAACCATTCCTGTTTCCTCGACCCCATCCAACACCACCTTCGTCATGTCGGCCACCTCGGCCACCTCGGCCACCTCGGCCAGCCCTGTGCTGCGCAGGCGCAGCGGGAAGAATGAAGGCTATCGCCCGAAGATTGTCACCACCGTCGGCGCCAAACCTGCCTGTCTGGTGAACGCATCTGTGACGTATGTCGGCAACGACCAGATTTATGCGTTCGGCGGTTTTGATCAATACACCGACGAGGGTCAGCCTCCTTCCATCGCTGCGCGTCTCACAGTCCAGCAAAGCTGATGCGCCGCAGTCTATAATCATGTCCTACGCCTCAACTTGCAGACACGCCAGTGGAACCTGGTCGATAATTACGGTGACATTCCGGGCGTTCGTATGGGTATGCGCCTCACCGAAACCGTCGCATATTTGCCCTGATGCTTACCTTCCAGCAGGCCACACTGCCAGTCTGTGGCAGGGAAACAAGCTGCTCGTTTTTGGTGGTGAGAATGAGCACCGCACCTACCTTCACGATGTTATTATCTTCGACCTGCAGACGGCTCACTGGACTCAACCTGACATCCACGGAACTCCTCCCAAGGGCCGCGCCCGTCACTCGGCCGTCATCCACGACGACAAGCTTTTTATTCTCGGTGGCATGAGCGGTTCCGACAACTACGTCCTCGACGACATTTGTTACTTGGACCTCAAGACCTGGACCTGGTCTCGCACGTGGCGCTTTGTTCCGCGCTACGACCACACCAGCTGGGTTTGGGACGGCAAGATTTGGGTATTTGGTGGTCTTGGAGAGGATATGGAAAAGACCAGTGAAATCTGGTGGCTGGACATTCGAGGCAGCCCTGCGTTCGAAGCTGCTATGGCGTATGGCACCTCCGGCAGAGGTGCGCTGGGTAGGACTCGGGACTCGAACTCATCGAGCTGGCGCAACACGCTGACGACTGGCAACACGGGGTATGCCGCGAATTCGAGCAGCGTCCAGACTAACCCGGCCCACATGTCTGGCAACAGGCCCTTGTTCGCTCCAGGAGCCATCTCCTCGCTCAAGTTCGTCGCAAGTCAGAATCTCCCAACACAGGCACTTGGCACGCATTTCCATGTCTTTACATCTGGCCAGCTCGTCGATTTCGTCACCCCGGCTTCGGTCATGTCTTCGTGCGACATCAGCCTTTCGACGTTGGATCTCGACACCCTGCGTTGGCACAAGCTGGCGGATGGCAAAGACATGTTTCCTCCCAACTATCGCTGGCATTATTGCACCCTTAACGAAGATGGAACCCACGCGTGGTTGCTCGGTTGTCCCACCGATCCTGGCAACACCGGCGACGCCACTGGCGAGTATCTCAGCGACGTCTTGCCCATCGACCTCACCAAGTTTGGCTTGCTCGGCAACTCGCTTACACACGAAACGCGCGCCGAGGTCCATAAGCTCCCATCATCCGATGCGAATGAGAACTCGCCCCTCTCAGGTATCGGAGCGGACTTGATCAAGGTCTTCGATCAGCCTCCGGAGACGGGTAGCGGGGCGGACTTCCAGATCACGGCCGAGCGCGACTTCGAGGATGAGTACGATGATGACGCCTCGGTCGTGGCCGAATCGTCGTCCGCGCAGGAGTCGGCACCGATTCACGTCCACAAGATGATTTTGCAAGCACGCTGGCCCCACTTTGCTCGGATGTACGCATCGCAAATGCTCGAATTCCACACCAAGAAGATGCATATCCCGGAGCCGTACAGCACCGTTCGGGCTTTCCTGCACTATCTTTATACCGACAGCATCGCTCCTCGCAGCAGCAACGGACCCTCGCTTCGCGATGTCGCCGGCATGTTAGTCATGTCGAACATCTATGTCATGCCGCGCTTGCGCATCCTTTGCGTCAACAGGTTGCACAAGGAACTCGATGTCGAGCACGCAGCTATCATCTGGGAACGTGCCAACACCGCTGGTGAAAACTGGCTGAAAGAGCGGGCAGCAGACTTCTGCATGACGTACTGGGGCAAGATTGTGCGTACCAGAGGATTTCGCTCTTTGCCAAAGCGCAGTCTGCTTGAGCTCTGCGACGAAGTGGACGACCATGGCCGTGTCCTCAGCGGCGAAGAGTTGGAGGCACTTGGCGCCCTGGCTGGCATCAAGTACCCCGGACGTGAAGGCCGAAAGCGCGGCGCCGGAGTGCTGGCGAGCGACGACATTGAGGAAGGTGAGAACGACGATGATGAAGGAATGGAAATTTCGTAAGATGATGCTGCTGCTGATGTCGCTCCCACCTAGCGTGCCTCATCCAGCGGTTTGCACTTTGTTTTCCTGTTCGAGTTTCTTAACGACTTTCTCAACTTCATGAAGGACATATGGTTTAATTCGGCGGTTGGATGGCATGAGTATGGCGCTTTACGAAAAAGCAAATTGCAGAGGCGTTTCCGATTCGGCGCGGTTTCCTTGGGACGGAGGTATGTGGAAGGCCACTGGAGTTTGCTTTGTGGTCATAACGACAATGGCCATGCTTTTACGATCAGCGCAGGGTATAGATAAAGTGGCTTGCCACGAAATGCTTCAGCAGTCTTTGTAGCGAACAGCGTAGCCTGCAGCAATAATAACGGCTACGATGAAAGAAAGGGCCCGTCACGTGAACGAGCGGCTGCCCAGGACCCCCGGCTGGCTAAACTGGGGCGGCGGCCTGTGCTTGGAGAGCCCCTCTTTTGAGACGTCACCTGCTACCCCGCGGTGGTCCCCTCGACCACCACTGGACCCACGCTCCAGCCATCCACAGGCGGAAAAACTCACGCCAACGCGGCAACTCGAAACGCTGCGGCGAAACAGCCAATGGGCTTCCACGCCGCGGTACCACCACAGACACGACGCATCGTGGGTTTGGCAATGGGTCGTGGGGCGCCGGCTCCCACCCCGTGCCACTGCCCCCTCCGGTGGGCGGAGGCCCATAGAAGCTCTGGCCCATGGTCCAGACAGCTGTCCAGCTTCGTCTCTTCACAGTCGCGAGCCCACGCCCGCCGCCGCAAGGTCCACGCGAAGCTAATTTGTCTCTCCCACCGCGAGATCTCCTGGGCGCGACCCTGCAGACGTTCAAAAGCTTATTCGCCGGCCCTCTTGAAGTTGTGATCTGCGCCGCTCTCGTCCGCTTTTTCCCAAGCTCCCCGCCTTCCCGCTCTCCTCGCACCTCCAATTGCAGCCGCAAGCTCTGGGAACACTGTAAACAGCCGCCGAAATGTCCACCACCATGACCAGCACCACGGCCGTTGAGCCGTCGAAGCCGAACATTGGCGTCTACACCAACCCCAAGCATGACCTGTGGGTGGCCGAGGCGGAGCCCACGCTGGAGCAGGTCAAGAGCGGCGAGGCGCTCAAGGAGAACGAGGTCACAATCGCAGTCAAGAGCACCGGCATCTGCGGGTGCGTTTTTTCCCCTGCACAGCTGCGCTTTCCCCGCACGTTCGGATCGCTGACTGCTTCGACGGCGCCCACAGATCCGACGTCCACTTCTGGCACGCGGGCTGTATCGGGCCCATGATCGTGCGCGGCGACCACATCCTGGGGCACGAGTCGGCGGGCGTCATTGTCGCGGCGCACCCGTCGGTCAAGCACCTGAAGGTGGGCGACCGGGTCGCGGTCGAGCCCAACATCCCGTGCCACCAGTGCGGGCCGTGCCTGGTCGGGCGGTACAACGGGTGCGAGAACGACAAGTTCCTGTCGACGCCGCCGGTCAACGGGCTGCTGCGGCGCTACGTCAACCACCCGGCCATCTGGTGCCACAAGTTGCCGGACAACCTGACGTACGAGGACGGCGCGCTGCTGGAGCCGCTGGCGGTGGCGCTGGCGGGCATGCAGCGCGCCAACCTCCAGCTCGGCGACCCGGTGCTGGTGTGCGGCGCGGGGCCCATCGGCCTCGTCACGCTGCTGTGCTGCCGCGCCGCCGGCGCCGAGCCGCTCGTCGTCACCGACATCGACGAGGGCCGCCTGGCCTTCGCCCGGGAGCTGGTGCCCGGCGTGCGCACGCACAAGGTCGAGTTCGGCCACTCGCCCGAGCAGTTTGCCCAGTTCGTGCACGAGAAGATGGACGGCAACGAGCCCGCGCTCGCCATGGAGTGCACCGGCGTCGAGAGCAGCATCGCCGGCGCCATCCAGGCCGCCAAGTTCGGCGGCAAGGTCTTCGTCATCGGCGTCGGCAAGAGCGAGATCAAGATCCCCTTCATGCGCCTGTCCACCCGCGAGGTCGACCTGCAGTTCCAGTACCGCTACTGCAACCAGTGGCCTCGCGCCATCCGCCTGCTGGCCGGCGGCGTCATCGACCTCAAGAAGCTCGTCACCCACCGCTTCGCCCTCGAGGACGCCCTCAAGGCCTTCGAGACGGCGAGCGATCCCAAGACCGGCGCGATCAAGGTGCAGATCCAGACCTATGATTGAGACGGCTCGCTGTTGTCTTGAGCAATGAAGGGTTTCAACGGTGTTAGGGCGCGGTGATTTTCATTCCAATGCTTTTCGATACTGGCGGGTTAGGATCGATAGAGTGTTGACGATGTGATGAGCATAGATTGAGATTTCTCACGAGAGCGCTTCGGAATAGATGTACTTGCCGCCCTTGTTCGTCAACGTTGTCGGCTCTTCTATTCAATACTTGAATCTTTGCTCGCTTATGCTGGCGATTTACAAAGACATCTCTATAAACCATTCCATCTGCTTGTTCACGCTTTACCAGCCTTCATTTTTTTTCTTTTTCAGGGTTAGCTCGAGATCTGCCATCGAACGAAGAAGTCAGCTCACTTTCCGGAAATGAAGAGGCAGCCGCTAAAAAAAGCGTACTTGCGCCGTCAATCATGCGGAAGCTCTGTTCAGTGGGCACAGATGGCTGACTAGACCTTAGACGTGTGAAATCATCACGGAATACATCTTTTTCAGTCAGTGCGCACGAGCTCTGTGCTTCGCCTCCACTCATTGAGTCTAGATAAATGGAAGGCTGCCATCCCGTTCCTGTCATTGGTGGATAAAGTGGAATAAGTATACTCTCGTACTTATTCTTCACAGCTGCACAGGAAACAAACTGTCGCGGGAGTATGGGTTTCAAACCAGTGAAGTTGGTATCCGGCCCTCAGTAGCACGGTCAGTGCTTGAGCGCAGCATCATATTATTTGTTTTGCTGTCCTCCATCATGCTCGAATGGCTATCCCCGGGAGCAAGGAATTTGCGCGTACTTTGTTATAAGTTGATGGCGGTGGTTTTCATTGGTATATCTTTGAATGGCTACCGGTGTTTGCTCGCGGACGGTTCAGCGGCACAGACAAATCACAACAGTGGTGGTATTATGAGTTCTCGACCTGAGCATGGAATCACGTTGTAGGTGAGTGCGGAAGTGATGAAGAGTGGTTTCGGCAGCCAGAGTGCCTCTTATCCCTTATCTCGTCTTAATCCGTGTCATGTGTGCTAGTGAAATGAATCTCCCACCAATTTACACGCAAGTGACACGTATTCCCCCGTACATAAGCATGGTCGTCACATGTAGCTAGGTCCACTTTTGTCACTGTACCTGCGATTCTTGCAACGCCGTTACATGCCGTAGTTACGGTCATTATTCAGTTCGGAGCAGCGGCAACCGGTATAGTGATGACAACGAGTCAAGGCTGTTTAGTTTTCCTGTACATCGCATTAATGATGATGGCCTTTTCTATGCCCTTGTTTGGGCCGTGTCTCGAAATGGCAGGCTTTCACATTCCAAACTGCTGGACTAATATGGAGGAAAAGGAGAGATGGCCAACAACACCGAACTCTGCTGTCATAGGCCAGCAATTGCCCATGCTAATGCTGTCGAACATTGCCGAGATGATACTCATCCGTGTCATCAATGCAAATGGTCAAGTAACCATTTGAGAAACTTTTGTTGTACCTGAAGACCTCTACCCAGCCCGCAGCTCATTTATCAAAATTCGACCATTTCTCCCGGGAACTCCCATTAAACACGAAGGCTCTGGGGCTCGCCCATTCATTTATCTGCGCCTATCGTAGTCCCGGCCTCGATCGTCTCGCCCGTAGCGGTCTCCGCTCCTATCACGCCTGCGGTCATCGCGGTACTTGTCACGGCTGCGTTCTCTTCTACGGTCATCACGGTCATCTCTACCGCGGTGCCTATCGCTATCGCGATAGTCCGGTCTCCGGTCCCTGTCTCCCCGAGGGCTTCTGCTCCTATCGCGCTGGCGGCGCCCGTCATTCTTATCGAAGACCAAACCATATTTCTTGGAGCCCCTATCGCGCTCATCTGGGTACTCGGCGCGGTATTGCCTCTTCTTTTCCAGACTCGCGACACCGCCGAAGCCGCCTCCATGTGCACGCTGACGCTTAGCATTCGTGGCGTCACGCCACACGTTTGAGAGTTTCGAGACGCTCTGGGAGAAGTCCACATGGATGCGATGGTCGTCAATCAGCACATCCTGCATCTTGAAGTATGCCTGCTCGCAGGATTTCTTGTCCTCGAACTCGATGAAGGCGTATTGCAAGCTATCGCCAGTTTGCCTGTCGCGGATGACCTCACATGACATGATCTTGCCGAAGCGAGAAAAGATAAGCTCCAGGTCGTCGTCTTGGGTGACGGGATTGAGCTTGCAAACGAAGAGAACGTTCTCGGGCGGCTTGACCTCAGCAAACGGCAGGTCTCCCATCATTTCGAGGGTTAGGGCTTGGGCACGGGCTTCTCTCTCCCGCCGCATTCTCTCCACCTGTTCTTGATCCATGTTCTCATCCAGCTCCTCGTCATCTCTGATGCGCACGGTCGCCAACTGCGCCTGAGTGGGCAGAGGGCTTTCTGGCGGCTCAAGCAAGCCAGAAGGATCGGGGAACGGGTCATCGAGGACTATAGTGTGCCGTATTCTTATGTCCTTCAACGGCCTTCCGTTACTGTCAATGAAGGCGGTATTGACCTTCTCTAGCGCGTCGAAGCCTTCTACCACGGTGCCGAAAATGGCAGACTTGCCATCTAGGTACTCCAAGTTCTGGCCAAGCGTAACAATGAACTGGCTTCCGGCCAGGCGCGCATCGGGATCGGCGGTCGAAGGCACAGTGGCCATGCTGACGGTGCCTCTTTCGACATGCTTGAGCCTCGGGTGGAACTCGGGTGCAAACGTCTTCTTGGAGGGGTCGCTGGGGTCTAGCACGCCCCAAATGGAGGTGCCTCCGTCACTGTCCTTGGAATCGGGGCCGATGGGATCGCCCGTCTGGAAGGAGAAATCGCGTTGGACGGAATGGACGGGTGCGTAGTTGAAGTATTTGATCTTGCAGAGCTTCAGGAAGCTGGCGAGCAGAAGGAAGAGCTTAGTCGGGGGGTTCAGCTTCTCGCGGGCGGGCGCAAAGGGGGCGGTATCTTACTTCTCGCAAGACCTTGGGGCTTCCTTGACCAACAGGTCAATGACAATGTCGCCGACGCTGGTCTCGAGCAACACGGACATGCTGGCGGCGCAAGCTCAGGCGGGAGGGGCGGAGAGGCGGGGGGTCATGCGCAGGTGTGGTGATCGGCGAGGGTTGGTGTAACGCTGGCAATGCGATGGGGAGTGGTGGAGGCGGCTCTGGGGCTGGCTGGCGCGAGGGAAACTTGACGGTCGCGGAGCTCGACGCGCGACATCAGCGGGCGGCGATCATGGGCCGCGCTAGGCCGATTGAGGAAGGGGCTGTGGCATGGACGACCGCGGCTGCTGCTTTTCCTCTGCACCTCCGCCGGCCCTTCACGCGCCCTCACTCCCTGCACATTTACTCGCTCGCCTCGCAGGCCTCGCATGCGCTTCCCATCTCCCTCGCCTGCGTTTCCCTTGTGCCACCTCAGGCGGTCCCCCAATTTTGTCTCTGTTTGGAGCCCACGCTGCCGAGCTCGCACACCAACGTCGCGCGTGTCCGATTGCTCGCCCAGACTCGTCCGCCGACAGAACCGCTGCAGAAGCGGCAGCACCGAGTAACAGGCCACGGTCAAGGCGGCCGGCTGGCAAGGGTGCCGATTCGATTGAGCCTTCTTGACTGACCGGTAGAGCTGCAGCAAGAGGCGCCACAAAGACGGAACACTGCTGCGGAGACGGTCCTCCCCCCCGCCGCCGAAAGCCTTCATGCAAGCGGATCCCTGGACGATGCAGTGACGGGGTGGCCAGCCGCTGTCTCGCACGTCGGTCGTGAGGCCTTGCCTACCTAGCTGCGAGCCCGCTGCCGCCGCGGGACGGCTCGTAGCCTTATCTCGGGCCATGGCGTGTGCCGGTTGCGAACGCCCGCCCTGCGCCGTCATGGCGACACCGGCAGCCGGCCTAGATGTGTTGCGCCCCAAGTCGCGTGAGCATTCGCTTGTATTGCAGCCGTCGGGAGCCATGCACGCCTGCATTCTTCATCCTCTCTTTTCGCTCTGCTGGCGCCGCTTCTCCGCCCATGCTCTAGCCCCACTCGCGCGGCTGCCGGCTCGTCCCCATGGACCTGCTTCCCCGCAGCCTGTGTCATGATGTGATGTGGGTTTTGTTTGTCTCGCCCGGCTGGGGCTTGTTTGGGCAAGGATCGGTGCCACTAGCACATGGTCTGGAGAGCACCATATTCGTCTGGTACCTGTTGCTACCCTGGACTTCAGGCGGATGACGCCAGCACTGCATGGACGCCTTCACGCCTGACGCTCTTCTGCACTTCAAAAATGTATCCCTGCAGACGCGCTTTACGGCTTGCAGGCCAACTTATGCAGAGAGCTTCTCGAGGCCTCTGCCCAATGCTCAGGTCGTACCTTGGGGAACATGCTCCGACGCTGCTTTCGCCACGGACTACCAATGCAGCGCTACGGCAAGGAACCCCCTTGAGCAGCTAGCCATGCGGTGACCAGGGCCGTCGTTACCGATCTCCGGATTCTTCAGAGGAGAGCCTCAGCCGGGTCAAGCGCGGGCGACGCATGTAAAGCCCCGGCTGATCAAGACGGCGGGCCTGGGTCAGCTTCATCTCCCTGCATTTGCGGGGTCGTCGGAGGACGTCAAGACCGGGGGAGGCAGCAAAAAGCAATGCGGACAGTTGCACGATCTGCCTCCGCCCTCCCCTGGCACTGTCAGCGCTGACTTGACTGCAATGCGGCACAGCAGGACAACGCTTAAAGAATTCCCGGAAACCCGTGGCGCGGCCACATGAAACTCTCCGACCAGTGGTCCAAAGCCCTTGGCTCCCTCAACGGACCGCACGACTGCTGTACAAGCGCCTGATTGGGCTACTTGCGGTGTGGATCGCTGCTGGGCGGTTAGCTGCAGAGCTCCGCTCTTATTGGGCTCGCTTTACGGCCCCTGTGGATCTGATTCCGTGTGCGAAAAGCAGTTGCTTTGGCAGACTGGCGGGCTCGCCAGGGCCCTCTGCAGCCACCCTAAGAAGCCTGGGATCCCGTCGCAGTCGCCTCCGCCGGCAAGTCTCACGCTTCCCCCTTCTCCGACGGTGGAGGGCCGCTCTGTTACGAGACGAGGCTGCGCGGCCGACATGCTGTCTCAGTGCCGCATGCCTCTGGTGGAGGCTCGGTTTGCCCCCCGGGGTTGAGGATCGCAAATGATCTTCAGGATCGGACTCGCCTGGAAGCGGATACTTGCTTGGTTGGTGTTCCTTATCTCAAATGTTCAGGCAACCGAAGGCCGCTGTCGTTTGCTTTACTCAATCGGCGAGTGACGAAGCATGGATTTGCCGCCAGCCTGCTCATTTGTACAGACCTGGTCAGTTATGCAGAGTCATGTTTGCCTCCACAACCCGCCTCGCCGGGCCAGGACTCTGCACCGTGTCTGAGCTACACGAAGCGTTGTGCAAGAGCCGTGCCTCAGTAGCGGTTCGGACCAGCTATCCGTATGTTGCTATTTTGCGCCGTGTTGGAGCGGAAGGCTCTTTGCTGATATTCAAAGCGTGCCGGACACTCGACGCGGAGGCCATGGCGCCCCAGCGGTTTGCAGCCAACGACGAGCCGCGCTGTTATAGCTCTCGACACGTGTTGCGGTTTCCTTCGGCCCTTGTTCAAGCACTGCCCGCACTGCCCGCTCTGTGTCACCTTGGAGACAGAAGCGCCAGCCCCGGTAGACCGAGCTGGGCATCAAAGACGGTCCAGGGGTGGAGAGCGCAAATTCCGATGACTTGATGCACAGGTTTCTGTAAGTATTGTTTGTTTCATATCCGCCCTTCAGCTGGCCCC